CTGCTGTGTAGGCTCTGCTGATTAGGAGGGTAAGGCCAGTGTCATTCATTCCTGTTGAGTAGGCTTAATCACTTGCATGTTAGCATAAATGCTTGAAACTGTGGAGTTCTTGTTTTCATTGGGAGCTGCTGGCCTTGAGTCTAAATGGATACATTCACTGGTAGAATTTTCCATTTGTTGCTTCCATTAGGCAAGCCCTCTTAAGTAACAGTGAAAGGCTTATGTAACTACACAGGGGTCATGTCTTAAAGAAAAGGGGAGTGTAGGTGGGAAAGAATTGCTTTGCTTTTTGAACTATGAAGGTGGAGGAAGATTTAGTCATGAGCCTTAGGAAGCAGAAAGTAAAGTTTTCAGAAGTGACTGACAAACATACATGACTTCCTGTCACAAAGCAGATTACTGATATGGCAATTATTTGGTTCTTCGTTTTGAAAATAGCTCTTGTAACTGATCTTAGGTTAGTGCCTTTTATTCACCAACTATCTCAGTATTTTCAAAAGTATTTTTAATCTTTCTGACTTCTTGACTTAAAATTCCCAGGCAACATAATATAATGTAGATACTCCCTAAACATGCTAAAGCAAGACATTCTGGAGTTTTTAGTTTGAGCGAATACCCGCTATATCAACTTGTTTGCCAAGGAGCCCTGCAGAGTTTCTAGGGAGCTGCTTTCAAGCTCCATGAACTGAGATTTCTTTCATCACATCAACAGGTGAGGTATGGCTCTGGAGTGTATTGCTTTGGGTGACATGTGGGACTTAGAATGAATGCATGCTTCTCCATGCAAAGAAGTTGCTTGCGCAGAGGAAGTCAGCATGTTATGAAGGATGCTAGGCTAGAATCCTTCTCCCTGATATCTCATTGTGACTGCACGGGCATGTCATCATACGGGAGAATCAACCCAACCCAGGCAGTTTCCCAGTAGGAAACCGCCAAGCTTCCCAGCCTGGAGTCATATGGCACAGCCACGGGGCCTCCTTATCTGCTGTTCCAGAGAACCAGGCTTCAGACCTTGCCTAGACGTGACCTAGAACACTCCTGCATCTTCACAGTGCATGAGAAAATTAGTCATTTTCTCCTGTGGAGCCCCAGTTAAACTTCCAAGGAACCCCAAAATTCCTTGAAACACAGTTTGAAAGTGAATGCATGCAAAGAAGGTTTGGAATGGCCAAGGGAAATGGTCTGCTGCACCATTAAGGTCTGAGGCACCAAACCTTAATGGTAGATCAAAGAAGGCAATTTTCCTTTCCAGGAAAGATGACAAGCCAGTGGCTTGTAGATAGGTACAGGGCCTACTAAACTCTGGGCCTAAGATAGATGCAATTACACCATTGGCTACTTTTTGTGATGAACTTCCCCAGCACTTTAGGGATAAAGTTGCTCAGATGCGCCATGAATTGGACTCCACAGTTGGTTTGGTCCTAGAACGGAAGGCATCCAGAGCACCGTCTGGTCTGTCTTTGTTGGATTGATTTCAATTATTGCAGCCTGATGATGTGGACAAGGTCCTTGGGCAAATCTTTCTCACCGCCTGTTTACTTGACCCCTGCCCTTCATGGCTGCTCATCAGAGCCAACATTGGGATGTCAGCCTGGGGTCCAGAAGGTTGTCAGTGCCTCTCCGAGGGAGGGTCAGGTCCCCACACCCCTGAAGATAAGACCCATCCTGAAGAAGGCAAACCTGGGCTCAGATTTAGGGGTTGTATCCCCCCCCTAAAGGACAGGGTGTGTAGTTTGGAACTGCTCCTTGACCCGGAGTTGCCCTTGGAGTCCAGGTGACTGCTGTGGCAAGGAATGCTTTCCTTCAGCTTATCCACCAACTACACCTTTAATTGGATGAACAGAGACTAGTGATGGTGACCCACGCCCTGGTAACCTCACAGTTAGACTATTGTAATGCACTTTACTTGGGGCTGCCTTTGGAAGATGGTCTGGATACTTCAACTGGTTCAGAATAGAGCAGCCAGGATGCTAACATGGACCAGCAGATTTGCACATATAATACTGGGTCTTTACCATCTGCATGGGCTTCCAGTTGAAGTTCGGGCCCAATGAAAGGTGTGGGTGATGACTTATAAAGCCTTAAATGGCCTAGGACCTGGATATTGAAGGAGTGCCTCCTTCCATATATACCGCTCACCCCCTAAGATCTGGGTTGAAAGTCCTTCTTTGGGAGCCCTCTTTGAAAGAGATCAGAAGAATGGTAACTCGGAGAAGGGCCTTTTCTGCGGTGGCACCCTGCTTATGGAGCATGCTCTCCAGAAAGGTGCATCTGGTGCTGGCACTTTTTTCATTTTGACACCAGGCCAAAACCTTTTCCCCAATTTTTTAAATGTTAAAGTGTTTCAAGATGGGTTTTCATTTGAATGTTGTCCTCTGATGCTGTACCTTTATTTCATTGTACTACTGTCCAGGGACTTTTTAGTGAAGGACAGTATATGAAATCTAGAGATAGATAGACAGACAGACAGACAGATAGATAGGACTAACCACAGTTGTATGAACAATGCTAATTATAAAGTTCAGCAGGAGCATGTCTTGATTTTGCTGAGACTGTCATTTGATAGCAGGTAAGGATTATATAGCTACCCTTGGCATTGGTAGCAAAAGCCAAGTGTTTAACATTCTTTTGAAAAGTGGAAGAAAGAAAGGATGCTGGTAGCCTGGGGATTTATTGCAATCATTTCTAGGAACTAAAAAGCTTGATGATGTAATAGGTTCTCTGCATTCTTTTCCAATATCTTTTAAATCTTGTGGTCGCCAGTAGAATAGATTCTGCTCCACTTTGGGTTAAAACTGGGATACAGTTTACACATGTGTATACATTCCTTTATTTATGATTTGTTTAGAATCACCTCAGAATATAAAATTATTAGGAAAACAGTATTAAATATTTGCTTTCTAAAGTTTCCCAGACAATTTCATTTTCATGGACTCCTGTAGGCTTTATAAGGCAGGCACTACCAATACCTCTTGCTTTTAGACGTTAATAGAACAGGCTGTTGCAATCCCAGGCGAACAAAATGGCCTCTCTCCAGGCCTCTTGTTGTTGTAGTTATCAGGTCAGGCCAGCAGTGGCCACAGGGGAATAGCTTCCCTGCCTTGGAAATATGTTACCAAGCACCAGGCCCAGGTGAGACAAGATGTTTCTCTCCAAAGAAAACAGGGGCTTCTCTATAGGGCAGATGGTAAATTGAGCAGGGGAGTGTTGTCTCCATAAAGCTGCAGTGATGTCAACATTGCTAATATGCCTGAAGACAAGGGAACAGATCAGGCAGCAAACTTGTCTCCATTGGTAGGTACCATTTGGGTGAGAACGAGAGTTCTCTCTGGGATAGCTAATCTAAAAGCTGAATATAACATGTGGGGCAGTTGTCTTGTAAAATACACTTGCATAATTTGGTTCCTGACTGAATCAAAAAGTGGAGTAAGTGGCAATGATGAATTTTGAATTATTACTCCATTTCCTTCACTATGCCTTTGCGTTTATTAATGCTTGTGCATGCATCACTTTAGTAACCACTCGTTCATTTTTTAAAGTGTACATGCTGATTGCCTAGTGTAGATGAAAGAGCGTGGTCCTTTTGTGGAAGGCGGCATGGATTTCTCAGATGACAGGACAGCAGTTGCGAAGCAGAGTGCAGTTAAATTTGTTTTTCAGACAGCTTTCTTTCCCTGTGTTAACAGTTTCTCAGGTGTTTCCTGCACGCTCCAAAATATCCCAGTTACAACTTTATGTTGTAAAGTACCCCTCGCTTCTTGTGACTCGAGTGTTTGTTACATGATACCAGCAAAGCTTTTTGCAGCTTGGCTGTCCTGTTAGTGCTCACCAATACTGACTTTATATGCTGTGGCTTTTAGATTTCACTGATACTACTCTGGTAGGTACAATAAAGTCTATGACTTCACAATTCTTAGATGGCTGCTTGGTGGACTTGGTGTGTTTAGACATGTTTTATACCTTTAAGGATTGATGCAAGCAATTCCCAAACTTCAGGTATTTTTATATTCACTGAATGGCTATGTTTCCTTTTCTACTCCTTCACCAGAGAACCTAATAGTAGAAGTTTATTAAAGGCACTAAATGGCTTTTAGCTGAAAAGTTTCCTGAAGGTTGATATATTGCACATGCATGCCTTTTAGCTGTGTCATCTCTGCCTTTTGACTCCGACCGTCTTTGATTATTTCTCTGTCAAGGTGTTGATTTCACTTCTTGGATATAACCACTCTTTGAGATCTGTGCCTTTTCATTACTGGGAGTTTGGAAAATATGTGCCTACAGGCATTCTGGACTTCTGGCATTCATGGGCATTTAGTATTAATAGTGGAGGCAGCATATCCTACAGGGTTTGCAGAAAGCAACTCAATAAGCTTTTTGTAAGACTGAGTTCATTATTTCACAGGATTCTTGTTACTGGCATGCGTGTGCGGGTTAGAAGCTGTTGCTGGGGGCAGAAAGAGAAATTCCAGAGGTTTAAATAAATGGACTGCAGGGTTCCGTGTTGCAAATGGCACACGCATTTTTTGTTCATTGCAAGGTAACCAGTTGGTGTTGAGTCACTTGTCAAAATGGTATAATTTGCTCAACTGCATGCCTAGAACATTTTGTCGAGTATGCTGTCTTCAATTAGAATTTCTTACTGTTGTTAAAATGCCAACGAGTTTATCACAGTTGGACACAACTTTGAATGTGATTGGTTTAAGTAGCCTTTAAAATCAAAAATATAAGTCCCAGGGTGGTGATATGACATCGAACACAAGATAAAAGAAAAAGGTTCTAACATTTGAACCTTTCGTATAAAGGTTTATAGGAACTAACATGCAAGAACCTTCCTTTTCTTCCATATTCATGTTAGAAATCTGATACATCTTGACTGAAATTCTTCTGTGTTTTCCTAGCTTTGACCTCCAAGTGAAGAACAAAGCCAGGAGGGGTGTGTTTAGACTTACTGTGTGACGCTAGGGGGAGATTTCTTAAGTTGCTGTTTTCTTTCATTACAGGTGTGAAGTAAAAATGGTGCAAAAATATCAGTCCCCTGTTCGTGTCTACAAATATCCCTTTGAGCTTGTCATGGCGGTAAGTGGAACATCCTTTTATTTGTCTTGTCTGTTTCTTAGCTGCAATGAACTAACATTCTTCAGAAGCCTCTGATATGAGCATCGCCAATACTAGGATGTGTGGCTTTGTGCGTTTGTTTCTGTGGTTTGTTTGAGCTGAAACTTCGGCAGAAAAAAACATTCAGCTGGGGTTCTTTTAATTATTTGCCATAGCTTCACAGGGTTCTTTAAAAAACTGGTGTAGAACATTAATGCTGAATTGATTTGTGGTAGAGATCAGAAAGGAGTGTAACCCCCCCCCCCCCGTAATTGTGCTAATGGATGGTTCTGTGATAATTGGGACCTTTGAGATGGTGCTGCTTCCCACTTATCTGATTTTTTAAAATTCAGTAGAAAAGAATCAGCATTCTCAATTGCTGATGAGAATTTTCAGTGTCTCTGGGATAAATTCTGATTAGCGTGGCCCTTTGCTTAAGAAGACTCTCTCCCCTTCTGGGCGTTCTTGCCCCATCTAAGCATTTGCTTTGTGAAGATCCCTTTGTGAAGATTGTGACTTTTGCTGGAAAATGTAATTGGGAGGAGGTGTTTGACAAACCTCTTGTAAAGACAACTATGGCTTAGTCAATTCTGCTTGTGTTGCTTGTGCCAGATGCACCTGATTGATAGCAATGCATCTGGGAAAAGGAACGAATGCTCCTGTATCCCTCATGAATTGGACTCTGTCACTCTGTGCTCCTTGAGGACTTTGGTCTGTAAATCTGTCCCCTCTGCTTCGCTGCCGACTACCATGTAGGGAAAGAAGCATGGCAGTGGGGTTTTCAAATTTTCTTGCAGCAAAGTTTCCAAGTATATATAGTTTCTCTAGTGTATCTGTTTTTTGTTTCTTCTTGACAGTGCTGGAAATATTCAGCACAAAGGCACTGGCAAATGAAAAAACTCTTGGGTTGTGCTTCGGCTTAACTAGGCTTTCATTTTATAGGAACCAATGTTAAATAAATTTGTTGTAATATTTATTGTTTGTGTTGATGTCACTGAATTTGATTTCAGGACATTTTACTTTGTGACATGCCCTGGAGATGAAGGTTATCTGGGCTGTAAGAATTTTTTAGAGGGTCCATGAATGTTAATCTTATATATTGTTACAGTTTACGATTTTGCAGAAGCTGGAACTAACGTGTAAAACAACTTGTTTAGCATTACATCTATGCTCTGGCAAAAATAAGGATTGCAACCCTTCTAGAGCCTGAGCTATGAATTATCGGAAGACATTGCATGTGAATCCAAGAGTTTTAAAGATTTCAACTTATAAGAAAGGGAAGCCATGCCAAAATGAAACTGATCACATTGTATTTTGAGGCAAACAGTAAAGTAGAAAAATCTTGCTTGGGGGATTAAGTTAAAGCAAGGCAGTCTTAAATATTTAATTTTGCAAAAAATGCAATAACTCTGAGCAGAATGTATTTATCACCAAATTGTCAACTGCTCGTATCCCATTTTGAATTATTGAATGAACTTTGATACCCAAATGCCCATTTTTAGGCAAAATCGAATCCTTTTCTCTGGTTTTAGTTTTCCAATCAGCCAGTTTCTTGCCAGTATGAACAAATGGGGTTTTAAAGCCCATTCTTCCAAATAATGTATCTTTTTGCATGTGGAAATCAATAGACATGATTTTGAGAAGGGTTTGTACTTTAATAGGAAGTAGCTGTAGATAATACCTGTCAGTGCGCTCTCTTTTGTGAAGTGGTGTTTAGAGCTCATTTCAGTGTTTCTGATAATACTAACAGTTTTCACAACAAATTTTGATTTCTGTTTTGATTTTAAGCTTTGATCCTTCTGTGTGTTTATCCAGATTCTGTAAGGGAGCAATCCTATGGCCTCTAGACACTGTCTGAGGAGCCATAAGATAGTAAGGGTTTCTCCCCCCTCAGAAGGGGGAGTCAGCCCCCCCTTCCCAGTCCCATTGCATCCGATGCAGGAAGAATGCCCCAGTGCTTCTTAAGGTTGGAAAGTGAACCTTGGTGCTGGGGAAGGGACCATTTCAGTCAGCAGATGGGGAAAAGATTGAGCAGTTGGGACATGAGCTATCCCAAGACCTCTTCAGACCCCCTCCCCTCCCTTCCCTCCCCTCCCCTTCCCCTCCCCTCCCCTCCCCTCGTACTGTAACTAGATAGGCAAATATGACTTCAGCTGCTTCTTTGCAATACATAGTATGATCAGAAAGCTGCAGTTGATGGACTTTCATCCTAAATGTGTGAAATTCATCAGTCTTGAGATGCACGGTAGTATACAGATCCTTGTACTCATGGAAAGAAAGATTTATTTACTGGGAAGTCCTTTTTAGTGAATATCTCCCCCAGAGATCAACTGACAGAACACTGCTTAATGGGACTAAGCTCATTATTTGTCTGAGTAACCTTTGCACTTAATAGTGAGCTCAGAGTGAACTACACATATTACCAATAGAATAAAGTCAATTAAATTAACAGTATTTAATATAAATCACCAGTTAAACCAATCTCCATAAGAGTAACATGCATTTCAACAGCAACAGCACACTTCATGAGTAATTCAGTGCTCTACTATGTGTGATTTGATAGTCTTCCTAAATAGGTCCTGTATGTAAGAGGATACAGAACTGTTGTGATAGTTTGTAAATATCTTATTCTGTCTGTGTGACTGAGTTCTTTAATGAACATACAGGATTAATAGGAACATATCCTTATCTCAACATGTACTGATTCATCCTATGAGAAGATGCCACCATATCTAGGTCAAACATAATCCTGTTTCTTGAAGTGGCTACTTCTTAATACATAGACCCAGGAGGCTCCACTATTTGAATTATTATTTAAAGTTTCTCAAATCAGATCTTAACTTGCATATGCATAATGTGGCAGCCTTCTTCTTTTGCAGGCTTTGCATTCATTAAAGAATTCTCCCTGCAGCAAAGGGAGCAGTTTCTTAGCAGCTAGAATTCCTTTGAAGTAGTCAGAAAGCTGTGGCTGACTTTAGAGGTTTGGCAGTAGCTAGAGCTCTTGGTGTGTCTATCTAAATGATGAAATGACAGATTTGTCTCCAGTGGCCTCATACTTACTATATCCTTAGATGAAGCTGCACAGGAGATCCATTGTAATCCCTCCAGCCTGCATAGGAAATATATCTGTAATAGAACTTGACACTTTGTGGTTTGTGAATGCACTGTTGCTTTAGGTGTGCCCTTATATTATAGGTTCAGATACAATACAAAGCCAGTTTGAAGTAGTCACTGAATTCTTCTTCTAGTACTCATAGCTATACTTTCATAGAATATTCAGAACATTTTAGTTCATGCTAGTAATTGTCCTTGTGGGATTAGTAAAATGTAGATAGGCTGACTCCATCCCAGACTCACATACGTCATGTAAAATCATCATGTTATTGCTCCCCACTTTATCATAACAGGGTTGACTTGGAAATGTTCTCCCCTAAATGCAAGTACCACGACGCAGACCTAAGACTGGCCAAAATGAGGGTTAGGGAAACAGCTTCTGAACAAAACTTTATCTTTAGTTCTATACATTCTTATTTGTTACCACGTATGTAAATAAATAGGGCTGTATTATAGTGCCTGCATTCTGTAACAGAAACAAAGAAAAAGCCTACATGGTGTGGCAAAAGAAACACAGTTGTTAAGGACAGGTAAGAAGCAAAAACAAAAAGGTGACAGAAATAGGATCAGGTTCGTGAATGCAACTTTTCAGCAACTTCTCTGTGGTGGCACCCAACCTATGGAATTCACTCCCCAAAGAGGTCCGCCTGGCACCGTCGTTACTGGTTTTTCGGCGCCAGGTAAAGACCTTTTTATTTAAACATCATTTCAATTGTTAAAACATATGATCTGGCCAGAGCAACTTCTTCTTCCTTCTCTTTCTCCTCCTATATTTTTATTTTATACTGATAATTTTAATTTTATATTTGTAAATCAATGTATTTTTGTATTTTTGTATTTAATGGTAATTTATTATGTACTATTGTATTTCAATGTATTTTATCATGTTGTAAGCCGCCCCGAGGTTTCGGCAAGGGGCGGCATAGAAATGTTATAATAATAATAATAATAATAATAATAATAATAATAGTCAGACAAAAAGAACTATTACAGTAACCAACACAAAGAAATAGAACAACAGAAGAGAAACAGCAAGAGACCTCTTCCAGAAGATCCAAGAAATCAAAGGGAATTTCAAATCTAGATTAGGAATGCTGGAAGACATAGAGAACATACTATCTGCCAGGATAAAATGAAGTGAAGGTGGAAACAATATACAGAAGAACCACACAGACAAGTTAAAAGGAGGGTAGAACCTTTGAAGTGGGATCTTATGAGGAACCTGCAGTATTAGAAAGTGAAGTGAGAACTGGTGGAAGGAATAAAGTACCCAGAACAGACAGGTTACCAATAGAACTATTCCTAGCTGAATTGGGTGAAATCCTAACAAGAATATTCCAGCAAACATAGAAGTTTAAACAATGGCCTACATAGTGTAAGCTTTCAATGTACATTTCGGTCCCCAAGAAAGGAGATGCTAAGGAGTGCAGCAACCGTTAGACTATTGTGCTCATTTTCCAGGCAAGCAAAGGGATGCTCAAGGGGCTGTAACAAAGAATATTACCCTCCATGAATCAAGAAATACTTGGGGTTCAAGCTGGATTCTGAAAATGAAGAGGTACTCAAGATCATATTGCAAATATATATTGGTTACCGAAACATGCCAAAGAATTCAGAAGATCTGTCTGTGCTTTATAGACTACAGCAAGCCTCTGATCAGGAGAAGCTATGGCTGGCCATGAAAGAAATAGGTGTGCCTCAGCACCTGATTGACCTGAAGAGTAACCTGTATCATGGACAAGAAGCTACTGTTAGGATCGAAAATAGTGAAAAAGAATGGTTTCTGGTAGGCAAAGGTGTTAAACAAGGGTGCATTCTATCTCCCTGTCTGTTCTTTTTGTACGAGAACTCATTATAAGGAAAGCTGGATTAGGATCAGAGTAGGAAATAGTGAAAGATGGTGGAAGATCCATTAATAATTTAAGATATGCAGATGATGCCAAATTACTGGTAGAAAGCAGCATGAATTAAAATGACTCCTGGTGAAAGTGAAAGAAGTGCAAAAGCAGGACTGCCGCGGAACATGAAGAAAACAAAAATCACGACTACAGAAGAATCACACAGCTTTAATGTCAACAGTGAAGACTCTGAAATTGCAAAAGCTTTTACCTGCCTTGGCTCAGTTAAATGGAGACCGCAGTCAAGAAATTTGAAGAAGAGTGAGACTTTGAATTGGGGCAGTGGGTAAGCATGTTTGACTGGAGACCAAGGCTAAGATCACCCACTCTATTGTATTCCTGACGGCTATGCATGGCTGTCAAAGCTGAACAGTGAAGAAAACTGACAGGAGCAATGCATTTGGAACATGGTGCTGGAGAAGAGCTTTACAACTCTCCTCCACTGACAGAAAGAACAAGCGAACCCAAGATCAAATCAAGCCATGGCTTTCTTTGGAAGCAAAAATGACAAAATGGAGGCTGTTGTACATCGGGCACATCATGAAAGGGCAAGGCTCGCTGGAGAAGACCATCATGCCAGGGAAAGTTGAAGGCAGGAAAGGAGGGAAGACCAAAAATGAGAGGGATGAATTCCCTCTCTGCACTACGTATACAGGGGCTGAGCAGGCTGCCAGGGACAAGGCATTTTGGAGGGTCCCTGTTCATAGGTCACCATAAGCTTGACATGACTTGATGGCGCATAATAACAATGAAGACCATAGCCTGTGTTTTATTTGTTTCTTTATTTATTACATTTCTTTATGCCAGTTAACTGAAACTCTTTTTGTGGCATAGTCAGGAATAGGAACAGAGTAGCTGCTTATACCTTACCTTTAATCTGGCTTATTAATCATGCATAACCGATTAACAGCATAACTGACATACAGAAATGGGTTTAGAATAACTTGCTCACAAGTTGAATGCACAGGAAGTCATCTAGTCCTGTTGTTACAGGAATGCAATAAGCTCTTGATGCTGTGGTCTATCTTGCTAGAAAAGACTAACTATTCTGTAAGTATGAGTACTTGGGCACAGCTCTTTGGTTTGTCCATTTCTTGTACCTCTGCTATTCCTCTTATCCTGCAGTTGAAGTAAAAATAAGCAATGGTTTACACATGAAATAAGTGTTAAGAAAATTTCCAGTCAAGTTAACTTTCCTGTACAGGCATGGAAAGTTCCCAACCTACGCCATGCCGAGAGCAAAATTTTGAGACATGGTCCTGCATAGCATGCGCCAATTCTATTTGCATACTTTAGCTAGCATAGTTTTTAGAGTGCAAAATTCTTTCCTGCTAAAATTGACACTGGGCATTTTGCACTGATTTATGTCTTCTCCCATAAATTGTTTGTTTATGGGAGATGGTTTTCTTTAAAGCTTTGCCCACGGAACTTGAAGGGACTGACCCCAGAGCAGCATTCCTGCTCTGTAACTTCTTTGTTACAATCATATGAACATTGGGCTTCAGCCTGGAATCTGCATTCAGTCATAACCTTTTCCTTCTTGTTAGTGCTTGCAGCCACAAACACTTCTTGTGCAAAGTAGGTTCAGTCTAGGTCACTGCTTGTTGAACAAGGCAGCTGTAAAGATCCTGAAAGTGGTTACACAAGGCACTTGATGTCTGGGCTGAATTAGAATGTTAATGCGGTGTTGTGTAGAAGCTATCTCACTCCACTGACTTTAACAGAGGTGGAGGAAAGCATGGCATTGTGGATGTACTGGTAGGTTTTGGTGGGTGCTGTGTCACTGACCTCTGTTCTATACACTTAAATTTTGGCTAAGATTCACTAGAGATCTGTGAAATGGGCTTTATGTCCTTGCTTGACTGCAAAAGGGCTTTGAACAGGCTGCTCTTTCACAGGATGATTGTGTAAGGAACCAACTTCAACAGCTAAATTAAATAAAAGTTAATAGACCCTAATGTCCTCTTCTGCTTTGTTATGCCAACTTAAATAATTGATTTTTTGTTAACCCACGCATGGGAGATAAGATGAATTATCACATTTTCTGAAATAGTCATGTTTTCTGACATGGATTAACAGCGCTGGTATGATGTAGTTAGCATGGATTAAGGCTGAGCCAGGGTGAGCAGATTTTTGGCTTTTTATTAGAACCTACCAACCAGAACCAGCTGCAAAACAGTGTTGCAGATAGGTAAAATATACATTATGAGCAGGATGCTTATTCAAGGAATTTGTGAGCCAAGCTCACCAAGAAAGAAAGAAAGACAGACAGACATTGTGAACCTTTTGTACAAAAATCAATTTGTTTTTTCTCCAAATATTCTTTTTAACACTTGCTATTGGTAGACTAGTGTGAGTTGAAAATCCTTGCCAGTCTACTGCAAGTTAGATATCAGTAGATTCTACTCCATGTTTTGCTACCCCAGTACTTATAGCTGTGCATAATTTCCAGCAGCTCCTTAAAAATGTTTTTAATGGGCAGCAACCCTGAGCTGGTAGAGGCTGCTTAACTCCCCCTCCCCAGGCTACTGTTTCTTCTCCAAGGGTCACCCATTGTGCCTGCTTTTTGTGGAAAATCATAGGGAACTTGTATTTTGCCCTAAGTCACAAAATGGATAATCATGGTGGTTTCCTAGTATGTTGAACAGTACAGTTTTGAGGTTTGATAAGATGTCTATACTTTTGGTAGCCTCTTAGACATTATTGCTTCTCAGGCTTTACATAGCCATGAGTTACTTTGCTATCTAAACCCGTCTGCATACAGATGTTGCTCCTTGCAGTGCAGCTCCAGCTCTTATAATCTTGTCTTAAAACTCGGATGCTATACATTGAGAAACTAGTGGGCTGGAGGCCAGATCTATCTTTTCAAGGCCCTCTTCAGGAAATTCCATCAACGAGCAACATGATAGCATTTGCTGCTTAAGTTCCAGCAGAAACATGTAAAACAACATTAAACAACTACAGTAGCCTCTTTTTTAATCTGTGCAAGCATATTGTGTCATGTTAGATTGGGGTCTGGAGCAGTCATGGTAAAATCATTAAATGTAACTTAATCTTAGCAGAGATGTCATATTCAAGGCTATGTTTAATGTTATGTCAGCTGTCCAGTGTTTGCCGGTTTATGATCAGTTTCTGTGCTGTAAAGTATGAAATCTCTCCTGATTTTTCAGTGTGGTAGTTACAAAAATCTAAAGGCATATTCTGAATCTAACATAATAGGATATTTCAGTATAAGTCATTTTATATTTCCAGAGCCTAAAATTGGCCTGAAACAGACCAATGTGTTTTTCTTTTCCTAAAAATGACTTTTGTTCTGTACTATGGGAACAATAGCAAACAACAGCAGGTTTTCATAATGTTCTTCCTGGAGACCCTCATTGTAGGCACTTTGTATCTACCTTCACCAGTATAACATTGATCAGCTGTGATCACACAGCAACACGCTTTCCTTCTAGCCACTGCTAAATATGACAGCAATCAAGAGTGGTTGCATGTTTCCCGCATGCGTTGGTTTCCAAGAGACAGATGCAGAAAAGGCCTTGGTATGTAATACAAAGTCCTTGTATATGAGCTAGGAGGAGTTTCTGTTCTTCGTAATCTGCTGTAATATGCTGCCAACGTTCATCTCCCTCTTTAAAGAAATGTCTTGGATGAACATTTCAGTGGAGGGAATCCAGCGTTGCTTTCCTGAGAATATGTATGGGTTGCTGCTATCTTCATGTAATCATCTCTGTTTCCTTTCTGAAACTGTGTTGATACTATGAAATGCTGATAGATAACCTAACTTTGACAGCTGTTTTACCAAGTTGTATGAGACCTGGATGTTCTAGGCTGAACTGGAGTACAGTTGAATCGACATGGGCTGTGAGAGGTTTTAACTGCTTTGCCAGTTTGTAATTTGGAGAATGGTTTCTGATATTAATTGGTGTCCCTCTCTCCAAATTCACTATTATACTGGGTAAGATCAGGAGAGGTGTTTGGGTTTGTGTGTTCCTGCACCCTCATGCACTTACGTTAACATCTACTTTGCATGAAGCTGTAGCTATCTGAGTACAGGATTTTTCTTTCCCAGTGTAATAAATCAGAACAAGTTCAATTACCTTGCTTAAAAGACTGCTGCTCTTTTGCATGAAGTGACAGCCAACGTCCAGCTTGAAAACCCTCCATGAACCATGCTACACTGCATTTCCTAGTACTGAAAACTTGATTAGTGTTCCAGCTGGTGTGTCCCATACTTTCTGTAGGTATGTAACCTGCTTCTGTTATCTGAAATAGCTACTGCTTCAACTGGAGATCTAAGAGAAGGAGAAATGGAATACAATATTTAGCATCCTGTGCTATTTTAGGAATAGTAGTCACATTCCTGTGTATATATTAGAAGAAGCATCCTACAGATGCAAAGGTACTCTCCCAAGGAAGGAAAGGGGGCAAATAATCTATAGGTTTGCAAACAGAGATGAGTTGATCTCTTACTGTTCTTGAAAGCCCAGATTTTTTGCTAGCCCACAGCGTTGTGCATACTGCTTCCAGGAATGGGTGAACAGCATCTGTTTTGAAATATCTGTTTGTTCAGTTCCTTTGCTTGTATACTTGTTGTGCATTTGATTCCTCCAAGCTTTTAGCGTGGGTTTTCTTTTTACTTGAAATAAGTTTTAGCGCTCAGCATAAAGAATTCTTTCTTGAAAGATTCATTGCATTCTATAGGATTTCCTGTTGGATATGCTTAGAACTGCAGCCTTCATTTGGGTTCTTACTAGGCACTGTATCTTACAGGTATGGAAACGGAAATTCATGCAACAACGGTAAAGAAAAGTATAACTCTTAAAGCACTGGCTCTTTGTGTCTTTCTCAGGCTTATGAGAAGCGCTTCCCCACTTGCCCAGAGATCCCTGTCTTCCTGGGCAGTGAGATCCTTCGTGAATCCAAGAGTGATGATGGAGCCATTCATATAATTGAACGAAGTTGTAAACTGAATGTGGACGCACCTCGTTTGCTGAAGAAGGTGAGAGCTGATATTTCTCATGAACATGAACTCTTGAACTTGCTTGCTTTACGCAGAAGACACTGTTTTATGTTCCTTTCTTCTGAGCTTCCCTTCATGCTATGCTTATTTTCATTTTTCAGATAGCTGGTGTAGAGTATGTCTTTTTCATACAGAAAAACACAGTGAACTGGAAGGAGCGAACTCTTGTTATAGAAGCTCATAATGAGACATTTGCCAATCGCGTCATTGTCCTGGAAACATGTAACTACTCCGTGGGTGTTCCATCTACCAGATCTCCCTTTTACTGTGCCAAGTCTAATGGATTGGTTTGCATCTTGGTGATAAGAAAAAAGTGGGATGTACATCTAGTAAACAAACAAACAAACAAATTCTTATAATGGCCTTTAGTGTTGTCAGCCAACTTGTACTGAAGAGTGCAAAGGACTGGCTTGGATTTGGGTTTCTGCATGCTTCTTTGGCAGAAAGATTAGCTTTGCCACTGTTTATACAAGAAAAGGGATTATCTTCATTTGTTTGAGGTCTCATAGTCCTGGGATTGAAAAGAGGAAAGCTTTTCCAGGAATGCTGATTGGCAATTAAAGGTCAGGGTAAATTTTAGAAGTAAATATTAAACGCTAAGATGGAATTATGCTGGGTTTTTGCTCTCTTTGGGAAAAATCTAGAATATCAACACTGTATTGGAGCAGAAGTGTTACTTCTTTCATTGCTTTTCCCAATAAGTGTAGCCAATTGATACAATCATAAGATTACCTGTATTTGTTGGGGGGTTTTGAGCTGGATGTACATTGATTTTATGCCGAAATATGACTACTTCATGCGATCAACATTACACCAAGCTGCAAGTTCTAAGAGCAAGCAGGCAAGATATCTAGACCTGAAGACGGTCTCTAGGATAGTAAACTAGTGGAAAGAGCATTTGTTATATAATTGAGTACTTCTTAACTCTTATTGGGGCTGCACCTTTGGCAAGTACCATTTCTAGATTCTTTGCTTGATGCCTTAATCCGCTTTTTGTTTGTTGTATTTCCTGCAATCCTACTAGTATATGGCCAAGAAGTGATTATAACTAATGCATCATCTGCCAAGGAAGCCTGTCTCTGGTTCAGCAGTGTTTCAGTGCTTTGTTCTGTGACATTTAAGAGTATCTTAGTCCATCTCTGAAAGCAATTAAATACCCTTTTGTGTTTGGTAAACAAAAGCCTGGATTGTGTTACTTACCTGCTTTATTGGCACCTACTCAAAAGTGCAGCTTCTTGAAAACTGAGAAGCTTGGAAATACTGCTGCTTTCAGTGACCTTAGTGCCCAAAACCCATGGGTCTCTTAAATTTCAGTGTGTTTCTAGAACCACAGATGATACATTCTGAGTAGCTGCTGTAAAATACAATGGCACTTCTGTTCTGCTGTCATCTTGGGTCTTGCTGTGTGAAGGTGGGATGAGACTTTGAAGCAGCAGACCTGTGTCTTCAGATGTAGGTCACTGTCAAACATCTGTAAAGCTGGGCAGGTGATTTCAAGCGGAAATGTGGGAGGTGGTGCTGAACCTTTCCACTTGTTGCTTTACCCTTTTGCCCTGTTTCTGGCTTGTAAGGCTTATTTCTGGTCTTGGAGCTTGGCTAGGAGAAAAGGCGCTGGAGGGGAAGCATCAGAAGAATCCCACAGCCCCTCCTGCTTATGGCCTTTAAAATTTGAAATTGTGTTGTCTCCTGCTCTATAGCTGTTTGGTGCAACCCTCAGTGTGAACGCACAAGTCTCCTGCCTGCATTTAGTTTTGGCCTGAGAGATGTTCAAGAAAGCCCAGCCTTGAGGCTGGTTGTGATGGGTCCTTCAGTTGTTCATTGTTGCAAGCTCGTGGCATATTCTGGTGGAGTGTTCAGCCCCCCCGCCCCTCTTGGAGATGGTGGTTTCATAGGATGGAGCAAGATGTAAGCTGTTTCTGTGGAGTCTGTCCTTGTGGCCTGAGTTCATTCTCAACTTTGTTTTAGCTCAGTTTTCGTTACCCTGCTTTATCAGTGCAGAACCTTCTGCCCTTTCTGCTGGGGTGGCCAGCCTCTCTGTCACCTGCAGCAGTGACTGGAACTAACGCCCACCCAACCCTTCAAGTTTAAGAGTCGGTTTATGCTTTGAAGCAAAGATGTTCAGAGGTGGGGCTGAGAAATGAGTGTCCAGTTTCTTAGAATTCCAAAGTTCTGCAGTTAGTCAGGTAATGATAAGCATCTCCAAGGCATTTTTGTTTTCTTCGTGGCAGCTCCTGACCTCATATGCTCTTCCTATTTGTTACTTAAGTGCAGCGAAATTTTCTTTTTGAAAGGAGAGCAAAGTGTACGCAAAGGCACATTGGAAAACTGGCTTCTTAGCTGCTGCTTTCATGAACAGTCCTTCTGTATTCTGCCATACTGATTCTAACTGTGCCAATATCTATATCTGAGGTTAGGTTCATCCTGAAAATGAAGACTGGACCTGCTTTGAGCAGTCTGCATCTCTTGATATCAAATCATTCTTTGGCTTTGAAAACACCGTGGAGAAAATCGCAATGAAACAATACACCGCCAACATCAAACGGGTAAGCACTGATTGTCAATTCCTCCTGCGAATTGCAGTGAGCTTGTCTAAAATCCATTAGATCAGCCTTGGGATTATTCACTCACCTCGTTGCCATGGGCATGACGTGTGCGTGGAGATCCAGCCAATGGGTGAGCAAACTGGCAAAGAAAGTGAACGGCCCTCCCCTGCAGCAGGTGCAGAAAAGCAGCAGGTTGGCAGGACGGGGTGGATCCCTTCGTCTCCATGCTGGCTGAGGAGGCAGGCACAGGGTCATCTTAACAGCATGATGGGCCCCGGGCAAAGCAGTGCACTGGGGCCCCTATGACAACTACAACTACTGTTAATTTTGGAAGTTTTCCAATTTTCCAAAGGTTAACATACACAGATTAGTATGGGGCCCACATGTTAAGACGGCCCTGGGCAGGCAAGCTCCTTTCTCCATGTCCAGCAGGAAACTAGCCGAAACATGGAGCTGTTCCTTTATTGCCATTCCACTGTTTCTTTGCTGGACAGGAGAAAGGCAAGCCCCTTCCTCTACACCTAGGATGGAAACACAATAACCAGCAGAGGACACTTGGTGACTTGACTTTGCAAAGTAATTAATTGTTCCTAGTCATTTCAGGCATAAATTGCTGTAGGGAACCTTGCAAAGGTGACAGACCTTGTTTTGGTGAAAAGTACAGCAGTTACAAGTGAGTCAGTCTGCTAGTCAGGAGAGCGGCTAGGTTTGGACTCAAGCATGAGGGTCTCAATACAAGATGAGAATTTGTTCTTGGAAGGTGCTGTGTCTTGCTGAGCCCTTGTAGCAGGGGGTTGAAGGCCCTTCAGCCCACTGGCCAAGTGCAGTTTTGAAGATGCTCTCAAGGCCTGCATTCCAGTGGTGGGAGGGGCTAGGGGCAAAAGAGGCAGCGACAAATTTCCACATTTTAATTCAGACCTTTTCCTGCCAGTAACTCAGCCTCAGCCGGGGCACATTAGCCTTTTAGAATGGGCAAGAAAGTACAAAAGATGGGTGGTTGGTGGAAGGGGGGATGGCTGTCCGGGAAATGTTGGATTGGGACTCTAGGTGGGCTGACAGGTTGTGGCCTAAGGTTCAGGATTCCTGCCTTACAGCCTTCCTCAGCCTCACAGCATATCCTGGGCTTTGGCCTTTCTGGGATGACTAGGCCACGTGCCAGTAGCAGCTTTTCTTTAAACATGGAATCAGTTATTTTGCCTCTGCCCGCAGTACGGCACTTTAAATCTGGGGATTCTGGGATTATGTCTCTTCCCCTGAGAGGCTGTGCATTTGCTAAGTAGGGCTCATTTGATTCTCTTTCATTTGTTCCTGAGTAATGACACTCTTACTTTCTGGTTTAACTTTATCAAAGTGAGTATGAACAGCGACAACAGCACTATCTTTAAAAAGATATGTAGTACGTATTTAATTCTTGCTTGTAAAAGACCTTTATTCTGAAAAGATGGGGAAGGTAGAGGTGGGAATGTGACTTTGGGGAGCTCATCCAACAAGATCATAGACAATCTAGATCTATTCTTAAAACCATCCACTAGACTGCATGTTGCACGTATTTTTCTTATGTGTACAATCTTTCCCAGTTGATTTATATAGACTGAGAAGGGAGACTACACATTGAATAAACTGCTTAATTTCAGGGCAAAGAAGTGATAGAGCATTATTTGAAGGAACTGATTTCCCAGGGTATCACTTTTATCCCCCGGTGGACTCCTCCAGCTGTCCAGAGAGCAGTGGATGAAGCGACTTCAACAGCAGGTGATAGTGGCAGTGCATTGACCGAATGCTCCAGCCACCGGAGTGGCAAAGAACAGCGAGGCACTGCCTCCCCTCCTCTGGAGGCATCAACCCCGGATGGTACGTGCTCACCTTGGCCCCTTGCTAAGAGGATTCGTACGCAGCAGTCCCCTGAAGTTCATGGGGGTTGCGCTCCTAGAGCACCTGCAAATTGTGAGAAACCGCGAATTTTGAATGTGGTAAAGGTTCATTGCCAGAAGCCTTAGAACAGGGGTCCTCAAACTTTTTGAACAGGGGGCCAGTTGAAAGGTGCCGGCAGTGGGCACGGTGTGGGCGAGGCAGGGGTAGGGGCAGGTGCGCGCAGAGATCGCTTTCTCCGAGCGAGTCCAAACCGATCTCCTTGCGAGCAAGCCGCGTCATGGAAAATTCCGCAAAAGACTGAGGCCGCGAACACTGAACCGCGACTTCACAGGGGTATACTGTATTTATCAGTTCAAACCCTGAGCAGATGCCAGCTTACCCTCTTTCCTATGTCCATGCCTAACTTATCATTTGCAGTGCTGACTTTCAAAAAGCCATGTTCTGGTTAATTTGGAAGAGCCCAAGCTTGATCACTGAACTCCTGCATTTTATCCCTGTTTTATTGTTTAAGGACAAAACTATTGTTTGGGGACAAAAACCCTCTGATCCTGCCACTGGCCTCCGAAAATCCCTTCCCTTCAGTCTTTGCTTTTGCTTGTTTGTTTCGTCTTTGTACCATTTGTTTTCAGCACAGCTGCAGTCCCTGCCTTTCTGTCTTGGTACAGAGTCCCTTTTACCAACAGCTGGCTGAACTTGCCTGCAGATGCACATCTGCTTCTCTGTTCCAAATACTGGCAGTGGCGAGCCCTTTCTGCTTTTCCCTTGTTCCATGGGACTGTACTCTTCTATCTAGAGGATGTGCAAATCATAGCAAAAGGATTGTGTTTTGTTTTACTTGTCCCCCCAAAGCAATTAATGGTGAAGGCAGGAATTAAAAGGGGATATTGATTGCAAGTCCTATTCTAGCTGACTTAAGCTAGGAAAAAATGGAAAGCACAACTGCCAGTATAACCACAGAGCCAGTGTGAGATAGTGGTTATGAGTGTGGGACTGGGACTTAGGCGATCTGGGTTCTGGGTTGGCCAAGGAGCCAACAGGGTGACAGAGGCTCAGCCCAGCCTACCTCACAGGGCTGTTCTGCGGACAGAATGGAACTATGTAAGCCCCTTGGGTTCCTCACAAGAGGAAGAAAGGCAGGTTATAAACGCATTGTCATAAATTATAATATTTAGCAGGATTGGTGCATCATGCATCTTCAGATCCCCACCCTGACCCAAGGAATTAGTTTAACAGCAATTTAAGACACAAACAGATGCATAATTAAGACAAAAGTCCTGTACTTGCTGATTGAAAGGCTACTGGGAATTGTAAAACTCTATTCTGTCTAAACTTGCTAGGATTGCATTTATGGGTCCATCTCCCTTAAAGAATTCATGAAACGAATAGTCAATGAAAACGGATACAGGAGTGGAGAGAAGAATAGCATCTTAAAATACTGAACTGAACAATTACAACCCTCCCCACCTACTCCACACATGGGCGACAGTTTTTCTGAAGACGGCACTAGGGAAGAGCAGCAGGAGGACAAACTCTTAGATGACCCAGGATCAACTGCGTGATGGTGTCTTTACCTACTTCCTTTTCCTAGCTCTTGAGACATTGCCAGATCTGTATTTGGAAATATTAGCTTGTTGGTACCTAAGGGTAAATCCTACCAGGATAATGGTTTTGCTTGAATAAAGTTAAAAGTGTTGTGTAACACAACTGTTGGAACCAGCAGTAACCATCAGAAAAAGAGTTGTGCTCTTCTTGACCTGCTTCCCTCTGGAATTGCTTTCTCCCCATCCAGCTGACAAACTGGATTCTGACTACATAGAAAGGTACCTTGGACAGTTGACTCCCATGCAGGAAAGCTGCCTGATCAGACTCCGTCAGTGGCTACAAGAAACGCACAAAGGCAAGGTTAGCACCTGTGGCAAAGTCAGTGTGTTTGGAGGGAGAGAATATGAAGTAGCTACTGGTCCTGTAGTCCCAATTACTGAATATGTAATTATTGTGTTCATGTCATTGCTATGTTGCCCAATAGCTGAAGCTCTCTGGGCAGTTTGCAACGGTTAACCAAATACAAAAGCTACAATGAAAATACAAATACAGTAAAACACAGTATAAAATTCCAACATGCAAATTTAAAACAGCTAAAAATTCCAGTGCATAAAAATATAAATCAGTTTAGCATCGAAGACATTTTCATTGAAAACTAGACCCAATTAAAATAGAAGACATAACCCATCATATGCCATTAAATGCTATTAAATGGCTGGGAATAGAGGGCAGTTTTAACCTGATGCTGAAAAGATGACAGTTTTGGCACCAGGCTGGCCTCAGTTGGGAGACTGTTCCACAATTGGGGGGGGAGGGGGGACCACTGAAAATACCTTAATTAGTCTTTTAGATTAGACCTTAATTAATTAGTGTCTTTGCCTCAGCTATCTACTCTGTATCCTTAAGTTTAGGTGACTTGCCTTTCTTCACCTGGTGCACTGCTGAAGCAGGGTTAAAGTTGTCCCCATGTATTTACATTGGGTGCTTTGGGCTATTTAAAACGCAGACACCATTAGGAAAATAAACGTGTGAATAGTTTGGACTTAAATTTAGTTTTGTTCTAGATTGTTGCCTGACAAAGGAAATACTTTACATGTGCAATACCCTTAAAGCTTGAGATGTATTTATGGGGCAGTGACTTTGGCACTAAGATGAACACAAGTGGATTCATTCCTTTCCTTTCTATTTTGCTCAGATTCCCAAAGATGAGCATATCCTCCGGTTTTTAAGGGCTCGTGATTTCAACATTGACAAGGCTCGGGAGATGCTTTGTCAGTCCCTGATGTGGCGCAAACAATACCAAGTGGACTACATCCTGCAGACATGGAGACCACCATCTCTTCTGGAAGAATATTATACCGGTGGCTGGCATTACCAGGACAAAGGTGGGGAACTTGCTGTAAGCTACTGTGCTGTGTGATAGGAGTCTCTTCTGATAATATTACCAGGTTTGCACAGCACAGCAAAGCATCATGGGTAACTAGCAGTGGTGGATTGCCCTGGTGTCTGAAAGTTCACCGAAAGTGCCACTTCCTGCAGGGTGGCATGGTTTTGGGCAACAATCCACAAATAACAGTTTGTTGAACCCGTGATGGGTTGTCATGTCCGAACCCAGAAGACCAATTGCATTCTGGGTTGTTGAAAGTATCGGGTGAGCTGCTTGGACAGAGCAGCAAAACCACATGCTGTCCTTAGAGATGTCCAGCTCTTAGAGCAACCACCACTGGCCTGTCACTCCTTGTTTGGAGGCAGAAATGTATTCCCAACGGTGGTTCTCTTTTTTAAACGTTTTCCATCTGTGGGAGGTTCATGGTTGCACATTTACAGCTGCCTGAAATGCAGAGCTTTGGCTGGCCAGTGTCCTGATATGTGTTTGTTTTCACAGTGTAGTCAGTAAGATCCATAGATGTTGACCAACTGAAGCTTGTTTACAGATTATTTTGTGAATACTTGATGAGCTATCAGTTGAAAAGGCAAGGCAACAAAGGGACTTATGCCTCCAAAGGGGATGGTGAATAGGTCTCTCTCTCAGCACGTTTCGCTTTTAAGTATTTCCCCAACAGTTCTCAGTGCTCTCCACTTCCTCCACGACTCTAGGCATTCCCCAAACGGGAGATTGTCATCACATTCCATTTTTGCAAGTTCTTCCTTTTGACAGTTACCACAAGAAATGGTTCTTAGGGAGCAAAAAAACTACCCAGCAAATTTGAGTATTTTTCGCACAGGAGAGTATGCATGGATATTTGCTAATTGTCACTCAGTAACCTAAAGGTGTGAAAGACAGCTTCTCATTTTGTATGTCATACGTGGTCTTTAAAACAGATGCAGGCAAGAAGTCAGAATGTCGTGTTGTAACTAGGCAATAGTTCAGTGTGCTCCTAAACGTCGTTAGCAGTAAGATTTCTGGGAACCCTCGGAGGTGTGCATTTCATAATCCTGCTCGTTAGACTTTAATAATATACCCCTAAGGTCATTCTTCAGTTCACCTTTCATATCTCTTTTCAGAATACAAGTGGGTAAATGTGACAAAGGAGCCCGATGTGTTCTGTTTTCTGAAATAAAATTGGGATAAAGCAGATATTTGGGCAGACATGCCATCGGGGTTTTTTGCAGGGGAGGTGTTCTCAGTTAAGTAATAGAATCCCACTGCCCTTGTACATCTTCTGAGATCCAGCTATCTGCTGTGTTTGCTGTGGATGTATGGACACAATGCAAAGGACGCTCCAGTTTAGGCTGCAATCTCATATGCACTTCCCTGGGAGTAAGCTATGCTGAACTAAGGCAAGCCGACTTCTGCATAAGAGTACACCAAGAGCTGAACCCTGCCATTTACACAAGCACAGGGACATCCCCTCTTTATATAAATGAGAGCTCTGCTTCAGGCTCTGCTCGAAGGGTCCCATTCTTCATTCTTTTGCATTACACACATGTACACTAGCTAGTGGGATCAGGAGATGGCCAGAAATGACAGGTCTGGCACAGCTGTCCTGAAGAAACTTACAACTCAGTGCAGATGGCCTGAGGGGGCAAACAGGAGACTTCATCATCATGAAAGCAAAATATGAAATGAGAGAAAATAAAATAATTGTACCTGATGGAAGCCTAACTCGTTTATCAGGCTTCCCAGTTCCTCATAAGGAATCCTGTGTCCAGTTCTGGGCACCAAGATTTAAGAAAGATGCAGAGAAATAAAGGGCCCAGAGGAGGGCAACAAAAATGATCTAGGGATTGGAAACACTGCCCTGTGAGGAGAGACTGAGAGAACTGGGCATGTTCAGCCTTGGGAAGAGAGGACTGAGGGGGGACATGAGATCCCTCCATAAGTACCTCAAAGACTGTCACAAAGAGGAAGGTCAAGGTCTCTTCTTGCTGATACCAGAGTGCAGGACACGGAATACTTAATTCAAGTTGCGACAACCCAGATTCAGGCTGGACATCAGGAAAAGCTTCCTCACGGTCAGAGCAATAGGACAGTGGAACCAGCTGCCTGGAGAGGTGGGGGCTCTCTCACACTGGAGACATTCAAGGGGAAACTGGACAGCCCTCTGAGTGGGATGGTGTAAATGGCTGTCCTGCAACAGCAGGGGGTTGGACTTGATGGCCATCTTGGCCCCTTCCAACTCTTCTGTGATTCTATGAATGTCAAATGCAGCTTCCTGCTCCTGCCATTGCTTCTTTCTCTCCTCCCCATAATGTCAGCATTCACAGGAAGCTGGATTATTCCAAGTCAGATTATTGGTCTCTCTGACCAGTGTTGTCTGCTCTGACAGGCAGTACCTGTCCCAGGTCTCAAGGCACAGGGCTTTTCCCCACAGTGCCTGCCACTATCGTCCCCTTCTCCCTCACATGCTGTTTTAAATTGCTGGAGATGCCAGGGGTTGCACTTGGGACTTACCTTCCTGGGCCCTCCTTTGTCTGACCTCCATTTCAGGATCACTGGAAGGGACAATTTTTTTTAAAAAGGGTGAGCACTCTGATTTGCAAACATAAACCATCTCTGTGACTGCTTCCTCAAAGATGAATGTACTACAGAATTAGACTGTGGCCAGTGGCTGTTGTCACCAGAGAAGCTGGAGACTCATCTTCCCCTAAGCATTCCAGTTTTTCACACTCAAGAGGTCAGGGCAACTTGTGCCCCTTTGAATACCATGGCCTACAACTTCCATCAACCCTAGTCAGAATAGTCAGTGCTCAGGCATTATGGGAGTTGCAGGTCAAAACAGCTGGAGTGCCAGAAGTTGCTCACCCCTGCAATAGGTGAGAAATCTGGACTGGACTGGACTGGACTGGACTGGAATTGTATGCTTAGCACTTCATAACCTGTTCCTTAATCTTGTAGGCAGTTTGCCTGTTGGTATAGGGTGGTATAGAGTTGTGACGGAAGTTAGACCGACACTGTTTTTCTTTGACTGCATTGCCATGTTTCCTGTGAAGGGTTCCATTTTGCAGGGCAAAAAGTCTTTCTGCCAGCTGTTGTGTTCATTCTTTGTTTTTAAAGATGGAAGGCCTCTCTACATACTCCGCCTTGGCCAAATGGACACCAAAGGTCTTGTGAAGGCTCTGGGAGAGGAGTCACTCCTTCGACATGTAAGAATGTGTCTGTATTATCCATACAGTCTGGATGGGGACAGTTTCTTTAGAGAAGCTTCAGGCTTTAAAATCTCACTTGAGAAGCACAGTGATGACTTAAAAATCTTGTCATCAAGAATCTTGTCATCTTGTCTGGTACTACTAATTTATTCATTTATTTTTTTCAAAATATTTATAAACTGCCTTTCCTTTTTAGAATGATAGAACAATCAAATATAATGTGATATAATATCTAAAATAATTAAAGAGAATGAGTGTCTGCCTGTTAGTGTTTTGACCATGAAACCTAGACACCTAAAACGTGGCATGCATACCAGGGAATATGCAGATTATTTTTAATTTTTAATTATTTCAATAACAGTAACATGTGAAGAAAGGGAGAAAAAGAGACAGTAGGAGTAAAAGGAAAAAAAGAATAGTGAAGAAACACCAAGGGATCTTAAACAAATATTACACAGAATATCAAATATAAAAGATTCTGCTGTAAGTCAGTGGTTATTATCCTTTCTACTCCAATCACAGTTTTTGAAATTCAAATAAAATTCACTCAACTTTTCTTCTAAATTGCAATTCTTTAATTTATTCTGGTTTCACTTTGACTGAACTTACTATAACAATGATACATTAATATAAACCTTAATTGCTAAACATATTCTCAGTTCTTTATATGTATATTTTTCTGTTGCCATGTTCTCCACTGAAATGTATGTAATGGAAAATGCCATTTCCACTTACCATTAAATTCTTTGACTATTATCTATTTACATAATTAGTCAGTCTTGCCTTTTCCTTTACTACATCACTACATTATTATTATTATTATTATTATTATTATTATTATTATTTATTTATTTATTTATTTATTTATTTATTTAAAGTTTTTGTATGCCATCCCTTTGCTATATAGCCTTGGGATGGCTCACACAAATAAATAAATATAATACAAATACAGTTAAAACCCGGAAACACCCTGGCTGCACAATTAAAACCTATAAATTTTAAACATTGTTAAAATATTGTTTGAATAAAAAGGTCTCAGCCTGGCGCTGAAAAACAAAGAACGATGGCGCCAGGCGGACCTCTCTGGGGAGCGCATTCCACAGATGGGGCGCAGTCAGCACTGGCTGTGCTAGCTAGGGTGAGGGTTAGGGTTGTTTTTTAAAGTATTTCTACATGCAGCAGCTGAATAGGTCAACCGCATAGCCCTTGGGAGAGAATTCCACATGGTAGGCCCCTGTATGGAGAGGGCCCAGTCCCTGGCGCTGCCCATCTAACTGTTCTTAAAGGTGGGCCAATGAGCAGCGGCTGCTGCACTGAGCGTGAAGCCTGGCCGGGCTTATATGGGTGCAGGAGGTCCTCCAAACAGCCTTGCCCCAGACCGTGTAAAGCTTGAAAGGCCATGACCCTTACTGGGAAGCGACCCTAGAGAAACAGCAGAGAACTGTGCTGTTGGTACAGAACAGGTGTGATGCTTTCTGACCATCTTGCTACAACGAGTGGCCACATGGTACACCTGCTGAAATTTCTGGAGCCCAAAGGCAGCTCCATGGAGAGCACAGTAGTCTAGCCTGGGTGTGCCTAATCCATACTTATTAAGGTTGGGGCTGCCTTCTCCAGTTCTTCCACACCAGCCTAAGCCTTTAGAAAGCAAGCCCAGGCACCCCTGCCTCCTTGTGACTGGGGGCCGAGTGCCGTGGATCCCCCAGATTGCAAACTTCAGGGGGAATGCAGCCCCATTTAGGGCCGTTTGCACCCTTCTGCCCAGATCAGCCACTTCTTCTACCCTCGCTCAGAGGCTTCCTTTTCATCACCAAGTTGTGGTGGTCTGCAATCCGCCTTTTAATTCGTCAAGTGCCATGCTTTCCCCCTTCTTCTGGGATAACCCACTGATGGCCGCTTCAGTCTTAGCTGCACTCCTGCTGGCCTGCTCAGGGTCCTCCCCCCCTCCCCCCTTAGGTTACATGTCCAGAAAAAAGGTGTGATCCCAGAGGTTGCCCCACCTGGAAGGCTGCTGGCTTGCCGTACCCATGTTATTAAGTAAACCAGTGTCTTCTGGGTGGCTAATATGAGCTTGCATCCCTATGAATAGTATCAGGCAGTAACCTGTGACTGATCGCACTGGTGTTCACAGAGCAAACAATTAACGTAAAACACAAAACTGAAGATACGAAAAGAGAGACGTAAGCAAAGCTTCATTCCTGTCTTCTCTTTCATCTTCTATGGACAGTCAAGCAGCTCAGCTGGCACAGTCCATCTGGTCCAGCATCCTGCTTCCGACTGTGGTTTGGGAGCTGCTTTTGGGAAGGCCAGACCCAGAGCTTGAAGGGAGCAGCTCTTCCCTGTAGGGGAGCATCTGGTTTTCAGAAGGCCCCTGCTCCCAGGCTTGGAAATCTCATTTAACTGTGATTGCTGCTAGCTCTTGATAGGCCCGTTCTGTGGAAGCATGCCCAGTTCCTTTGGTCCTTAGTTATTTTATCCATTCAGCAGTTTTTTATATAGAACAGGGAGACTAAAACACCTAAAATGAAAACTGAAGAATCTGCAACTGAGAAATATGTGATTCTAACAACACTTGAAGCTTTCCATCGAGTGCCACCTATGAGGCCCGGAGGGTGGCAACAAGGAAGCGGGCCCTCCTAGTGGTGGCCCCCTAACAGCCGAATGATCTCCCCACAGAGGCCCACTTTGGCATCCTTCTGGTGCGGGATTAAGAGAGCCTTCTGTGCCAAGGCACTTAGATAGCTAAAGATATTTAGTGTCTTCATGGATGCACCCATGCCAGGTGTTTTTAACAGGTCTGTTTTGTATCAAATGTCATTTAAGCTGTTAAATTGCTCTTAGATTTTGGATCAGGCAATGATGTCCTGGTGCATTATTGTATTATAGTCCTGTTCCAGGTACTGTAGAGAGTTTGGCTATTGGATGGTATCAAAATGGAATTATCATCATAGTCATAATGAGAAAGGTGATGGTGATAATATGGCCTGTCCCATTTTTGCATATTTTTCATATGCAAATAGCTGTCATCAATGTTAAATTTTGTGAAATATGTAGACATATGTAGTTCTGTAGTTCAGTAAGACGAATCTGTAAATGGACTGCAACACCAGTGATCCATTTCTTGTTCTTGTTCCTCGTTCCAGGTGCTGTCCATTAATGAGGAGGGACAGAAGAGGTGTGAGGAAAACACCAATCTCTTTGGCCGCCCCATCATGTTAGTACGCTTTTAGTTATGCCTGCGCGTGTAAGCCTGTTACATTTTAAAAACATGTCAATGTCTTCACAATTAGTGCTAAGGATGCTTTTTAGTCTGGAACATTCTGCCTCTAAATAGGATACTTAACAAGGAAAAAAGACTTTTTAAAAAATTGATGTTATATTTTGATCTCTTTATTTATTTATTTGTTTAAAACATTTCTGTGCCGCCCCCATTGCAACAAAGCCTCGGGGTGACTCACAGCATCCATAAAAATACAATCAAGAATTTAAAAAATGGTACCATCTCGGCTATATATTATAATCTATAAATACAATAATAATAAATTAACAGTTAAAATAACTGTTACGGGCGGGCATGTATGGACGCAGACGTTCCTTTAGATAACTTCTTGTTCTTGTAGCTTCTTGTTCTTCTCTGCTTGTTTGTTTGTTCAGTTGCAAAGTCATGCCCGACCCATCACAACCCCATGGACAGCCTTCCTCCAGGCTCTCCTGTCCTCCGCCATCCCCTGGAGTCCACCCATCCCCACACCCACCGCCCCAGCGACTCCATCTACCCACCTCATCCTCTGCCGCCCCTTCTCCTTTTGCCATCAAGCATCCCATGAAAACCCCATGGACAATCGCTTCTTGTACATGTCTACAAGTTGAGGGGGGCAGGGCAGGAGATAATTACTGCTTTCCTGAGCAGTGCTTGTAGAAACACCCCAAGCATTGCTTGGGACAACCGCCTCTGCTGGTTGCTCTTTCATTCAGGGTCGGGAAGCTGTGCAATGCCTGTGTGGGGTTTGGGAAGTGGCTTTAAAGGGTTCCTTTCTGCCAGGTCCTGGACCTGCCTGGTTGACCTCGAAGGGCTGAACATGCGTCACCTCTGGCGCCCCGGAGTAAAAGCTTTGCTTAGGACCATCGAGGTGGTTGAGGACAACTACCCGGAGACGCTGGGAAGGCTTCTGATTGTGCGAGCACCCCGAGTGTTCCCTGTTCTCTGGACACTGGTAAGCGTGTCCCACCTACGTTTTGTGACATTTGTGGGGAGGGGGCTAGTGTGCAGGGGCTCACGAGCAAGTCAAGAGCTGCAGACCTAAAAGGGCTATTTTGATTAACCTTCTTTCTTAATCTCTTTGACCTCTTTACTTAATCAAGGTTCTTGTCTGGGTAATTGCATCCCGAGTTTCATACATGCAGAATTTGCATTTTGATTCAAGAAGATGCTAAACGATGGTAACTATAAAACAGTTGTACTATGAAAATTGCTATACAGATTACAGATAATGGCACTATAGGTGCAAAAATGCTAGGTATGCACCAGTATATATACTTACTTCACAGCATTTTTACCCCACTCTTCAGTTAAATCAGGCTCCCAGAGCAGCTTGCAATGTCCCTGCCTCGAGGCTTACTATCTGCAAGACATGGCACAAAAGGAAAAGGAGTTGGGAGGGGAATAAAAACAAACGCAATCCTCAGGCACCACATCTTAGTCTCAACGTTCTGATATAGGTTCCTTCTGGCATGGAAAGGTGAAACAAAAGACCAGCTGCCGTTGCTTCTCTGGCCGATGTATGAGGCCAGGGCTAGGCAGAGCTCCTCCTTGCTGTGATACGCTTCCAAGGAAGGAGGGGGTGCAGTTTCCCAGTGACCCTTGTCCTCTGGCCAGTGGATGAGGATCAAGTTTCGGTGTTATCTTTTCCTTTTCATTCAGTTATACCTGCGAATGACTGAGAAAACCCTAAATGGTTGATACCAAATATGCTTTAGGGACTTCTTCCTTTCCCGTGCCTTATTATGATTGTTAAGCTCAGCTGGGTGCAGTTATTAATAAGAAAGTCCACGCATCAAGTTCAGATACTAAGAGTACATAGAGACTTGTGCTGGTCCAAGTCCTACCTACCATTCCCGATGGAGACTTGCCAAAGTCCAAGATGAAACATCCTTCGGAATGAACAGTGATTGGTTTTGGCTTGTTTTTGGAGTCAAGGTTAAAACAGGATTGAGGTTTCTTCAAGTGTATTTCAATTTGATTTAATTTTACTCTGTTTCTGAAGAGTTTACGTTGTTATTATGTTACGCCCCAGAACCCCAAACCTTTGGGTTCAGGCATTTTTTTACTTTCTATTTCAGGTTAGTCCTTTTATCAATGAGAACACCAGGCAGAAGTTTCTCATTTACAGTGGCAACAATTATCAGGGTCCTGGGGGACTTGTGGACTATCTAGACAAAGATGTCATTCCAGACTTCCTTGGAGGAGAATGTGTGGTAAGCGTGTAGAATGTCTGTAGTATCACAGCTTTAGGCGGAGCTTTCTTTTCCTTATCTTGTAGGAAGCATTAGAGCTTACTAAATACTTGCTCATATTAACACACAGTGTTCCAGTTCTGATACGACGTCCTCCAGTGTCAGCATCAGCATCAAGGCAAAGCTTCTGCTCTTGGTTTTGGAGAGAAGGCTGAAGCTTTAAGAGGGGTACAAAAATAAGGTTTCCTAGTTTGTGCTTCTGCAGTTACGGGTGCTTGTTTTGTGACAGATATTTTGGCCTACAATTCCCATGAACCCTAGCCAGCACAGCCAGTGGTGACTGATGATGGGAATTGTCAGCCAAAACATCTGGAAGGCCACAAGTTGCCCACCCCTGCTTTAAATGGTGTGACCTCAGCCATTTGATGTTGGCCTTGCTTGCTTGCTTGCTTATTTATTACCCTGCATTTTTTCCTTCAAGGAACTCAAGGTGACTGGCATAATTCTTCTCCCTGTCTTAATCTTATCCAACAACCTTGTAAGGTAGGTTAGGCTCAGAGTCAGTAACTGACCCAAAGTCACTCCGTGAGCTTTCTGGCTAGTTGGGACCTAGAACCTGGATTTCCCAAATCTCAGTTCAACAGTTTAACCACTGTGTGAGACAGAAAGTTCATGAAAGGAGCCAGTTCACACAACAACTTCACTCTTACCTGGCTTTTCCTGCCTGTGCAAGCTTAGCATGTTATCTGAACTGGGCCTCCTAGTTTGTGCCTTTTAAAAGCCTGGACTATAAACCAGGAATCGGTTTTGGTTTATGAATTCTGCCTTACTTGGGAGCAGCGATGGCAGGAGCCATGGTTTGGAGAACCTGTTAAGCTTATCTTTCCTGCTTAGTTTAGTCACTCCTACTCGCAGGACTACATACCTCATTCAAGGCAAGCGGGAATTCTTCAAGAAGATTGTAATTAGACCTATGAACAAAGGCAAAAGATTTCTGGAAAGACTTCCTGCAACAGCAGAGTCATCAAAAGTTTTGTTTCTCATTTTTATGACGGAGGATCAGAAAAAAAAAATCTAACCATTAAGCTGATCCATGTTATCCCTGGCCATCTTTTTCTTTATTTCTAAACGTTCAAGAATGAAAGAGACTTTTTTTCTTTTCTGAAGGCACAGTCACTGCCAAGATTTTGTTGCAAAAACACATTTTTCCTTCAGGCAGTTAGCAAACCTTGAAGCAATTTGGTTTGAGATACGCATAGCTTGTTGCACTGCAGGCACCTTCAGATGAGATGGGTACCTGGCCTAGCCAACCAGTCATGCACTGAGCAGAATCCTCGCAAGCACATTTTAAGTCATCCAGCTGTATACACACACACACATGTTCCTTATATTGGACAACCACACGTTGGGGGTTATATGAGCGGAACTGGCTGAAGCCGGGGGTCAAACTGGATGGCTCGCTTGTTTCTATGTTTCTATGTTTATTTGTAAAAAGTTACTGTCTCATACTCTGCAGTCCTACATGTCTCAGTCCCTTTGCACTCACTCCTTCCAGTTACTTTCCCCATCTTCCTGGGCCCTCGTACACTCCCGGCACTCCTGACCATATTGACCATTTTCTGAAGGAGTAGCATACAGACTGCAGGCTCTGGGTTCTGAATGTGTGGGAAATGCTCCTGTGGTCTTTCTTGGCTGTCCATGTGCCAGGCTGGACTTGCATTGGCTTTGGTGATGGCCACCACATTAGAAACATAGAAACAGAACGAGTCAGAAGGGGCCTCCCGGGCCATCTAGTCTGACATTGGATGGCTTCAAAGGGGGATTGGACAAATTCACGTGGGAGGAGGCTATCCTTGCATACTAACCTTGCTGGCTATGAATTCCCTGTTTTGCCAGAGGCTGTATGTCAGCATGCACCAGTTGCTCAGAGCTTGGGCAGGCAGAGGTCTCATTCCCCTCCTGCTTGAGGGATCCTGTGGGCAGCTGGTTTGCCACCATATGCAGAGAGTGCTGAACTAGCTGGACCTTTGGTTTGAATGGCTTTTCCTATGTTCTCTTGCCTAGTTACTATGCCAAAGGTGGTTGTTGTTAATTAGTATTATTATTATCATCATCATTAAAATTATTATTAGCCAGGTAACCCCCCCGCCCCATTTCTTTAACAGCTGGATGGAGTTTGTGTTGGTTTGCATACTGCTCATTCTGGGATGGATGTGTGTTTGTGTGTAGGAGAGAGGGGAGAGAACGGAACAAACGTGTTTTGTTCCTCCCATAGTGTAATGTGCCTGAAGGTGGTCTTGTCCCTAAGTCGTTGTATCAAACAGATGAAGAACCTGAAATTTCTGATCATATCCGTCTCTGGACAGAAACCATATATCACTCTGCAAATGTCTTCAAAGGCGCACCTCGTGAGGTAGGATGGAGAGGATCTTCTGGGCAAGAGCTGACACAAATAGCAGGGAAACCACAGGATCTGTGGCCCTGACTGTCCGGCCAGTGGCGTGCATTATTCCCGGCCAGGCACAGATAAGATTTTGGAGATGCAGTAAAGAAAGGAGAACTGTCTGGGGGTAAGAAGCAAAATCCTGATGTAATGCCCCTGCATATGCCCCAGATACGTCTGTCTGCTGCTGCTTCTCCTGATGGCAATTTGAGTGCAGATCACATGGAATAAAATGTGATGGTTTGCAGTTGCATCTAGGAGTTTCTGGGCTAGATTGCAAATGCATTCCCCTAGCCAGAAAGGGCCAAAGCACAACCACCTACATAGCAATCCCCACTGGTCCTTACCTGTCATGTTGCCTTCTGTAGTGTGAAGTTCTATGGGTTAAGCCTTTCTGTCTCAGTGGGGCTCGAGAAGAATTTTGCCTAGTGCTGTCTTGTTAGTGTGGCTCTGGGCTGAAAATGGGCCAGGTTTTTATAGTTTCCCAGCTGTACCTAAGCCACTCAGTTGGGTATTGGTAAGAAGGAGCCTGAGTGTATTCTGTACTTAAGAACTGCCAGGCTTTTGCATAACCCCTACCATCCCACTAATATGTAGCCTCAGATACTTGGATCGGGACTTTGCATGAGGGGACCATTGTCAGGAAGGCACAGATCTGGTCTGAGAAATTTGCAGTGAGATTTTGTGCTCAGCTTCTAGTCAGGAGGAATAGGAATCATTTGTGTCTTGCTTGGAGCCAGAAGTTGCTGCACTAGGTAACTAAGTGTTGGGTAAGACCAGCTTTATATGGAACAATAAGGTAGGTAGATGCTTACTTTTGTCTGTTATCTAATTTAGGTGGTCGTGGAGATCTTGGAGGGGGAATCAGTAATCACCTGGGATTTTGACATCCTGAAGGGGGATGTGGTGTTCAGCCTCTTCCATTCCAAGCGAGCTCCCGAGACCAGCTGGAAGGAACCTGCGGTGCCAAATGCTTTGACTGCTGGGGATAACGTACAGCTGATTGGCAAGAGCTGGATCCTGGGAGTGGATTATAGTCGAGTGGAATCTCCACTGATTTGCCGGGAAGGCGAGAGCATCCAGGTCAGTGGTGCTTCATGCTTGGCACATCCAGCCTTTGGGGTTCAATTGTTGTGCAGATTGAATTCTGCTGCACTGAACTGCACGATGTTCTCTCTGTGTGTTAGACTCTGGCACTCAAAGGTTTCCTCCAGGGAACCTTTTCCAAGGAAACATTGCACACCTGACATGGAAATCCACCGCATTGTTGGGGGTTCTGGGGCACGCTTCATGCAGGACCCCAGTTACGCTGCACCGTTGTGGCATGTGAACTTGAGTGTGCAATCTGAAACCCCCCCAGCATTCTTCACCAGTGGCACACTGCAGGGAAATGTGTGTAAGATTATTCCCGAGGAGCCTGCCATATGCTTCCCTGGAGCACAGTTTGGACATTCTTGTTTCAGAACTGAAGGCGTGAATAAGCACAGTTCATCCTTTAGCTAGAAAGGCCCAGAGAGCTGGAAAGTGGTAGTAACTCATCCCATTGGCATCCATGGGATACTTAACAGATGCTTGTAAGTGCTGTGACATGTGCACCAATTTTATTTCACTTTTGGAGCTTTGTACTGTTGTACAATTTGGCTGTTATTTCAAGATGTCAGGAATAAAGATGGCTTAAACAGAATTGAAAGCAACAAGGCTTTATATTTCCCTGACTATGTTTTGCCATCTATCTCTGTTCAGGGTTCCCATGTGACTCGCTGGCCAGGCTTTTATATCCTGCAGTGGAAAATGCACAGTCCAACTCCCTGTGCAGGGACCAGTCTCCCTCGGGTGGATGATGTCTTGGCCACACTGCAGGTCTCTAATCACAAGTGCAAGATCATGTATTACTATGAGGTTCTTGCATCCAAGGAGTTCAGGTAAGGGGGATGCCAGGGGAGATCTCTTGAATGGCTTGGTATGAGGGAGACAACAAGCAGCACTTGATGTGGTTGTGGAAAGCCATTGAAAAGAGTCCTAGTAACTGCTTTACTTCTTTATTTGACACACCTCTCAGTTTAAAATGCAATACAGTGTGTGATGATTTGCTCACCTTGTGAGATAAGCTTACAATATACCTGCAGCTCATTAATTAGCTCCTAATTTAATCCAGAAATAGTGCTGCATTTTGTCCTTGCCTTGCAACGCCTCCATCTGAGCACTGTGTTCTCCAAGACAGCAGAACTGTGACTGCTTGGGGCACAAGCTGCTGCCTTCAGCCTCTCCTGCTGCTGCGGTGTGTCTGCCTTCTGCTCTTACAAAGCATAGATGAATACATGGAAACATGGAAAATGCGGGTGACAATTCTGCTCTTGTTACCAATGTCCATTTTCCACTAGATATGGCAGAAGTGCCCCTCAAAATATTTTCTTTCAGGCTGGAAGTTGAGCAGCAAAAGCACGGTTCCTCATCCTCATGTTTGCCTCCAATATATCTCATTGACACAGTCTCATTGAACTGGTTTGCATGTTACAGTAGTCCATAGCTTGCTAAGCCATTGGTTAATTAGGATGAAGCGGGGGTGGGTGAATGTGCTGCTTCCAGGCTGGCAGGCTAGCCAGTCAGTTCTTCTAAGATAAATAATTCAGGAATGGAAAACCAGTGTTTAAATAGTCAGTAGTCAATGAGGTTGTTGGCTTCTAATTGACTGATCTAAACAACTCAAGGATGTTCCGTCCCTCGTTTGTTGTCCATGACATCGGAACAAAAAAAAGAAAAAAGAAAAAGGAGGTTGTTAGGTAAAGATAAAAACAGCCCAGACTTGTAACCCACCATTTATTGAGTTACAAGCATAAGCGGTTTCTCCTCCAGTAACCCACAATTCTGGCTTTAAATGTCCTGAACAGCAAGCCAGGGACGGAGCATCCATGTGGTGTTCGGCTCCACAAGGATCAGTTGATTGGGAGCCTGTTCTTGCTTGGTCCACCTGCTTAATCCCTGATGGCCTTGCTGTGCAAACTGGACAGTTCCATGGGAGAGGTTGTTCACTGAGCCATGTAATCCCAGATGTAAGTAGTTAACTCAGCTCTGGAGGCTAGAAGGTGCTCGAATGACAGTTGAATTTCTTAAGACACTTTAGAAGCAGGATTGGTCCTGCCTCGGAAGAGAACAAGAAGATGGTAACACTGGAACAAAGTGATTGTATCTTTGGTTGCACTTGGATGTCATTAAGGACACCATTTAACAAATGCCTCCCTCTCTTTCCACCCCAGGGGCTCCATGACAAGTCTGGAATCTTGCAACAGTGGTTTTTCACAGCTCAGTGTGGCCACAACATCCTCCAACCAGTCACAGAGCAGCTCTCTGGTTTCCAGATAACGTCATTTAGGACAGCGTTGAACACTAAGCATTGAATGGCTGGGCCAGGATGCTTCCCTCAGGTCAGCCCAAAGACTGAGCCAAGGGGCCTTGTCCCTGGGATGCCCACCCAGGGGACCACAAGGATGGCGTTTGGATGAAACACTGTTTCTAGTGAGCGACTCAGAATCCTCGTCTTTTTTCAGGAATAGACTTACAGCTTCAAAGTCCTGAAGACTGGCTTTCCTGGACTGTGTACTAACACACCTGTGCATCAGAATGCCTCTCCCTTTTGCATGAATTTTACAAAATTCCTATGGTTAAAGGGCTCTTTCCAGGCAGCACAGCTCTACATTACTGTGCAGCTATCTGGTGTTGCCTTACCTAGCAGGACTTGCCAAGTTGTCTTTAAGTGTAGCAAAGATTAGTCTAGTCTGGTCTCTTGGGGGCATCCACAATGCCATTTGTGTTTTAACAAGGTGCAGAGGGTGCCTCAGTAGCAGGAATTAAATGCAGATTGCTAATATGTACCTAAATTGGGGCACGGGAGGGGGAACCAGCTTTCCAGGTTACAGTAGGAAACTTATCTCAGTGGTTTTGTAACGTGGATATTACTAGTTAACATGCTTTGGCATTCCTGAGAAGCCCCAAAACCTACACGTTTTCCTTCAGTGCATGGAAATTGCTTCTTTAAAGGAGTAAGCACTGATTCCCCCCACCTCTTTTTTTCCTCAGGTCTGTGAGCAATAAATGAGTAGATCTCTTGCCCTTACCCTTTCTCAGGGTAGGAAGTGAGTTCCATTACAAAGGGCTAAGCAAAGCAATATTTTATTTTTTTCTACAGGCACAAAACTCTTCCACAGTGTTGAAGAAACCATTCTCTTTGAAAGTAGTGAATTCAAGTTGGTGTGGGCACTTGAAGTGTGTGTGTGTGTATGAGACTCAAACTCTTTAGACATATTTATTCAAGATTAAGACTTAAATTAATAGCTTATTTGTATTGTTTTATAGGTACAGCTGAACTATATATTATGGAACATATCCTCTTTTCTGTGTGCTCAGCTCCTGAGGCTGAAGTGGGGCGAGTTTTGATCATCTGTGTGTGTGTGTGTGTGTGGTTTTGCTGATACAGTTTCATAACTGGATATTTTCGGAGCACAGGGCTGCATTATACAGCATTAACTGCACAAGTGTCCCTTTAATCTTGAAGGGGTTGATTTTTATAAACTGTGGCTCACGTTGTAATTATCCTGGTTCTTGAATGATCCAGGACTGTGATTTTGTAAGTTTTAGATGTTCCAAATAGAAAACAGTGGGGACAAATGAAAATGCCAGTGCAAAAAGGGCACAGAGAGTGTGGTTTTGTGAAGCTACCTATGCTTGGAAGGAACAGAGTGATAAATGCTGAGATACTTCTGACTTCTCCTTGACAAGCTTTATTTTTCCTGTAACTGGGGCATGAGGAGGGAGACAATCAGGCTAGATTCCAAATGCCTCTGCTTGCTTGTGCATTTATTCAGATATGCACCACATGGCTGGGGAGAGAAAGGAAACATGACCAGGCTCAGCTGCATAAGCAGAATGCATCACCATCTTCCTGTCTTCTGTTCAGAGGGACTACAGAGAATTAACTGTCCAAGCTTGTCCTGAAAGCCTCATTCCTAGCAAGTCATGTTGAGGACATGGCTGTAATAGACTAGTACCTCTTTTATTTAGTTAATTGATTTTAATTTTTATATACTGCACCATGCCCATAGGCCCTGGGCAGTTTACAAGAAATTAAAACCAACAGCGATAAAAATGGACTAAAAACAACATATTAAATAAAGCTGATCTGTGAAACTGGGAAGGCCTGGCAGAAGAGACATGTCTAACTCCCTCTTACAGGTGGCAGTAGGGGAGATCAGATGCATCTTTGCTGGCAGGTCATTCCACATATTAGGGGCGACCACTGAGAAAGTCTTCTGGGTAGTTGACATTAATATTAGAAAAGCTGCCTTCAGAAGATGATCCCCAGAGGAACTTAGCTTGTGAGGCAGAATGTATACGCCAGGCGTCGGCAACCCATGGCTCTGGAGCCGCATGTGGCTCTTGAATCCCTCTGCTGCGGCTCCGTCGCTCAAAATACATGTCGCAGCTGCCGATCTGCGACCCACGCCGGCACAGCACAGCCGCCGATCTGCGACATGCACTGGCACAGCACAGTTGCCGATCTGTTTCATAAATGCAACACACTATAGTTTTTTATACATAGCACAAAGGTAAAAAACGATATATTCAGTGTTTTTTTCGTTTTAGAGGTCAAAAGAGTTTTGCAGCTCCCGGTATTTTCTTTTCTGTGGGAAACGGGTCCAAATGGCTCTTTGAGTGTTAAAGGTTGCCAACCCCTGGTATAGGCAAAGGCACTTCTGAAAGGTATTTGGGACCTACACCATTTTGGCCCTACACCATTAAAGGGTCCAACACCTTATACTATATCCAGAAATGTATTGGCAGCCAGATCAAACATTTTAGAATAAGTGATACGTGGTCTCCGCATGGTGCCTGGCTTGCTAGCGCAGTTTCCAGAGCAGGTGCAAGGGTAGCCCTCTGTAGAGTGCATTGCAGACATCAAACCTAGAAGTTACCAGCATGTGTGCTACTGTTTTCAGGTCATTCTCCTCCAGGAAGGGATACAGGGTTGTTGTTTTTTTTCCGATTTATATCCTGCCTTTTTCCTACAGAGGGCTCAAGGCAGCTTACATCATTCTCCTCCTCCATCTTATCCCCACAACAACAACCCTGTGAGGTAGGTTGGGCTGAGAGGCTGTGACTGGCCCACAATCACCCAGTTGGCTCCATGGCCGAGCGGGGACTAGAACCCAGATCGCCTGAGTCCCAGTCCCTCGCTCTTAACCACTACGCCACACTGGCTCTTCACAGTTGGTGGATCAGCCAAAGCTGAGAGCGGATGCTCTTGACCACAAGTTCTGTCTGAACTGACACCTGAAGGGCTGGGTCAAGCAGCACCCTTCAATGGCAAACATAGTCTTTCAGGGGGAGTATGACCCCCTCTAGAACTGGTTGAAACACCTCTAATCCTGGATTCTGACCCTTAACAGCAAACGCCTCTGTTTGTCTGGATCCAGCTGTCTGTTCTCATCCAGCTCATTACCAGCTTCAGGCATTCATTCAGAGAGGAAATGCTGTGTCCAGAAGCAGCAGCAGCCAATAAGGAGGAGAAGATTTGGGTGTCATCAGCATACTGATAACATCCAGCACCATTCCTTTGGGTGACCTCTCCCAGAAACTTCATGCAGGTGTTAAATAGCACTGGAGACAGAATGGGGCCCTGGCAGCTCTGTAGAGGAGCAGCAGTCTCTTAAGCATCACCCTCTGGAACTGACCCAAGGTAGGAATGGAACCACTGCAAAGCAGTGCCTCCAATTCCGTACCCCCTCAGACTATCCAGAAGGATACTATGGTCAATAGTATTGAAGGCCACTGAGAGGTCCAACAAAACCAACAGGGACACACTCCTCCTGTCAGTTCCAAGCCATAGATCATCTATTAGAGTGACCAAAGTAGTCGCAACACCATGTCCTGCCCAGAAGCCACTTTGAAATGGCTGCAGCAAATCGGTTTCACTCAGGACTGCCAGGAGCTGGAAAGCCACCTCCTTCGTTGTCACCCACACGTGCTCTGCACGCACATGTGGAACTCATTTGGAAATGTTCCAAAGGTGATTCAGTCTCTTCGCTACACCAGTCCTCTGCATGGCCCACAGCTTTAGGGCTCAATCCACACCAAAATCCTGGCAGAGCTAAGCCCGTTTTCGAAGTGGCCTGCACAGAAACCACTGCACTGATGACTGTCCTCCTCCTGCCCACACTACTTGAATTGCCTGCGTCTGTAGCTCCTCCTCCTTTCCCATCATGCACACTCCAATTTGATCATTTGAAACCTCATAGAATTCATCCAGAAGAGGACAATTTACTCTAGCTGACAGAGAGGATGGACACTTAGATGCTGCTGGACGCCGCTTCTACTCCTGCACTGCACTCTTGATCAAATTGGCTAATTACCGGGCAACTATGGCCAGGCACCACCTAGTGCTCTGGGACTGGGTGGCTTCACTGTGCTCATCCCTCCCTAAGAGGCACAAGCCTTCATAAGATAAAAACCGAAGCGACTCACTTTGCTTGCTAGACATCAAGCAGAATGTGGTGACAGAAACATGGCAGGGGCTCTAGGTCTTTGTTGACAATTCTGTGTTTTCTCACCCCGCCATTTGCAACCTACTCAAAGGTCTCACCTCATTCCACCTGTCTGACCACCTATACTGGCATGGGGCCCTTCTGTTGTCCTTCACACACTTACACAGAAACCCTTCAAACACATGGCTTCTGCTGACCTCTGTCTCAATTCATTCCAGATGGCTTTTTTGGTGGCCATCATTTCAGACCGCGCAGCCAGTGACTTCGCTGCCCTCAGGACCAACCCACCTTATTTCACCTGTCACAAAGATAAAGTGGTGCTCCACCCCAATCCCACTTTCTTACCGAAAGTCAACTCCACCTTTCATGTTAACAGGCACATACGCACCTGCCATCCCCACTGTGCCACTCGATACATATGGGATACACACATACCCCTTACCTTCTGGGATGATGGCATGTTCATGATGGCAGTCTTATCTTTCAAACTGAGGTCTCTGTGCCCATATGGACCACTGTCTTCTCTCATCCAGGTCTCTGTGAGACAGGCCAGGCTGATCCCCACCCTTCCTCCCTAACCAGATCATGAATGATTGCAGTTTATTAAGGGCCAGCCTGACATTACAAAGAGCAGCAAAAGGGATTGTGGGTGGCTCAGACGGCTCTCAGATTTACTGTTTGGATGACCAGGAGTGACAGTTGCAAGACAATATCCTCTCCTTTTCCAGCAACAGTCTGGAGAATGCTCTGTGGCCCAGCAGCAGTAGATTGGTTGTGCCCCTACACCTAATTCTCAAACCATAACTAAAAGACAGCGACTGTTGGAGGGGCAGGCCAGGTGCTTCCCATCTGCACTCATGGCCTTCAACTGAGGCAGTGGAGGTTGCTTCATCTTCAGGCAACTTCACGTAACATTCTCCAGTTGTTGTTCTATTTAATGAAGGCAGCCAAAAGGGAGAAAACGAGGAGTGACTAGGGGACAATTTGAACAGAAAAACAAGCCACTGGAGAGGGACTTCTAAGCACATGTGTACACAAAGCCAGGTAATTCATCAGTTGTTGGACAGATTGCTCCCATACCTGTAGGGAAACAGCAGCCTGTTTAAACTATTTGGCAATGGAGGAAGCAGGATCTTCACTCCAAATGGTTTCATCCAGAATGAAATGGCACATCCTGAATTCCCTTTTATTGGCAAACAGCATGTTTTTTGCTTCCTGGGAAATGTCTTAAGGGAGAATCAGGAGTTGCTCTGATGATGGGTCAGGCTGTTTCAACTTGCTATTTTTCTGAGAATGCCAGAGAGCTGTCTTTCGAGCTGTTTGCCCCTTTTCTCATGGTACATCGGCCTTTAACCCGGTGGCTTCCAGGTTGACTTTCGGCTCATATGAGCTCCAACTGGCGCCGTCGGTGGTCAGGAATAGTGGGAGGGGATTGGACCAGCACAAGGTGTATGTCTCAATGAGGGTATTTGACAGGTTTGCCTAACTTGGTGCCAGGACATGGTTGGAAGTCATATGATGTAGCAACACTGCTAAACAGGCAGTGTGGACCTGAACCATGTTTGGGTGGGATTATATTCTGCCTTGGGTTCTGTCGTGGAAGGCAGGCAGGAGATAAATGCCAGGAAGTGCTGCGCAACGCCCTGCATGTTCACTCAGAATTAAATCCTACTGGGGCTTGCTCCCCAGGCAGCATGGAAAGAACACCCATCATGAGTCCTGCCGGACATACTTCGGATGCTGGTACACAGGTGTGGGCAATTTTCCCAGTCCTCATTAATTCAGGCACTCACTGATGCCAGTGTCTTGGGCATAGTGCCTCCCAGATCAATTCCGAGCTGTGGGCCCAAGATGTGAAGACACTGGTTCCTTATATGATTGTCAACCATGCCTTGGTGCTGTGCAGGGAAGTGTTTCGGTACTGAAAATGCTCTCTCCCCCTCTCTTTTCCCATTATCTGAACACTGGAAATACTCTCTGTAGACGGAATAGCAATCCAGAGTTGATTTTTCCCATTTCAAGCAGTGTTTGCTCACCAGTAGGTTAGGTTTCATTTAGCTGATTTAACTAATGGTGTAAAATCAATGCCATATTGCTGTTGGGTGTCCTCCCTACAGCAGCAAGCATGCAATGCACTGTGAGGTGTTTTTGCCCGCACCTACTCCACCTGGGGAAAAGCACGGGGACGCAGTGCTGCTGGGGTGCAGCCAGGAGCAATATTACTGCTTTTCATTGTTGGACAATCAGCTCTCGAACTGTGCATTGCACAAAACAGTTTGCACCACGAGAGAAGCTTGCAATGGAAGCAAAACGTAGAAGAACGTTCCAGCTGCTGCATCAGAAAGGCTGAGGCAGTGAATACCTGAGGGGCTGGGGGGCTGCCTGCTGCACCTGCAGAGGTGGGCATGCTGGATTCATGGGATCAGCCTAGGAATGGGCCGTGCATCTTGTAATTCTGTGCGGCAATAATTACATTCCAGGGCATGGGGGTTAACAACCAGAAGCCACCAAGCTTGGGTGTAAATCGTATTCAAAGATTATGTCCAAAGATATCGGTCCTTTTCCTCCTTTTTCCATATAATGGGTATTCTTTCTGCCAGCACATTGAGTGCAGTTCTCAAACAGGAATATTCGGTCTGTGACTTCTAGGCAGTGGATCTCTAAAGACTGTTTAGTTAGAGGAAACCAGCACCAATGCTGGTCAAGGAACAGATAAACAACCCTCCTGTCCAAAGCAGACCCCCCACCCCACCCCCAGCAGCCGTATTTCCACTAGTTAGCCTCACTGGAAGACTTGTGGACTCTAAGTGGATGGTGTTCTGGGGAACTGAAAAGAAGTGCAGGTAAACCTTGCAGAGATCCGTTTTTCTCCCTCTCAGTGCTGGAATTTGGATTCAGGCCATGCTAGCAACAGGCCGGCGATTCAGGCCAGGCAGCGGTACTACGCACAGCATGCAATGAAGCGGACCCGCGCGCGGTGCGGGAGGGCTGCTGCTTAGGTGGCGTTCCAAGTGGATTAAGGAGATGTGTGGAGGATGCGTGTCGGTGCCGCATGTGGAAAGGTGGGAGCCACGCTGAAGGAACGGCGACTGCCCGGTTCTGAGGCCACGTGTGCCTGGCGGCCTGTCACTGGTGCTCAGGAGAGGAGGGGCTCTTGCATTTCTGTGAGAGGCGGGATGCTGGACAAGCAGCTCTGGCCTGATCCTAAGAGGTTGCTTACGAAGCTGAGAGAACGGGGGTGTACTGTATTGCAATGTAAACTGCTTTCTTGCTAAGCCACTTACAGATTTTACTGTGTTGAGCAGTATACAAGAATAATAATAAGTAAAATATCTGAGTTCTCTTGAAGCAAGTTTAACATGAGTTAAAATTATATGTATTGACACATTTGCACAAATGTAACATACAGATTCCTAATTAGCCTGTCCTCTATTAACCCTTCAACATTTGTTGGCAAAGACCTGGGAACTGAGGGATGAGTGGCCATGCAAAGGGATGGTGTACATGTTTTTTTCCCGTCCTTGAACATTCTGGACAAATTGCCCTCCAAACCCAATCCTTTAAAGGGCGCTGCACGTACATTTTGAATCTTGAGAATCTTGAGTTCTAGTAGCTTAGTTTTTTTAAGTGCCAACCAAGATTATTGACAGTCTAGGCTGCATCCAAGTCCACAAGGAACGAAACCTTGTTTTGCAAATCACCAGGTCCTGCCTTTCAGTGTTTGAGGTACTAGCATAGTGCCTTTCCTACATGCTGGTGGAAAGGGAGGCTGTGACTACTGCCGCCGCCGTTTGAACTGGCTTCCTTTTTGCACTTTACCATTAAGAAGAAGTGGCCCTTTGGGTGCAAGGCTAGCATGAGTGAACTCTCTTTTCCTATATAGTTTGGGTTGATAGTTTTGAAGCCAAGGATGCTTCCAGATGCAGGTTATCCAGGACTGTGCATCAGAATGCACTGGAAGTCACTCCCTCTTTTCTGTGGACAGAAAAAGGGCAGGTGTAGCAATGGAAAAACATGGGAGGCGTACAAGCATAAAACAACATCTACACACAGGAGATGACATCATCTGGACACCCCCCCCATAAAATCGTGTATATGATGTAGGGAGTATATGGTGTATGATATATGGAAATTGCATGATCAAAGCCTCAGCTGGAAGCATTCCAGAACATCCTAATACTCTGGTCAGCAACTAGTTCTTACAAATGAGCCATTCAGAAGTAGTTACTAGGAAGTGAATGTTCCACGGCCATAACCTGTACTTTCCACATACACCTGTACATGCCCGATGGTAACTGCTGTTGAGCTGGGGGTGGTGGGGGGGGCATATGGGCTTCCTGTGGCAGATCCCTAACCTAGTATTCTGTATGTGGAGCTCAGGCAGCTTTCTTTGATGCTATTAGACTTGATTCCTCCTCCTCCTCTGCTGTGCTAATTGTTTGAACCACTTTACTGTGACCTTGTCAATGCAACATAATTTAATCGCGTCTAGACAGCCTTTACTACAAGCCATGCAGAATGGTTTCCTGTCTTATGGGCATTTTACTGAGATTGTGCAAATGGTACCTTAGTCTCAAGACGACTTGCAAGAGGGCTGCTAAAATTACCCGCTGGCAGCACTGACACTGGCTAAACTGGTGCTGGCACAGTGACAAATCACTTTAGGGGCACTTAACTCCTGACCTGCTCACATGGGCCTCCTGAAAGAAGGAGCAGCTAAGCTGTGGTGGTTTGCCTCGCAACACGGACTTATTTCTGTACGCAAGAGGTTTTCCGATCAATATTCGTATGCATGTCGGTGGTCCACAAATGTGCTATGAAAGCTCCGTTTAGCAGTGTCTCCTTCAGAGGCCGGATGCTACTAATATCTGTGTTTTCCATTTTGCTGCAACTTAAAATAAAAAATAATAATCTGGAGAGGGGTTGTTTTTAACTTTAGGGGAAGGCAGATGAGTAATTTCCATGTGGTCATTCCTGGGCATTATACAATGATAAACACAGCACTTCCTGACCTGTCAACTTTTGTAAGCTGTCATGAGAATCCCATGGATGCGTGCATTCCCTCCTCAGACCTGCCCAAAATATTTTAATTAAATCTCCCCCTCCTCTATTTGCAAAGCTAACTGCATTGTGGCATTGTTTGTGCCCTGAGATCAACACTTGCCAGGGCCGGTTTCAGAAACAAAAAGAGCCGCTCAGTGCAGGGATTTGGAAGTGGCTTGCAAGCTCAGCTTAGAGATTCCCACAATTAGCGTTTCCCTCAGCACAGGTGGACTGCTGAGGCACCACCTGTTGCCGATGCGCAAGCTCAGAGCCTGCCCTCAATCCCTGTTTCAAAAAGTCAGGAAACACATGTTGCCTCTATCTCAATCTGCATGTCATGACTTTTGCTGGAGTCTTTTCTTCTGTTTCCCTTAGTGATTCCATTTTAGTGGCGAAAAAGAACTCAAGAATGAGCTGGGCATGCTGGCTGAAGATTATGGAAGATGGAAGCCACTAGGTTGGAGATGGCTGCTCATCTTGTAGGACTCCAAGGCCTGCCTATCCTACATTTTGCTTGAAGCTTCTTCACCGAAATAAAGACGCAGGCCTACGGCCATACTTGACTTCTCAGCCCATCCTCCTCCTCCTCGCGCACTCACCCACCCACCGGCAGAATCCTAACACGAACGTTTATTTCCAGCTAGCAAACAAACGCAGCTTTGCTTAGCTTGCAATAACCCTTAGTTTGATATGGCTGGCCTTCAAGCGAATTTGTAGCTCTCTTTGTTGGACCCACTGTGTCCACCATGCCTGAGTGCAGGCATGCTGGTGAAAGGCCCCTGCCGTGGTGCATCCTGACAGCCCTCCGAGGGAGGGGCATCCCTTTGCTTGTCACCAGGCCAGCCGAATCCTCTCCTGGCTTCTAACAGCATGGTCTGCTAAAGTACGTTCAGGTTAGGGAAGACTGCCCCTAGTGACTTAAAAGGTTACCACAGGCACATGTGAATGAATTAAATGAAATTGACAGGAATGCGCCTTGAAACAAAATAATCTAGAGGGGCTTGCCATTAGGATCCTTGATGCACATCAAACTTCAGGTGTTAAGATTTCATGGTCTTACAGCTGATGGATGAATTGACCCACATCCTCTTGGAATAGTTTAGATTTTGAGGGAAAGAAGACCTAGTTGATGTTGTTGTTGTTAGTCGCAAAGTCATGTCCAACCCATCGCGACCCCATGGACAACATTCCTCCAGGCCTTCCTGTCCTCCACCATCCCCCGGAGTCCACTTAGGTTCACGCTGACTGCCCCAGTGACCCCATCTAGCCACCTCATTCTCTGCCATCCCCTCCTTCTTTTGCCATCTATTGTTCCCAGCATTAGACTCTTCTCTAGGGACTCCATCCTTCTCATTAGGTGGCCAAAGTATTTGAGTTTCATCTTCAGTATCTGGCCTTCTAAAGAGCAGTCAGGGTTGATCTCCTCTAGGACTGACCGGTTTGATCGCCTTGCGGTCCAAGGGATTCGCAGGAGTTTCCTCCAGCACCACAATTCAAAGGCCTCAATCCTTTGGCGCTCAGCCTTCCTTATGGTCAGCTTTCACAGCCATACATTGCAACTGGGAAAGCCAACTTTTGCACTTTCCTCCTTCACCTGCATCAAGAGGCTCTTTAGTTCCTCTTCACTTTCTGCCATTAGAGTGGTATCATCTGCATATCTGAGGTTGTTGGTATTTCTCCCAGCAATCTTAATTCCAACTGGTGATTCATGTAGCCCCGCCTTTCTCATGATGTGCTCTGCATATAAGTTAAATAGGCAGGGCAACCGTATACAGCCTTGCCAAACTCCTTTCTCAATTTTGAACCAATCAGTGGTTCCGTGTGCAGATCTCACTGTTGCTTCTTGACCCGCATATAGGTTTCTCAAGGGACAAATGAGATGGTCTGGTACTCCCATCTCTCTAAGAACTTGCCACAATTTGTTGTGATCCACACAGTCAAAGGCTTTAGCATAGTCAATGAAGCAGAAGTAGATGTTTTTCTGGAACTCCCTAGCTTTCTCCATGATCCAGCGTATGTTGGCAATTTGATCTCTAGTTCCTCTCCCTCTTCGAAATCCTGCCTGTACTTCTGGTAGTTCTAGGTCCACATACTGCTGGAGCCTAGCTTGTAGGATTTTGAGCATAACTTTGCTAGCATGTGAAATGAGTACAATGGTGCGTTAGTTTGAACATTCTTTGGCACTGCCCTTCTTTGGGATGGGAATATAAACTGACCTTTTCCAATCCTGTGGCCACTCTTGAGTTTTCCAAATTTGCTGGCGTATTGAGTGTTGCACTTTTACTGCATTGTCTTTTAAGATTTTGAATAGCTCAGCTGGAATACTGTCTCCTCCACTAGCTTTGTTGTTGCCCAGACTTCCTAAGGCCCATTTGACTTCACATTCCAGGATGTCTGGCTCGAGGTCAGTGACCACCCCATCATGGTTATCAGAGATGTTAAGCTCTTTCTTGTATGTAATCTGTGTAATCTTACCACCTCTTCTTAATCTCTTCTGCCTCTGTTAGGTCCCTGCCATTTTGGTCCTTTATCATGCCCATCTTTGCATGAAATGTTCCCTTCATATCTCCAATTTCTTGAAGAGATCTCTGGTCCTCCCTATTCTATTGTTTTCCTCTATTTCTTTGCGCTGTTCATTTAAGAAGGCATTCTTATCTCTTCTAGCTATTCTCTGGAATTCTGCATTCAAATGGGTTTATCTTTCTCCCTTGCCTTTCGCTTCCCTTCTTTATTCAGCTATTTGTAAAGCTTCCTCAGACAGCCATTTTGCTTTCTTGCATTTCTTTTTCCTTGGGATGGTTTTAGTTGCTATCTCTTGTACAATGTTGCGAACCTCCGTCCATAGTTCTTCAGGCACTCTGATCTGTCTATCTTTTCTGTCTATCAGATCTAATTCCTTAAATCTATTTGTCACCTCTACTGTATATTCATCAGGGATATGATTTAGGTCATACCTGAGTGGCCTAATGCCTTTCCCTACTTTCTTCAATTTAAGCCTAAATTTTGCAACAAGAAGCTTGTGATCTGAGCCTCAATCAGCTCCTGGTCTAGTTTTTACTGACTGTATAGAGCTTCTCCATCTTTGGCTGCAGAGCACATAGTCAATCTGATTTCTGGGTTGACCATCTGGTGATGTCCATGTGTAGAGTTGTCTCGTGGGTTCTTGGAACCCACTTACTATGACCATCAAATTCTCTTGACAAAATTCTACCAGCCTGTGCCCTGCTTCATTTTGTACTCCAAGGCCAAACTTGCCTGTTATTCCAGTTATCTTTTGGCTTCCTACTTTAGCATTCCAATTCCCCATGATGATAAGGACATCATTTTTTGGTGTTAACTCTGGTGTTAACTCTAGAAGATGTTGTAGGCCTTCATAGAACCAGTCAACTTCAGCCTCTTCAACACCAGTGGTTGGGGCATAGACTTGGACTACTGAATGGTTTGCCTTGGATTCGAACTGAGATCATTCTGTCATTTTGGAGATTGTATCCCGGTACTGCTTTTCCTACTCTTTTATTGACTATGAAGGCTACTCCATTTCTTCTGAGGGATTCTTGCCCGCAGTAGTATACCTGATGGTCATCTGAATTAAATTCACCCATTCCTGTCCATTTTAGATCACTGATTCCTAAGATGTCGATGTTCAGTCTTGTCATCTCTTGTTTGACCATGTCCAGCTTGCCTTGATTCATGGATCTTACATTCCAGGTTCCTATGGAGTACAGATCTTTGCAGCATCGGGCTCTCCTTTCACCACCAGATACATCTGCAACTGAGTGTCCTTTCGGCTTTGACCCAGTCGCTTCATTCTTTCTGGCGCTACTAGTACTAGCCCTCCGCTCTTCCCCAGTAGCATATCGGACACCTTCCGACCTGAGGGGCTCATCTTCCAGCGTCATATCTTTTTGCCTTTTGGTACTGTCCATGGGGTTTTCATGGCAAGGATACTGGAGTGGGTTGCCATTTCCTTCTCCAGTGAATCACCTTTTGTCAGAGCTCTCTGCTATGACCTGTCCATCTTTGGAGACACTGCACGGCATAGCTCATAGCTTCAATGAGCTACGCAAGCCCCTTCGCCACGACAAGGCAGTGATCCATGAAGGAGCAGTTGACATAGGGAGACTTAAAATCTGTTCTTTGGAAGTGAATCCATTTTCTGAAATCCTTTTTCTTTTAAATATCTTTATGCATGTTCAATGATGCCATCTCTATAATCATGGATGAACTGTATTTCACAGAGTTCTTCCTTACATGGAACAGTTTCTCCATCAAAGTAAACCATATATAGAGAACCAAAGGAATTCTTGAATCCAGGGTACAGAAATGGCCCAAACCTATACATGTTTGGACAGAAAAACAGTCCTACTTCTCTGAGCATGCATTTATTTTCCATTATGTTTTCCTTCTACACACACATCAGCCAAATTTCAACAGCTTTGAAGTAGTGCTTTCAGTAGCATGATCAATGGAACAACTTCTTCCCTGCCTTGGATGTGTTTTCCCTTCACAGGCTACGGGCTTGCAGCCTGGCCCCCCTGGCTGCAGGCCCGTAGCAAACCGCTGGGCCACCGCAGGCTCTCTTGGCAATCATTATAGTCATCTTTGTTTCTGGTGAGGCTTCTCTCTTTCCAAGGATGCTTAATGGACTCTTTTTGTTCCCGTAAATGTTCCCCAGCCTCTCTAATGACCATTTTATTATTGCTATTAAGATTAAACAATGTTTGCTACTCTACGTGGGGAGTGGTAATTTTTTGGTGAGTGACAAATTCATTTCATGGCACAATCAGGCGAGCAGTAAAAAGCTGCTAAGCCATCCGTACAGTAACCGAATGAGGAGGAAAAGGCACTGTGCTGATTTCACACACACATTCTGTTTTTCCTGTGCTGCCTTGTGTTTTGGAATAAACTTGGCCTCTTACACTGGGTTTTTTCCTGACGTGCTCTGTCCTGCTCGCCGTACATCCCGGATGTTGTAGGCCCACACTCGTTCCAAATTGTCTCCAGCAACTCTGGTGGGTGTCCAGCCAAGGAAAGGGAAGCGAGCAGCCACGACACAGGCTTCGTCTGGAAGTTCAGAAAGCAGCTTTTTCTCCAGGAGAGGTACCTGTTCAAGGAGGCGAGAGGTGATGGTCTAAACTTCTGGAAGGAGATTCCATCATATTTCTATTAATGTGGGCCATGGTTGGTCATTTTAATACTACTAAAAAACAGAATAGGTGCAGTTGGTTTATGTGAAAATTCTGCATTTTAACCACATTTTTATTTTTATATAGATATATATATGCCACTTATTTTGCTAGCAGCATTCCTAGGCAGTTCACAATATTAAAAGAATGTACAATAAAACATGAATGCAGTATTTTCATCTGAACTGGGACAATGAAACTACTGGGGGCATGTTATATGATTTTTCCCAAGTTTTCTGTATAAAATGAGTTAAGAGCAAGTCCAGTCTCCCACTGATATTCTGAAATTATGCAGTGTGATAGTAATTGCTTAATGTGATTTCACTGCTTTGAATCACTTAACAGTGGCAGTTACATATGTACTCACAGTTCCTGTGCCCAGGATTTCTTTCATATTGCCTCGTTGTACGTCAATAAGTATAGGGCAAAGTTAGACAATTCTGGGCTTTTTTGAAAATAAATCTGATCTGTGAGGAGAGAACCTGCTGATTTATTTCCATAATATGGGGAAACTGCTGGATAAAGAAAGGACAGAGTACAAAGCCATTGAAAAAAGTTACTTTGCTAATTGCATCTCCACAGTGACATGTGCCTTTTACTCCATATTCTGCTTTTATAATTCTGTTTGCTAAGGATGGACTATAAGAAACCAACTGCAGGAAAACCTTTGATGCCTGGATACTGCAAACCAAACACCAGCCAGTTTTCTCTTCAGCTGACCATGAACAAACAGATCTGGGAGTGCATAATAAGCAAATAATAAGCATATCTAATCTTCAACTGATCAGGATCCTGCCATGCTCCTTGCTTCCTACCAGCATCAGGGCAAGGTGATGGAAATGGTGAATTTCAAACTGCAGTCTGCAGAAAGGAGGCCTTCCTTACTTTTGGCTGACTCTGCAGGCAGGGGGAAAGCCAGCAGCTCTCAGCACCTGGCCAGAGCCAAATGCACAGCAGCTGTTGCAAATGGAGCATGCAGATGTGATGCCTCAGCAGGACAATATTGGGTACTTCTGGGGCACTCACTGTGCCCTACTAATGAATGGACTCAATTTTTGCCGCCTGATCCCAGCAGCAAAAGGCAGCCTATATTAAAATGTATGAAACAGCCAATATTAGATCAACGTGTTGCCGAAGCTGATAAGTTCCCCTCGGGCTGTTGGCAGAGGGATACAATCAAAGATTTTCTAGGCTTGACGGTCATCAGCAAATGGGTTTTCCTGCTGTTTCTGTCAAAAACTGCTTTGAGTGGGGAGGTAGCATTTGGAGTGCTAATTTACCCATTCTCTCTTGGGAAGTTTCACTTCCAAGTGAAATCTCAGACTGAGATTATGCTATTAGATCAAGAGAGGTATTACTACCACTCTATACGACTCTGGTATGCCCGCAACTGGAGTACTGTGCTCAGTTTTGGGCCCCTCATTACAGGAAGGATATAGCCACGTTGGAGTCAGTGCAGCGTAGGGCCACAAGGTTGGTGGCCGGTTTGCAGGGGATGCCGTATGAGGCCAGACTGAGGGAACTGGGTCTCTTCAGCCTGGAGAAGAGGAGACTCAGAGGGGATCTGTTGGCGACATGCAGGTATGTGAGGGGGTGTTACGTGGAGGTGGGTAGAGACCTGTTCTCCCCTGCAGAGGAAGGCAGGACGTGCTTCAATGGAGCCAAGTTCAGGGAACCAAGGTTCAATTTGGATGCCAGGAAGCACTTCCTGACAGTCAGGACCCCAAGGGTGTGAAATGGGCTTCCACAGGGGGTGTTTGAGGCCCCATCGGTGTGGGTGTTCAAGGATAGGCTGGACATGCACATGGTGGGCATGTCAGGAGTGGAGCCGGCTGGTGCCGGAAGTCAGACTAGATGGCCCAGGAGGCCCCTTCTGACTTGCTCTGTTTCTATGTTTCTATTGTATTCACCATCACAATGTATGGGTGTGAAAGCTGGACAGTGAAGAGAGCTGACAGGGAAGCTGAAATGTTGAAAGCATGGTGCTGGAGGAAAGTTTTGTGAATACTCTGGACCACCAGAAGGATGAAACTTTTGGCTCCTAGATGAAATCAAGCCAGAGCTTTCCCTGGGGGCAAAAATAGCTGAGGTTGTTGCACTTTGGGCACATCATGAGAAGGCAAGACTCATTCCAGGGAACATCAAAGGCAGGAGGCGAAAGGGAAGTCCAGATGTAAAATGGATTTATTTCATTATGGAAGCCACAGCCTTATGTGGACAAGAATTAGGTGGGCCTGTCAAAGGCAGGACATCTGGGACGGCATTCATGCCTTGGGTTTCCTTCCATAAGTCAGAAATGACTCCGCAGCACAGAACAGCAGCAGCACTTGTTAATAGTTCCCAGTTTCAGAGCGCTGGCAAGGGAGAGTTCAGCCCAAAGGGTCTTACAGGTGCTGCCTAACATGGGTCTTTGTCCTTGCCAGTCAGGGTGAGGTTGGCGGCGAGGGTGGGAGGGCAGTGTTTGTTTAAGCCCTCGAGGTCACGTGCCACCGTAATCTTGTTTACAATCTCGGATGGGAAACCACTATGAACAGATAATGGGGCCTCAACATGCAGTCACTCAGGCAGTGGCCTCTCCTGGGCGCTTCTTTAACCTGGGGGTGCCAGGGATGGAAGAGGGAACTTTCTGCACGCCGGTGACCGTCCAGAAACTGAGCACATGGCATGGTTCCAGTAACAGAGATTCTCCAGCAAGCCGGCACTCTGGTCCATGGAGGGGCTAGACTGCAGCAGCATTTTCTCCTATCTTGGCAGTCTCTCTCCAAGGCCTTCCGACCCTGCAGTCCGAGATTCCTTGCGGCACACCCCATGCATGTTTAGGCAGAAACAGGCCTAAGACTCCCAGCCTGCAGGCCTTTCTTTCCTATCTAAGCTCGTGCAGAGCAAAGGGTTGAATGCAGGGCCCCTGCCACGGGAAGCATGCCTTTTGGCCAAGCGTCACTGCATTCCTACAAGGTCTGAAAGCATGGAACTGCAAAGTGGGCTGGTTTCTTGCCCTGAGGCTGCTTCCCTCCTCCAGGAACAGCCAAGGGACACCAGTCAGAAAGGGGACTACCCTTCAGTGCAAAACATGTTCCACGGGGCCTCTTCTGCTTGCTGCCACACGTTTCTGGCTGTGAAAAGCAACTGTGCACACAGTTGTGGTGCTACTTCGCTGAAGCCCTACAGATCTCACAGCAGTTGGCGTTTGGGCCAAGTACCCTGGTCTCAGCTGGTGCAGCACACCTGCTGGCACGCTCTACTCACCATGCTGGGGGCCAAGAAGACAGTGACGTTGTTGCAGTTGGAGAGATCTGCCTAAAAATAGCAACCACAAAAGTACAACTTAGTCAAGACACACATAACTGGGACCCTCAATCAAATGTTGGCGCATAGAGTGCTCCCAGTTACAAAATGCGTTTTCCATTCCTCACCCATCCAACAGAGACCCCAGATTCAGTGCCCTCTCAGCTTGTTTTGGCCCCGCCCTGCCCTGCCCTGTAAGTGTTTTGATCCCCGTGTTATTTCTGTGCCTCTGCAAACACTGGGGTAAGCCTTGGCCTGCTGGAAGTTTCCACTTGTGTGATGGGGTGCTGTTTTGGCTAAACAAGGCACCTAGAGACTCAAGATCACTTCAGGGGTGTGGAAGTCTTTCCTACCCAAGGGTCCAGTTCACATTTGGAGATGCTCTTGGGGGCCCATGTTGCAGCAGTGGCTGGGCTGAAGGCAAAAGGGGTACAGCCAAATACGCCCCCTAAGATGCCTACCTATTTTAGGATCATGCTCTTAATGCAAGCACCTAAGCAGTAGGCGAGTCATGTCGTGTTTTGGGAGGGGGAAAGTGCTCACAAGCCAGAAGATCAGCAGGCAATTGGTAACCGGGGGAAAGCAGGTATGGTCTTTTAGGAACCCTCCAAGGCTCTCCAGAGGGGGACCCCAGAAGCACTGGTTTTTCCATCTGAACCTCTGTTTCCCCCGCCCTTTTCTACACCTGTCGGCTCAACACCAGTGCCCTGGTCTACAGGACTACTCCCACCATGCTTCAGAAGGCAGAGTACAGATCCACAGCAAGTCGGTCCCTTCTCAGTGCAGCAAGAGAGTGAGGAAACAGCACGCCAATTTACTGAACGGATGCTCTGAAGGCTTTGTCTGGGGACCTCTGGTGAGAGCTGAGGCAGTGCCTATAAAGTTTCCAGGCACAAGGCATTTGGAAGTATCTTGGCCATGCCTCTGTGAAAGGTAAAAACGTAAGATGTCCCCAGCAACCAGCTTTCAACACGGGACAGTCAAACACGTCCAGGCTCTCTCTTGCAACTCCTATTCAGAGGCCCATGGGAGGGTCCATTTAGGTATCACTTCTTCCAGGTCAGCAGAGTCAGGTGGAGGCCCAGGAGCACAGCTAAAGCAGGTCTCTGTGAGAAAGGTATCCAGAACTACCCTAAGACCCAGAGAAGAGAAAATCTTGGAAGAATTGGACAACTGGAGAGGGAATGGCGTGGAATAGCCTGACAGTGGGAACAGCAAGCTGGCTGGAACCCTAAAAAGCAGCTGTCTGCACCAAGACATTTTGATTTAGCCTACTAGCTGCTAAACTCCGTACTCCCCCTCGGAAGTCACAAGTCACGGAAGCCTGCTGCCACAGCATCTCACGGCATCACATTCCTTATCTGTGCAACTCTGAGAAAGGTAAAGTAGTGGGAATCCATGTGTCTTTAGATGTGTCAAGCTACCCTTCCCATCTTCCCTATGGGCAGGGTGGACAGAAGTTGTCCAAACCATCTGGATGATACTGAATTGAGGAAGGCTGCCCCTGTCGCCTTCACTTCTTTATCAGATTGTAACTGATGATGTTTTGGTTCTTATTAAGGGCATGTCTAGCACATTAGTCTGCATGCTTGTCTGCTGAAAGTGCAAGTATAAAGGAGATGTTGACAAATTAGCCATGAAGTTATCAATTCCCTAACACTTCTCATATTCTGGGCATCAGTGTGTCAGTCAGTCAGTTTTCAATAAAGCCTCTTTAACTTCCTAGGTACATGAAGTCTGTTGAGAACTGTAAGCTAGCGATCGCTCATGACCATAGTTATTGATGCTTGCCAAGCAGTTTAAAACTGATGGCCATCTCAATATGCAATTGACTCATTATAAGCAGTATAAAATGCAGTCTTCCGCATACCACGTGGGCCAAATGTCTGCGTTTTTCCACAACACTTGGGCATTTGCATATGGTTGCTGCTGCTGCTGTTGGGCCACAGAGAGGACAATCCAGTTTATTTCTGTTTCTGCAGTGTCTGGCTGGAGAAGCATTACCTAGACTAGAGGTTCCCAACCTTGTTGGGACCATGGACACATGTGGGGATCTGTGGCCACCATGACAAATGCCTGATTGGTGGATCATTCTTGGTGGATCCTTCTTTGGTGTCTGCATGGACCTTGGGCTGCATCTTATCCAGTAAAGATGTTTTTCTATTGGGCATCACAAGGCCTCTTAATAAGGGATTGTTTTTCAGCTAAGTGCTGGTGGTCCAGTTTAGCTATGCTTCTTTCACATGCATGCATTTTGGCAATGCCCAGCCATGGCTGCTTTCTGGGAGAAAGTTATTACATGGATAAATGTGGTACTGGAACAGTCTTTAATATTCATTGATGTACAGCTTTTAAATGATTGAGTTGCTTCATGGAAATAAACAAATGAAAATGGATTCTCCAGGGCCTCTTGACAGTACTGGAAGGAGATAAACTCACTTCCTATAGTGCAAAGGGTGGAGGAGCTTGAAAGGTTTTCATATTAACTGATGGCCTGGAGAGGCCAGCTTGAAATGGATACTTAGAGACACAGAAACAGAGCGAGTCAGAAGGGGTCTCCTGGGTCATCTAGTCTGACTGTCTGCTCCAGCTGGCTCTGCTCATGATGTGCCCACCATGTGCATGTCCAATTTAGACAACGGTCTGCTTTTCTTGAAGCTGATGCATATTTGCCAGAAACATGTATGCACTCCACACTGCTATGGAGGTACATGTCTGTGCTTATTTTAAAATGGGGAAAATAGGAAAAAGGTGCTGCAGATGCCTGCAGGTGACACTTTGAGGCATGTTCTATGGGCCAATTGAAATGGATTTACGTGTCTTCTGCACGCCCCCATGGGCTAATTACTCTGATTTTTTCTGCAACATCTATGATTACGTCATCTACTACTGGGCTAGTAAAGACAGGATAGGGTTTATTTCTGTTTTGCAGTGTGAGACTGGGGAAAGGGTCACATTGGCCAAGGCCTCCTCGGTACTTAATCCTCCTGTACTACAGAGGTTATAGGAGGAAAAGCAGGCGGTTGTACATCTGGGGAAGGGGCCAGCCTCGGCAGGCAGAGCCCCAGCTTTCCATGGCATCTCCCACAGGGCAGGGAAAGCTGCTTCTGGAAACCCCGAAGAGCTTCTGGCGGCCTCTGCTACCAGTATTATTTACCTATGTATTATTTAAACTTTTAGAGCCCATCTATACCAAAAAAGGTCTCAAGGCGGCTCACAACAGTAACAGCACAATTGAAATACAATGTAAAAATATGTAATAACATTTCCATCCTAAAATGCCATCAAACTTTAAAATACTGGGTGAATGAAAAAGTTTTGGCCTGGCACGAAAAATAATAAAGTGTTGGCACCAGATGCACCTCTCTGGGGAGCAGATTCCAGAGCCAGGGTGCTATTGCAGAAAAGGCCCTTCTCTGGGTAGCCACTCTTCTAACCTCCTTCAGAGAGGGCTCCCAAAGAAGGGCCTCAGTAGCAGATCTTAAGGCTTGGGCAGGACACTCCTTCAGACATACACGTCCTGAACTGTTTAGGGCTTTCTATGTCAAAGTTAACACCTTAAATCAGGCCCAGACTTCAACCAGCGGCCAGTGCAGATGGTACAAGACTGGCGTTATATACTCCTGCCTGCAGGTCCCCGTTAGCATCCTGGCTGCTCTATTCTGAACCAACTGAGGTGTCCAGACCGTCTTCAGGGGCAGCCCCACACAGTACACAACAGTAGTCTAACCGGGAGGTTACCAGAGCATGGGTTACTGCTACCAGGCTCTGCTCATCCAGGTAGTTGATGGACCGGCTGAAGCTGGTGGAAAGCTTTCCTCACCACAGCAGTCACCTGGGATTCCAGAGATAACTCCCAAGCTACACGCCTTCTTTAGGGGGAGAGCATCCCCATCCAGAGCAGAGCAAATATCACGCACTGGGACAGCTGGGCCACCTACCAACAGAACCTCTGTCTTATCTGGATTAAGTCTCAATTCGCTGGCCCTCAACCAGATAATCACACTGTCCAGACACCGATTCAGAACTGGCACTACCACACCTGGATTAGATGTAAAAGAGAGGTAGAGCTGGGTGTCATCAGCGTAGTGGTGACATAGCCCATGAGCTCTCCCAGTGTTTTCATGCCGATGAATAGGATGGGGGATAAAATGGAACCCCGTGGCATAATTGCCATAGCACAGAACCATAATCCTCTGGTAGCACAGGAAGTGGTATGATTATTGGAGAGAGGAAGCAATTCCATCCAGCAGAGAAGAAACAGGCACGTGAGAAGGAATTACCTTCAAGAGATCTTCTCGTAGATAGGAAACCTTTCCATAACACCCAGCCCACCACGCACGACAGTTGGACAGTTGTAAGAGCCACGGATTGAGTTCATAGCCAATTGCTGGTCTGAAGCCTTGTTTGTAGGCCTCCAGCACCTAAAAGCACAGTTGGAATCAGTCGCGTTGTCTATTGCTGCCTGATGTTGCTTAGCTTACAGTCTCCTGAGGCTTGATAATTTCTGGCCACAACCAGAGGGCGTGAACGGGGAGGAATGCAAGAAAACAACTTCCTCAATTCTGATTTCTCAAGGTGCTTCCAGATGAAGGGTTTGCAGCACTGCGCAGCTACTCTGACTGTCTCTCCTTAATGGGTTTTTTGTGCACGGCAAGAAAAGGATGGGAGAAGCTGTGGGAAGACGCAGGAGGGTCACAGATGGAAGCTGTTAAAGCAGAGTGACTGCACAATAAAACCCTCATCTGGAAGTGGGGGTGTCACTAGGCCAGGGCTCTGGGGGGCTCCCAAATCTACTTCCCTAGTCTGAGATCCATGCCTTGGGGCCCTGAGTGTTGACTAGTACCCATGGCAGGTTTTCTTTCCTCAGCTTAAGATGAAATCCTGCGCATGGCTGGTTGGGGAATGCTGGCGGTTATGGGGCTTTTCCTGGTCTACGTAAGCAGCATTTGTGCCCCAAATTGCTACAGGAAGGACAGGACTTTCAAGGGGGCTAACAGGTGAAGGGGGGGTTAAACTTTCTCCTTCCCACATGCTATAATACTGCCCCCCCCAAAAAAAGAATCCTCCTTTTAACTTTAGGGGGGAAACATCCGCAATGGTTTGGGATGATCAGGAGCAAGATGAAAATAAATGGAGGAATTTATTTGGGATTGTTTGGCTGAGACACCAAGTGGCTGCCTTTGCCTCCTGAGACATTTAAAGAAATCCTAACTGCTATTTCTAAATTTGTCGCATGTCTAAATGAAAGTTAGCATAGGCAGGTTTTATGCAGACCTGAGCTCAGAGGTGCCCCTGGCTGGGAGCACCCGAGTTCTGCAGAGGGCTCGGCCACTCATCAGGGGGCATGTGCGCTGCAGGAGGCGCAGCTCCGGCTTCCCCAGCCCAATAGGCAGGCAGCAGGCCAAAGGCTTCTCCCCCCGATCCCTCCATTCTGCCTAAGCTGCTGCTAGTTGATTATTTATTTGGCATATGGCATATCATACCTAGGCTTGTACTATATATTAGCATTCAAACAAGGGCTAATTCAAACATCAATGTGTGGACTCTAGGCCATCCAACCACTGAAGCACAGCATTGTTTGTATGAAAAATGCCAGACCCTGGGCCGGCACACGCCCTCAGTCTACAGCCAGTCAAGATGTGGTGCACAGTCTGACGTGGCAACCCACAGTCACTGAGGGAGAGGTGCTGCCTCCCATACATACAGTGAGTCCTGGCAGACGCCAGCGAGCGCAGGCAATCGACCACTTCCTTCTCCACCTGGAGGGCACCTGGGTTGAGAAGGCTGATATACCTGGCTAGATGGACCAGCTGTTTGACAATATTCCCATTATCCCTCTGCCCACCCCCAGAGCAGGAAATAGTACTGGCCACAGGAATTCTGGGCAATGCCATCAGGGTGACGGCTTGAAGCGTAACTACATGCTAACTTTATTGTTTATTTTAGGGATTTCTACTCACGTTTCTGTAAAATCCTCAAGGCAGTTACAGAAATCCAAAGCACAATGAGACAAGTTAAAAAGCATACAAACCGAAACCATTTGTCTGCATGCAGCCCTTGCTGCTCCCAGGCCTGTCCCCTGGGTCTACTCCATCCCTTGTCACCAAACGAGTTGGACTGTAAGCTCTTTGGGGGCAGGACCTTTTTGGCTTTTGGTCACATGCCCTGGCTGACAGACAAGGATCAGTGGTGCTGCAGAAACGGTAAAGGAATGGGCAACCGATTTTCCTCTGCAAGGACCACGTGGGCCAAGACCTGCAGAGGAGGCAGCCTCGTCTCAAGCAGTGCAGGTTGCAGGCCCGTCCCGGCTCTTGGGCTGGGCAAGCAGCCTCAGGAGAAACCCACCCAAGCATTCTGCTGCTCTTACAACTCTCCCATCGCCCGACCCCAAATCAACCAGCTTTCCGAAACGTCCTTCCAGCAGTGACATCATATTTCTCACTTGCACGGCACTCGACGGGACAAACGGCACCTGCATCGAAGGAAAGAGCCAGGTGAGTGTTGCGAGAGGCACCGCGCTCAAGGTAGGGCTGGCAAGCGGCAGAGGGTGGCTGGCTGGAGGGCCTCCCCGGCTGCCCGCTCTCCTGTCACCCTCATGCCAGGCAGGCTGCACTCCTGCTCCCAGGCTTCTGGCAGGGGCACCTGCTGCGGCTGCTCCCCCCCCCCCCCCCCCCCCCCCCCCCCCCCCCCCCCCCCGCCAGGGGGCCCCCCCCCCCCCCCCCGGTTTTGGGGGGGGGCCCCCGCCGGGGCCCCCCCCCCCCCCCCCCCCGGCACACTGATCTTCTCACTATCACCTCTACTCTGCCCATGCAACTGGCTTTAAAACGCCAAAGCAGGTGTGCTGCAGAGATCGATACGGAAAGCAGCACATTTGGTCAGAAGGTTTAAGCACGCCTGGCTCCCACATCACAAGCGTCCCGCGTGGGTTTTGCGTGAACGTGCCTGAAAGACAGTCAGGCTTGGTGTGGCAGCTCTCCTTTGCCTGGCACGTTCTCCCTCCCGTCCGCCGGGTGGAGCCATGAGGCTCTGCCCTGACACCCCGACCGCTCGCAAGCTGAACTGGCCGCAGCCGCCAAGCGGTCCCTGCTGCACAAACCGGCCAAGCCCTGAAGTGCAGAGGAGGGGAAAAGGAGCAGGCGAGGCATCCTTCCCCCCTGCTCCAGAGGGGGCTGTTCAGGGAAGAAGGGGTGTCTGATCCACGCTCAGGAAGGGAGCGTGCTGCTCAGCTGGTTTCCCCGCTGCCCCTTGGTCCATGCCAGGGTGCCACTCCTGCTGCCCTCATAAGCCAGTGGTCCCTGCGCCACCGCCCTTCTCACCCTGGCCTGCAGGGCCACCGATGGTCCCTCCTGGGAGGGACCCCTGAGGTCTGCCTGGGAGCAGCCTTTAAAACAAACACCTGAGTCTGACCTACTAGCTGCTATTTTAATTTCCCATAGTGCCTGAAACAGCATTGCTGCAGGGCATGGTGGGACACATGAACAGCACCCTTTGGAAGGCTGCCAGTGCCTAGTAAGTTCGTTGGGTCCACCTACAAGGGAGAGGGGCCAGGAGAAGTCACTCCACCCTGCTCAGTTAAAAAGATCCCAAGCAGCCAGATACCTGCACAGGAGACATTTTGCGGAGGCCAAGAGCCAGAGAGCCAGCCCATGCCAGGTAGAGGACTAAGCCAGTGCCACAGGCAATCTGGAAAGGGCCCCAAGGGGTGCCCCTCCCAAGCAGCGCTGTTGCCTGTTCTTCTGCATCATCAAGATCCATGCCTGCAAAAGCTAAGAGAGTTGCAGATCAGTTCCTAACGACAACCACAGCTAGTGCTTCCTTCATCATCATCATCATCTTCTTCATCCAATGTGTTCTAAGACTTGGCACAAGGCTAAATGTTAGACTGAGGAGTAAGCGCCACTGACCAAAGCTAGACCTACTTCTACATTAGTGTCCAGATTGCAAGGCTAGAATGAAAGAGCTCGTTCTGTTTGAGGGGGCTCCATGTAATCCAGCATGATGATTGATTAAAAAAAATACTTACTTACTGGTCAATATGGTTAAATCTCTAAGCCTTGGACAAACAAATATGCACCTTGTAATAAAGCAGCAGACACTCAGCTTGCAGTGTGTGACACAAGCAACAAAAGCACAACTGCAGCAGAGCCTAATGAAAGGGCTAAGAAACAAAAACAAGCTATTTTAAGGAAATGTCCCTTTCTTTGGGGAATGTGTGGGTGTTTCTAGACGAGGCTTTTATTGCTTTGCCTGACATCTGGCATTTTATAGGAAACCCGGATAATGACGATGACTTCCATGAGTAGCCCTGCTTCCTTCCCTCTTCCAGTACCAAAAAGCTCACTAAGGGAAAATGGGGAAATGGTGCGTTTGGTCATAAATCCTACTGGGAAACAGCTACCTCCACGGAGGGCAAGCTTCTCAACGCTGTGGTTCTCTTTACCTGCACTTATCCCCCAAACCGTGATAGCACCCGAAGCCTTGCATCTGGAAGCAGTCCGTAAGAAACTCTCGAAAATATATGGCCACTGCAGACCAAGTGAAAGGGTTTCCTGAGCCAAGTGGACTTTACCTTGTGTCGGCGCTCAGCACTGCCCTGGAAAGCGACCCGCTCTTCAGCCTTGTGATTTGGTATAAAGGAAGGAGAGGGAAACTTGATAGAGCAATGAAGCGCCCCCCGCCCCCCAAACAACCTCTGGTATCGCTCCCCAAATGGCAAATGATGAATTAACATTCCAGACTTAAGGTTTTTACAGGAGTCTGCAACTTTCGTCCCTTACACCTCACAGAAAAGGGAAGCAATCTGATGCACAACAGCAGCAAATCACTACGTAGGGCAGCGAATGGAGCAACAGCGCCTCTCCCAGCCTCCGAAGGCGCAGGGCGCGACTCCACAGCCACTTGCAAGGCCCGCGCGCCCCTCTCGGGCAGCCCCTGCGGCGCTCAGAGGGCGCAAGCAGGGCGCCGCTCGCACGGCCGAGCTGCTCAGCGCTCCCGGGGAGAGCCTGCGTCCCCACCGCAGGGACGCGCTGCCCGCTTGGCTATCCGGGTAGGGGAGCAGCTCTAACGTTTCCCCACCTGAGCAGATCTACCGGACGACGGTAGAGCGCCTGCCCCGGCGCTCCGGTCCTCACAAGATCCCCCCGAGAACCGCTCCCCGAGCCACGCGAGTTCCGCCCCTGCGGGAGGGTCGTCCCGCTGGGGTGCCTCGGCGCGAGGCTTGCAGGCACCGTTACTGGCGCTGGGGTGGGTGCGCCGAAAGCACGCGCCGGATCAGGTTGTAAAGGGGCCACCCTAAACTCGCTGCCTACCAGATGCTTGGGACTTCAGCTCCTATCAGCCCCGGCCAGCATGACCAAGGGTCAGGTTTGCTGGGTTTTGTAGTTTAAAAGGGCACCATGTTGGGGAAAGCGGCCGCAAGGTCACAGCCTTTAGGGGGCAGTGCTACACATACTTATACTGAACAAAAAGACGCCATTCTCAGCATTGCTGATGGAATGCTGGGAGCCGTAGACCTCTTCTCTTAATTGCTAGCTGGGGCATGCTGGGAATTGTACGCCGTTTTCCTATACAAACTTGCAAGGATCGTGCCTTTAGAACATCAGAAATCCTCATGCTTTTTGAAATTATACTATTTATTAGAAGGCGATCCTACTGCATCCTTCGGGAGTAAGTTCCATGGAGCTCCAGGGGGCTAACTCTTATGTAAAGGGCTACAATCTTGAATTTGCTTTTATCCCAGAAAGGTGCGTTAGAAATGTTAGTATAAATACCAATGCGAAGCGATAAAGTCAATTACAGCAGCAGCTAAACCTTCCACGTGCGGAGGCTCCCAATAAAAACAAGCAGGACCCCATAGAGATAGGAAAGTGTAGAGCGATTCCTCCTTTTCATAAATGTATTCCTCCTTTTCATAAATGTATTCCTCCTTTTCATAAATGTATCTATCCATTAATCCGCGTGATGCGTTTCACTGAGCCTGGATTGGAAAGAATAGAATGGCAGCCGAAGTAGTTCGGCTCCGGTTGACTCACGGTGTTCCCGCCTAGACGGAGACGTCTCCACGGACACGGGGCAAGAGCTTGCGGCCCTCTTCCTAGTGCGTAGCTCTGTGGGCCGCAGGGCGGCCGCTCTGGTCCCGGAGGCACCACCCCCTGTGGCGACTCTATGGTTGCGAGGCGGGCGCGTTCTTCGAGCGCAGCGGCGGGAAGCGGCGCGGCCATGGCCAAAGGTATCTCTGCCGGGGCGCCCCGAACAGGCGGCGGCGGCGGCGGCGGCGGCGGGGCGCTGGGGGCCCCGTTCGCGCGGGGGCCGACGCTCTCACGCCCCACGGAGCCCGGCCGACTCTACACAGCTGCACGGCGGGCAGGCAGGCAGAGCCCCGTCGGCGAAGCTTTCCGTGCCTGCCGAGGAGCTTCACAGGCTGGGTTTCTGCCTGTTCAGACCGTCCTTAAAGTGCACACTTTGCTGCTGTAATCGGGGCGTGTGTATTAGAGTAGGGCATTCCTCAGCGGCCGGACAGGGAGAAATTCTCAGGATGAATCTTTTTTCCCTGTGCCTCTAGGGAAAAACTTCATCAGTTGGGTTTCTGCCTGTTCACATGGCTGTCAAAGTGCACACCTTCTTGCTTTAATAGGCTTGGGGGGTATTAAAGCAGTGTATTCAACGACTGCATGACAGGCAGAAATCTGCAAGATGGAAGACTTTTACTAGGGTATTAACTGTTAAAATGTGCAGTGCATTGTTTTGACCCATGAGTGAGGTTAGGGTTCAAATTCGACACGGTTGTCACTGCCCAACTGGCAGAAGTCCTCCAGCAGTCTCTCGTTTCACTTCTCTTTCCAGGGCAGGGGGGTGGGGTGGGGTGGGGGGCTTGGTTTGTCATGCAGCTTTTAAAATGCAGAGGAGTTCTACATTTTTAAAGAAACAATTCAGTAATGCATTTAGCTGCTGCATAGCAGGCAGACATTCAACAGGAGTCTATTTCTTTTGTTATTGGTGAAAAGTTCTGCTGTTAGATTTTTGTCTGCTCTTGCTGTTGTTCAAATGAACAGAAATCATTCTAAGAAAGGCAATAATGTGTTTCACCACATTGTAACAGGTGGAAATCCATCTGGTATATCTTGCCATCCCTGGGGAAAGTTGCCGTTGATTTATTTTAACCTGTTGTGTTTTAAAAATGCACAGGAGACCTGCTAAATAAAATAATAATATGCATGACATACAGAAATCCAACAGGTTTAATTCTCTGCTTCTGAATAAGAAGTTTGGATACACTTGTTAGATTGTCATAGAATTTGAAATACATTATTTTTAACAGGACCCCCATGTCATTAAATATGCAGAAGTACTACTCTGAAAAACAACATTTCACAGCTGCATGACAGCTAGACATCCAATGTGAAATTTATTCTTGGAAGGTACAGGGAGATGCCCCTGTTGGACCCCTGCCTATTTTGTAGGTGTTAAATATGCAAGAACCCTATTAGGAGAATAATAATGGTGGGAATCCTATTATAGCTTTCTCTTATCTCTGATGCTTCATTTGCTGGATTTGTGCCTGCCATAAAGCTAGTGAAGGCACAGGAATCTTGCCAGGAATTTTTTTAAAAATTACACTTGACAGGTAAGTAATTCAACAAGTGACACTTTTCAGCTATTTTGCACTCCCTGTCAGTTAAATTAGGGGTGGCTATGAAGTAAGAGAAGGTAGTTTAAATAGCAGAAATTATACTATCTGCAGCTTAAATCTGCTCTCTTTTCTCCTCAGTGTGGCAGCATCCATATCTGAATGTGTTCAAGCACTTTAAAGTGGAGGAATGGAAAAGGTCCACCAAGGAGGGCGATGTGACAACCTTGATGGTAACATCAGAAGGGCTTGACCTTTCTTGGGTAGTGAAAATGGAGGGGGTGTGTATAGAGTTAGCATTGGTCACCACTGGTGAGTAAAAGTAGCTTGAAGTTGCTCAGATCTGGTTGTGTTACTGCTGTATCTGCATATTTTCTTCCAGGAGTGAGAGAGAAAGACTGATATGGGAACAGCTGCTGTAATTCATGCTGTTTCCTTTCTTTCCATGCTGGTACCTGCTAGACCTGTGGGCCCTCCCAGTTCTGCTATTATGTTTCCAAATGATGCCCTTGGAATTATTGAATGGGAAATACAGGGATATTTTAAGAAGTGGCTTTGTATGAAGCAGGAAGTCTGGTATATTATCTGTCTTGAAGCCCCATTGGTGAGGGTGTTCAACGATAGGCTGGACATGCATGTGGTAGGCATGTCATGAGTAGAGCCAGCTGGAGCCAGGGGTCGGACAAGATGGTCTGGGAGACCCCTTCTGACTTGCTCTGTTTCTATGTTTTCTTGCTCACTATGTAAAAAGCTGACAGAGCTGTTTATTTCTGATCTCATAACTAACTCCTTAAGTTTTTGAGACTTTTGTAAAATGTGTTTTCTTATCCAAATAGGCATTATGTAACATGTAGAATATCTGTTTGTGAAGACTTCTGAGAATTATAGAATTAAGATGATGGAGATGGCTCTTCTTTGATTTGGTGATTTATGTATATAATTCTGATCTTTTAAAATACACTCTGCTTCTCTATGTGAATTCCTATTTCGGTGTGAATTGTGGTGGCCTTTGGCTGGCTGCATGGCTTCTGGTAGGATGTGGCAGAGCTTGGCTGAGTTGGCAACAGCCAGGCCATCACACTGATGACAAACAACACAATGCACTGGCCCTTGCTAGGAAGATCCCGGGGCAATCTAGTTGCTCTGCGAACTTTCTCATAGGCAGAGGGCGTGTTTGGTTTCACCTGCTGCTCTTATGCTGATTTGCCCCCTTGGTGAACTGCAACAGTGAGACCCAGAGTTTCCTTTATAACCACAGGGTTACCGTGGGCTTGTGGACTAGAGACATTTTGCAGTCCCAGCCTGCGCTTTCACACACTTTGTTTAGCAAAATGGTACCTATCGCACTTGGCACTGCAAGGCATTTTCAGATGGGTTTATTAATGACTGTGAAAATCATGAGCAAAAGTTCCACAAACAAACCCCAACCTGCTTAGCTCCAGTAAGGCTGCTGTATTATATGCCTCCACAGGAAAGCTTTGCCTGTTTCACCAGTGTCAGAACCTTTGGCTGCTACGGGTCTCAAACCAAGGACCTTCCGGGAACTATATTGGGCCTTGTGCTCTGTTCCTTCCCAGTTCTGCATCACGTCACAAAATGATGTGCTGCTATTTGCTTAACTCTGCATCAGTTGCAGTTGTGCCATGTACTGGAGATGATATTCTAGGTTTTCTGCTCCAGGTTTTTATGATACTGTATCTCATTTTTCCTGAAAGCTGATGCTAACTGTATTCTATCCTCCTTGCTTAGGACAAGACTCTGAAAGGGACGGTCTATCGCATCAGTGGTGCTGTTCCTGCCAGTAACTACCTGCAGCTTCCCAAGACCAGTACGCAGTCACTGGGCCTTACTGGTCATTATCTCTATATCCTCTTCAAGCCGATACCAGCCAGATACTTTGTGGTGCACCTGGATGTTACCACTGAGGTGGGTGAGAGTTCCTCTTGAGATTACTGTGGGCCAGTGGTGTTATCTGAGCGAGAGTTGATCTGAGGCAGTGGAGGTCTCCAGTGGTGCTTCCATGCTAGGCTATTGAGTGGAGCTTGCTTTGCCAGCTGCTTGAAAAGTAGTTGATGCGGGATGTGGCTTCCCGAGCATGGCACCTTTCATTTTAATAGAACACAGGAGTGGAGACGGTTGCTTGAAGCCAATGGGCCAGATTTGATCCTCCAAGGTTCTCCAAGTGGCTACACATTCTTTTCCTGGCTGTCAATTATTTGGTGGATTTTCAGCTTTTGTACTCCCCTTCTTTCCCTTTTCTGAAAGGTTGAAATACCTCTCCTAGGGCTCAGTTACTTGCAGCAAGGCCTTTAATCAGAAATATACTGATATTTTTCATCTTTTGGGCCCACCCCTTTTGCCTTCAGCCCCACCAACCAATGGAATTTCAAGCTGAAAGAGATTTCCCACCCCAGTCTCGTTCTTATGGCTATGAAGGCAGGACAGAAAGAATGTGGGCAAAGTCTGTGGAAATCACAGGAGCAGCAGTCCTGCTGAGCTTGGGTTCTGCTGACCTGGAACAGGAAGGCGATGCTCTGCACAGCTTCTTCCCTGCTAACTTCTGGAGCTGGTAGAAGGATCCCAGTGCTCTTCCTGGCACATCCAGCTCATGGGGTTTGGGGGCAACAGCAGAGGGATTGTGCTCTTCCTCCCTGAAACCCCAGAACCGTGTTGCAAGTTCAGATAGGCAGGACTAGGCTACATTGCCTGACTCTGTAACAATAGGTTAATGTAGGTTATGGCTGTCTAGCTAGCTAACTTGTTATTTATTTGATTTGTATCCTGCCTTTCCACAGGGGAAAATGACATTCAGGGTGGCTAAATTATGCAAAGGTATAACTATGCAAAATATGTTACCCAAAAATAGGGAAACTGGCAGGCTTGCTTAAATTGTCCAAGTGTTCACAAAATTCAGCTTTGCTCACACTGTGTAGCCCCACCGACAGCCAGTGTGGTATAATGGTTAAGAGCACAGGACTGGGACTCAGGCGACCCGGGTTCTAGTCCCTGCTCAGCTATGGAGCCAGCTGGATGACCTTGGGTCAGTCACAGACTCCCAGCCCAACCTACCTTGTTGTTGTGGGGATAAGTCTGAGGGCAGGAACAAGTGTAAGTTGCTTACCGTTCTTAAAGTAGGATATAAATCAAATAAATACTGGTTATTTTGAAACATCTTGTGATTATTTCATAAGGACAGAATACTCGCTAGTGAATATGTCGTATTTGCTTCTTTCCAGGACAGCCGGGTGATCCGCATCTCTTTTTCCAACCTTTTTAAAGAGTTCAAGTCAACAGCCACTTGGCTGCAGTTCCCCTTTATTTGTGGGGCAGCGAAAGGGACGGTCTACGAAAGCACAGCCAAAGCTTCCAAGCGAGGTAACGTGCCTTCTGGGCCTGTTTTCCCAGCCCCTCAAAGAGCCCTGCTCAAAGTTTGGCCTGAGAAAGATCCTTTCCATGTCACTGAGAGAGTGCGGCACTGTCCCTGCACCGGTTCGCATTGCATTATAGTGCTCCTGCACCTTTCATTATCACTTCCTCTCTAGCGCCTGCCTCGTGCGCTAGTGAAGCCAGCCAGTTGCCATAGTCTTTGCCTCTGGGCTCTGTGCCCACGGCTCAGCACTCCTGCTTGCTCCTCTTCCCTGTGATGCCCCACTGCTGAAGTCTCCTGTAGCCCAGATCATGGCAGCCGGCCCACTGCTGAAGCAAACAGCAAGGCACAGAGAGCCACTGCTCTGAAACAGAGTGAGAGAGAGAGAGAGGCAACGAGCTGCAAGGGAGGCGAGGGAAGCACCAGTCCGCCTTGGGCTTCGCAGGGAAGAATTTTGCTCCAGTGGCCTGAATTCAGGTTCCCTGGGAAGCCTGGTTGTGGGTCAGGCTATGAGTTGATCTTGTGGCAACTGCAGGATCTGGCTGTGATTGGAAAGGTAGAGCTTTGCAATCTTCAGGGTAATCCTGCTTGGGCAACTATAATACGCACTTTTAATTGTTTCCATCACTTGCTATTCGCTTAGCAGTCCTTCCAGTGTTTCACTTCAGTAGGCTGTGATAGTTATTTCCATAACTCAGAAGAAAGAGGCCAAGAATTGTTTTGCTTCCCTAAGACTACCTAGTATGTTTGTGGCAAAGGTGAGATTTGAACTGGGGGTTGAGTCTCCTACCTGCTATTCTACAAATGATTTCAGATCTAAAGGAGGCAGTGGGGATGCTGGCCTTCCCCATGTGTAAGATTTGGGACTGGAATTATTTGTGTTTTCTGGGTATAGAAATGTGTGCTTGGTGTGTTTTCTCACCTCCAGATTTGGTGGGCCTGGCTCCCAGCAATGTGCGGTGGACTTTCCTGGCGCTTGATCTCCGCTATATTCTCTCCCTGTACTTGAACAGAAGCTTCAGCCATCTGAAGGGCATCAAGCTCTGTTCCAACCTGCTGGTGAAAAACCTGTTCACTAGCGACTTGGTCTTTGACCCCGGTGAGAGTTGCATGACTGACTGATGAGTTAATATGCATATTGAATCACATACGATTCAACATGTACAATTATACGTATTAATATTGAATTGATGAATGTAAATTGAGGATTATAGCACGGAGGGAGCTCAAGAGCGCCCTGCTGGATCAGACCAAAGGTTGTTTAGTCCAACTGGAAAGTCCAGAAGGCAGGAGTGCAACAGGCTCTTCCTGCTTGTATCTCCTGGGACTGGTATTGGAAATTGTGCTATCTCTGATACCACAGGTAGTTGCTAGTCCTCATGACCTGCATCCATGAACGGCTTTATCCTTGGTGACTTTGTCTAATCCCCATTTGAAGTTGACCAATTTGGTGGTTAACCTTAGATCTTCTGGTAGGGATTTCCATAAAGCATGTGCTGTAACAGACCCCAGAATGCCCGTTAGCGTGAGGAGGCTAACTTCTGTGCACTGGTGCAGGTGCTGGAGAATAAGAGGATTGGGCTGTCATGTTAGCTTTTTCCCACAGGAAGTTGATATGCAGAAGTGTTGTGGCAGCTGGGTTTTTTTCTCCTGCAATTGCTTCTTTCCTTTCTGTGCTTCTAGCCATGACCTTCTCTGAGGCTCATCAGTCCAAACTGACGTTGCACGGCATTTCCCCCATACCGCGGGAAATGGCATTTCCTGTTCCAAAAGGTGAAACATGGCATGAACTCTATGATTACGTTAGGTATGTTTTACTGAATTTGGTTTCTGTAGTTCTGTGTGGAATTCTGGTGCGTTTCTGTGGGTCACAGGGGAACTTTGCTGTATTTCTTGGGGTTCAGGTACAACCACCCACTTCACAAGGTACTCAAGCCAACTCAGGTGTCCTCTGGAATGGATGTATTCAGCCTGTCAACTGTTTTGAGAACCTGTCCATCCTCAGTGGCTGACTTAATGCCTACTTATACTGCCCAAGTGTTCAGCCCATAAGAATTACAACTTGGAATATAGGTGAATGATGGTGATTTCCTAAATTATCTCAAAGGTTTTGATATTATTCTTTTTCAGCAAATTTTGCTTCAGTCTGAATTCAATCTTTTTGAATGACTTAGCCCCCTACTCAAATGGTGTGCTACAAGTCTGGCCAGGCGCACTGCCCAAGCAATTACCTGACTCCTTTATAATAGGGGAAACAGGTTTGTGCCTGCCACTCTAGAAATCTTTAATGCCAAGGTTGTTCGCAGCTGCTGCGTGGCGTCCCGTGATGGATGGGGGCTGTGGATTACTCTGTGGAATGGATTCTGGTTGTTGAGTTCTGCCCATGAACAGCCGGGGTTTGGCATGCTCAGACATCAGCCTGCAGATTCTACCTGCACTGAAAGGACGTTGGGCCTTTGGGCATCTGGCCTGCACCTCAAGTAGATTCACTGCAGACCTTGATGTTGGCAGTGGCACTGCATGGTGCGAGACCCTAGCAGTGTGGCCCGATGTCCTTCACAACCTTCTGCTCCTGGCTTCGAAACGCTCTTGGCCTCTCAGAACTGTGGACATAATGGGCTTCTTTCCCTCTCTTGCACAAGCTCCAGCCGCATTCACACAGGCCTTGCTTTCCTCGATAGTCTTTAGTATACAATTTTGATTTGGCCCTTCTTTCAAAGAGCTCAGGGTGCTGTTCCTCAAGAGCTCGGTGTTGATCAGGAGCTGTTCTCTCCATCCTTTCTGTGATATCCTCCCAATCTTGTCAGGCAGGTCATGGCAGCAAACAGATCTGAATATGGGTCTCCCCAGCCCTGTCTGACACTCCAGTCAGTGCAGTGCCATATTATACACCATTCTGCTAAAATAGAAAAGCTTTGGCTCTCTAGGGAAGGAATTCTGCAACTGGAGATGGGGTTGGGCGCTTCCTGAAACCTCTGTTTGCAGTACGCATCCCCTCTGGTACCCAGAGCTCTGCCTCTCACTATGTGCAGCTCTCTGCTTTCCTTGCAGGTTCTTTGGTCCAGGATCTGCCTTGTCTCATCACATACAAAATCAGTGTAATTAAGTGCTTTTGTCTGCTAGTCTGGCATCCACCACTCAGCAAGAAGAACACAATTGCGTCTGTTGTGTGTGTTGAGCATTATTAACCAGCCTTTCTCTGATCTTCTTGCTCAGGTTCCCTTCTGATGGGTCCAAGATGCCATTTGACTCTATTCAAAAAGGCACTTTGAATCCTGCTGCAGGTAAGTGGAAAAATACAGGAGGCCGGGGGAATCCAAAGTTCTTCATGAAGAAATCCCCACCCCAGGCAGGATCCAGCCCACACAGGATAAACCTTATCAGTGAGGCCACACTATGCCACAAGCACGGAGTGAGTGTGAACGAGGTATATGCTAGGCTGGTTTGCATGATTGTCGTAGCCGCCACAGCTTATTTAAGCCAGGGCAGGTGGCGGCACGTGCTGGAGGCCATTTTGCATATTTCATCCCCACGTTACCAATAGGTTGGTTTTGTTTAACCTTCACATAGGTAACCTTTGTCGGGTGCACACAACCTAATCAGCTGGTGATGACATTTCAAAGCGTGATAAGGCATGGCGATTTGCCACGGTGGCTTGAATATTCAGATTTGGAATGGCTGGCATGCCCCAGAACCCATGGTGGCTTAAATAAGCTGTGGTAATTGTGCAGACCTGGACGGTGCTTGAATCAGCCTGCAGAGATGGTGGCTCCAGGGTCTTCTTACAAATGAGCCAAGGGTTGAGGGGACACCTGGCTGAATTTGGGGATACCAAATTAACTATTTTAATTCATGTTGCTTTTGTTTTGTGGGTGACCTATTTCATATGAATAGTTTTTGCTCAGGTATCATCCAATTTTTGATTTACTGCCTTTGCTAAACTCTTATAGCATATAAACTAGTAATTTCTGTAGGAATTCCCTTCCTTTGCAGTACTGAATACATGCAGCATGACACCCACTGGATTGACTTGGAAAAGGCAATGGAATAATTAGAAGTGTGGCTTTTAGAAGTGTCACTTTCAAGCCTGTGACCTTCATGGAAACCTTTCTGCGTGATTTGTCTGCTGGAGACGCGGTGGGGGCGCCGGTGCTGCGTATCGCAGAAGGCACTAAGGCAGTTCTAGGATGGCCACTCAGTTTGTGAGGGGTATTATTTATTGTTAAAAAGAAAAAAGCAGAATATACATCTAATACATTTATAGCCCACCTTTTCCCTTCCTCCTCTCAGTCTTATCCTAACAATCAGAATCCTGTGAGGTAGGTGGAGCTTGAGAGTCTGTGGCTGACCCAGAGTCACCCAGCTGGCTCCATGGCTGAGCAGGCCTAGAACCCGGATCTCCCGAGCCTCAGTCCTGCACTCTGAGGCAGGACACCGCGCTGGCTCTCAGTAGACCTTTTGAGTCTGGTATTTGCTCTGCACAGTCCGAGAGCGCTGAGGCACTAGTGATGTTCAAAGGATGTTCTCTCTATTCCATCTGTATTTCATCAGTTCTCAGGCAAGTTTTGTTCCAGCTTCTGCGTGTTGACCAAATTGGACTTTATGACCAGAATTTTGTTTTGCTTGCATTAATTCATATTAGTGTAAATTTGTCACTGATACACTCCAGAAATGAAAACCTGGTCTGCTAAATCTACACAGATGAACATAACTGGTCAGAGTCATAGAAATCCAAACTCATTTGCATCTGTTGTAGATTTCCCTGCCATCCCCATGAAACACTGCATAGTCATTGCATTGTAAGTATAACAGTGGGCTAACTTTTTTCCAGGGAGAGATGTTCTCTGTTGCTTACTGTCTCAATGAGGAAAGCCTGGACAAACTTCTCTAGAACCTTACAACACAGTTTGAAAACAACAGAGATGTTGGTGATAGGGCATGATCTGGACTGTAGCAAAATGAGGCTTACTCAAGATGTGGATAGACATAGAAGCAGAGCAAGTCACAAGGGGCTTCCTACACCATCTAGTCTGACCCCCGGCTCCACTCATGGCATGCCTACCATGTGCATCGACTCATCATAATTGCAAGTTTCTCTTGCAGGTCTTTCAAGAGCCTAACAGTGCAATCCTTTACATAGTGAACATTATCTCTGTGTGAACATGCCTTGGCTCACACCACACATGTCCATTTTCTGTCCTTTCAGTTGTTCATGCAGAAGATGATCCAGTTGGCCAGGTGCCAGAAGAAGTATCTCTGAGCAAGCCTGTCCGGGACAGAGTGTCTCTTATCCAACAAATTACCAGTCCCAAAGAGGTGAGCAAGTTTTGGTCATGATTCCTTACACTCCATGCTGTGCATGTTCCAAAATTCACTGAATAACGCCTAAATGTGGGATTGCTGTGACCTCTCTGGCCATGTTCAGCCTTGAGAAGAGAGGACTGAGGGGGGACATGAGATCCCTCTAGAAGTGCCTCAAAGACTGTCACAAAGAGGAAGGTCAAGATCTCTTCTTGCTGATGCCAGAGTGCAGGAGACAGAATAATCAAGTCAGGCTGCGACAACCCAGATTCAGGCAGGGTATCAGGAAAAACTTCCTCAGTGTCACAGCAATATGACAGTGAAACCAGCTGCCTGAAGAGGTGGTGGGCTCTCCCACACTAGAGGCATTCAAGGCAAACCTGGACAGCCCTCTGAGTGGGATGGTGTAACATGGTGTCCTACAACAGCAGGGGTTGGACTCAATGGCCTTCATGGCCCCTTCCAACTCTTCTATTCTGTGATTCTATGATTCCATAAAGTGGCACTTTATGGCAGTGGCCTTTGGCCAATTGGTTTGGCCTTCACTGAAAGTAGGAGCGTTATGCAGAATATTTTCCCTCTGATCTCCCCTGCGCAATGCTTCTCTTTTTCTCAGATGCCTCGCCAGTCGCCCCTCCTTACGCAGCGCATCCCCAGGAATCACAGGGCAGCCTCTGAGCCTCTGCAGCCCTCAGACACCTTGGGTCACACCTGCTGGGGAGAAGGCCTGCAGGCCAGGGGGGATTCCTGCCTGCCAGGCCCTCCCGTGCATGACGACAGCATTCATGTGTATGCCCACAGAAATGGGGATGTGACTGTCCATGCAATCAGCGTTGATTCGGATGAGGTAAGCGGTCAGCTCAGCACCACAGCCGTGCCACCCCGCCTTCCTGTGTATCCCTGGAGTGAGGAAAAGTACAAGTCAGCTTTGTCTTGGCTTGTCACGGTCATCACTTTAACCCCATAAGCTGTGATAATCTTCCTCTTGTAGCCCTCAAATGCTACTTCAGACAGGCTATTCTCTGGCAGGATGAAATCTCAGTATAGACTTGCCTAGTTATAAAATCATATGAAGGTGGATTTGCTCCTCTTGCTTACCCTGGATTTGCTGGGGCAAATTTAATGTGTGTCTCAGCCAAGTTCTACTCTGAATAGGCTTTGGGGTCAACTTCCAAGCTGAATTCCACATTGCTCCTGCCAGGAATGGCCTCTCTTCCAGCTCAGAGAAGGAACTGCTGTGTTCTGCACCTGAATTGTAGCCACAGCTTGCAGATACCATGGTAGAAACCGTTTGCTACTGCCAAAGGGTGAAAACCAGTTTACTCCCGTTCCCGTGGTGTTTGTGGATGGTTTCTTACCCGAGGAGATGGTCGCACTCTTGTGGTGGGTGTGGGCCTGGCAGACAGCCGCTGCCACATTGCTGGCAATATTCTCAGCACGGCCTCGGCCGGAATGGCTTCCCTGAGCAAAGCGTCCATATACTTTCTCAAGGAAAGCTCAAGCAGTGGGCCTGCCGTGGTGTCCTGGGCAGCTTCGCTTCTGCAAAGGACCGTATCTGTTCCCATGAGCAGATGCTTCAGCGTAATGAATCCATCGCTTGCTTTCACTTTGGACTGCAAAAGGTGGCCAGATGAGAAAGAATCCTTTGCTAATCCTCAGGAACATTCTGGCAATGGGACCCTTATTACCTGCTGGCCTGCCTAGGCTCCAAGTGTTTATAGTGTTTGTGGTGCCAGTGTACGTAGCACTTGCCAGATAGGAGAAAGCAGGTCGTTGCCTCAAGGGGAGTGACAGTGAAGCTGTGTCGTCGCTGGGCATGTTAATGGAGAAGAATCTGTATTCGAGTTACACATTTGTAAGCCAAAGCTTAAGACGTACCCATGCTTACTCATGTGTATGTCTACTCAGAAGTAAGAATTCCCATAGAATTCAGTGAGCTTTCCCCAGGGGAGAATTGCAGCCTTGATTACAGTCCTCGGGGATTAAAGTGAGACAAAGGCTCCATTGAAAAACGGGTTTAATGGACTTAAAGCGAGCAATGTATTTATAATATCAATGCAGCTGTAGTTTCTAATTTTTGTTACTCATATTATTTGTGATGGCATGTTTGGCAACGTTGACATAGTTGTGATGAGAGCTCTTGGTGCAGCAGCTCAGTCTGAAAAAGACTGGCAATTGAGCCCCACAAGGGCAGCATTTCCATCTGTTTGTCTCCCCAGAGTGGGTACGCACAAATGCCTAGGCCAAGGGTAATCTCTGCCAAGAACTCTGCTCGCAGCACGGTAAGAGAACAGATTTGACTTCCTGCTGTTTCAAATGACAAGGCACGCACGCCCGCTGCCTCCTCACCTTTTGCTTCCCAGGGGAGGTGCCCTGAGCCCACAGAGAGAGCTCTGCCCTGCTAGGCCCACTGAGCCACCTCCAGTCATGACTTGGGCCTCTGCGTCTCTCCTCCCCTCTTTTCGCTGCCTGCCCACACCAGTCTCTGTGGCTTGCGGTGGTCGCCTGGGTTCCTTATTGGCCACTGGCGCTGGGTGCATGGGGCAAACCCCGTACATAGGAAGCTGCCTACTGCCAAGGCTAGCTAAGGATGGCCTCCTGGCAGTGTTTTGTCCGCATTTTGGATGGGACTCCTTTCCTGCCTTCCCTGGGCTGGTCGTGGGACCTTTGCATGCGCAGGATGGGCTTTAGGGCTCTGCCGCTGCGTTCTAGCCATTTGTCCAGGGGGTCCTGCCCCATCCAGCAGTACTGCGTGGTAACGCAGCAGCCAACACTTGGGAGGGTTACTTGCTGTAAGTGTAAGAGCGGCTTCTTGCTGTGGTAGGAAAGACCGAGGCTAATGCCGATGCAAAGTGGTAATCTGGGGTGGCGTAAGTGAAGGTGGTTATGCACTTAATGACTGTTGATTGAATCTAATGATAGATTGGTCTGCAGAGGCTCTTACCGGATCCGATCCTGAGGCTGAAGAAGATTATTGGGTTTGGAGGCTGCAGCACCAGATGGGTCAGTATGACCACATTTATTTCAGATATAGACTTGGCACTTAATAAAACAAAAGCTGCATTGGGGTAAATTGCAGCTTCTCAATGGAGTTGGCTTTATTGTTTGTTTATTTAATTATTTAAACCAATTGTGCCAGCACCTCTGGGCGGCTCACAACCACTGGAGGTTTGAAGTGTCCCAAGTCCTCATACTTGCAAGGAGGCTTTTCTGAAATGCGACGGACGAGACTGTCTGGTCTGTTGCATTTGATCCTGGTTGTCCAGAATGCAACCTGCCCCGCCAAAGGGTTCCTTTCTAAAATACTTTATGCAAAGCAGTGTGTGATTACCATTAAAGTACCATTTGAAAACATGATAACTATAAAAAGCAGATAAATAATGATAAATAGTGAATAATAAAATACAATAGAAGAATGCCATGGACTTGGTATGTTACCTTGTGCAAAATCACCTGGCCTTTGCCTCTGATCATCTCTTGAGTTGTCACAGGAAGGCCCCTCACGGTGCGCCTTCCTCTCCCAGCCTAGCAAACCTCACTGGGCTGTTACGAAGACAGAAGTGCAGAGTCATTTGTGCTACTCTCAGCTCCTGGAAGGAGGACAAGATAAAAGCACAGTGAAATGCTGTCTGGAAAAGGACTTGGTTCCAGCACAGAAGGAAGCCGGTGCTCTGGCCTGCTTCTCCCGTGTTGCCCCCGCTCTTCAAAGGCAAAACTGCCCAGCGTGTCTGTCGGAGGAGCTGTTGATACTTGTGGCGCCCTTGCCATATGTACCCTGCGCCTGCGGGTCCTGCGCATGCGTGCGCTCCCCACGCGGGCCTGCCGCTTACCCTTCTGCCGTGTCTCCCTCAGGCTCTGTGGGCTGCCGACGGGTCCGAGGTGGTCTATCCCTGCCACGCTCTGATTGTTGCAATAAAGCTTGACTCTGGCAAGCAGAGGTTCTTTGCTGGCCACACTGATAAGGTAAAGCTTGCTCCCTTTAACTTCTCAATATGAATGAAACCCAGAACATTAAAATGATATATCTGGGATTTGCATAGAGCTAGAAAGAATATTTATTATTTATTTAAAACTTTTATAGGCTGTCCCTTATGCAAGGCATCTTGGGACGGCTCACATTCAGTAAAATCATATGCATGAAAAACAATCTAAACAATAAATTACATATAGCCAATAAAACACAACTGTTGCATTAAAATACTAATTTTTAAAATAACGGTTAAACAAAAAATGGTTTTGACCTGGTTTTGATACCTGAAATAGTATCTCACAGGCTTCATCCAATGGTTGCATATCTACAGAATGACTTAACCCCCTAATGATCAAACCTTATTTTTTTGTCTTATAACATACCGGACGTCTTCTAACCAGTCTTTCCTTGCAGACATCAATATTAACTTTGAAATGGTTGCTGCAAGCCAGTTTTGGAGCTAATGCATTGTATTGCTTGCAGGCCTTCTTCAAATTCTTGCATTATTCATCACATATGCCAGGATAATTTTTCCCTTATTCGTTTCAAAGTGTCCCCATCATTCTTACCCTCCTCCCTGTCACCTGTGTCCTGGGATGTGTGGAAATTACACTTTTTATGGGCTGGTTTGGATGTCATGCAGGGTTTCGGGTTTCCAACTTAGATTGACAGTGAGCAGAGTGGTTAAGAGACTAACTGAAATAAATACAAGAAAATCAGCTCCCCTTTGAGGTAGTCATATACTTGCTTATCTGGGAGTGAGTTCCACTGAAATTAATGCAACATCTGAGCGAACAGAGGATTGCATTTCTATATATATACACATATACACACAAATTTATATGCCACTGAATAGCCCAACAGAACTCCGTTTCCATTGCCTCCTCACAATGCCGTCCGGCGGAGCTTTTTCAGGTGGTACAAGGGCTGGTTCATCCTGGCCCTAAGAAAGACCTGGTATCACCCTCGCAGGCCTGCTGTGACGACTTTGCCAAGCATTTTATGGAGAAAATCGCTCAGATTCATCACGAGCTGGGCTCCACTAGTGATCCAGAGGCTTCTGCGGAGATACCAATGTTGCCGTCTGGTCCAAAATTGATGGATGAGTTTCAGTTATTGCGGCCTGATGATGTGGACAAGGTGCTTGGACGAGTACGTCCCACCACCTGCCTATTGGACCCTTTCCCATCTTGGCTAATTAACAACGCCAAGCACGGGATAGGGACCTGGATCCTGGAAGTGGTTAATGCATCTGAGGGATGGCCGGGTGCCTGCCCCTTTAAAGGAGGCGGTAGTCCGACCGGTCATGAAGAAGGCGTCCCTGGATCCAGAGATGGCCACTAATTATAGACCAGTGGCCAACATCCCGTTTCTGGGCAAGGTGTTGGAGCGGGTGGTGGCAGGACAACTCCAAGCACTCTTGGATGAAACTGATTATCTGGACCCATTTCAGTCCGGCTTCAGACCCGGGTATGGTACTGAATCTGCCTTGGTCACCCTGTACGATGACCTGTGCAGGGAGAGAGACAGGGGGAGTGCATCCCTGTTAGTTCTCCTGGACCTTTCAGCAGCTTTCAATACCATCGACCATGGTATCCTTCTGGATAGGCTAGCGAGATTGGGGGTCGGAGGCACTGCCTTGCAGTGGTTCTGCTCCTATCTCAATGGCCGATTCCAGAAGGTGATGCTGGGGGACTATGGCTCTGCACCATGGCAGCTATGCCATGGAGTACCACAGGGATCCTTTTTGTCCCCTCTGCTATTCAACGTCTACATGAAACCGCTGGGAGGGGTCATCAGGAGGTGTGGGCTGCAGAATCATCAGTACGCTGATGATACCCAGCCCTGCCTCTCTTTTTCAACCAATCCAGGTGAGGCAGTGGCTGTACTGAACCGGTGCCTGGCCGAGGTAATGGGCTGGATGAGGGCCAATGAACTGAAGCTCAATCCAGACAAGACGGAGGTCCTGGTGGTAGGCGGGTCGGACTTCGGGGAAGGGGACCTTGACCTTGTCCTGAATGGGGTTGCACTCCCTCTTAGGTTGGGAGTGCTCCTCGACCCAGAGCTTTCACTTAAAGCTCAGGTGACAGCGGTAGCGAGGAGCGCTTTCTTTCAGCTTCGGCTGATCTATGAGCTGCGTCCCTACCTGGAGAATGACTGCCTGGCGACAGTGACACACGCGTTGGTCACTTCCCGATTAGACTTCTGCAACACGCTCTACATGGGGCTGCCCTTGAAGACGGTCCAGATACTTCAATTGGTGCAAAATAGAACTGCCAGGCTACTGACAGGGACTGGGCATTATGTTCACATGACTCCAGTCCTCCGTCAACTCCACTGGCTTCCCATTGAAGTCCGGGCCCAATTCAAGGTGTTGGTGATGACCTATAAAGCCCTAAACGGCTTGGGTCCTGGTTACCTAAAGGAGCGCTTACGTCCATACGTGCCCGTCTGCCCCTTGAGATCTGTGGGAGAGGCCCTTCTCCGGGAACCCTCCGTGAAAGAAATTAGGAGGGTGGGTACTTGGAGGAGGGCTTTCTCTGCGGTGGCGCCCAATCTATGGAACTAGAGAGGTCCGCCTGGCACCAGGCCAAGACCTTTTTATTTAAACGACATTTTAATTGTTAGCTTATTTATTGATTTTTTATCTTTGGCCAGGGCGTTTCCAATAATTGTTTTTATATGATTATATATATTTATTGTTGTAAGCCACCCCGAGGCTTCGGCGAATGGGGCAGCATAGAAGTTTACTAAATAAAAAATAAATAAATAACTCTCTAAGTGGCTAACAACTTTAAAATGCAGTAATCACAATTACTTAAATGTTACAATTACAGGAGGGGGGTGGATCTGCTGAGCTCTTACAATCGGGTGTTAAGATCAGGTCTCAAAATATTTTGGAAAGGGAGCAGTTTAGGCCTTTTTAGTTTTAGGCATTTGAAGGCCAGAAGCTGCAGTGCTTGGTGCATGTGGGAGACGGGCTCGGGTTCGGGTTTCGAGTGTTTTTCTGAAACAGCGGAACACTCAGGAGCAGGGCCCTGGGCGAGGGCTGCCTGGGGCAGGCAAGGTGGGGAGTGGGCTTGGGTGGGTTCAGGCACGTATCTGGCACCCATGTGGAGGGAATGCAGTTACTCTTGGCACATGTTCCGCGGTGCAGACTTGTCAAGGGGCGAGGGGTCCTGGGAACTAGAATTCTCATATGTTGAAATGGCGGAAGTGGAGGAGCTTCTCCCAAGGGCCCCTCCCAAGCCATGCGGGTGGATGTTGAAAACAGTCAGGATTTACAGCTGCAGGGAGGGGGCGTGGGAGAAGCACTCCAGTAGCTAGCCACACCTGCACGACCCTTGACCCATGATGCAGCTTTGGGAGAGATGGGCCACCCAACTACAGGGGCGATGGACAGGGAAGAGGCTTGGCTGCCTTCAAAGAGGACACCCCAGAGGGAGGGGGCCCAGGGCTCCTCAAAAGGAGAATGTTGGAAAGTAGTAATGTGGATTGGGCAACCCCTCTGAACATGCTCAGAGACTCATTCTTTGTTGGTTGTGCTTCCTGGAAGTGATCTGGAGATTAAAGAGCCTTTAACACAGAAGGTTCTTGTTCTGAAAGTGCAGAGGAGGGGAAGGCTCATGGCAGCACGCTGTGATTGTTAGTCCTTGGTAACACGTTCATATCCTAAATAAAGCCCAGGTTCTGACTATGGATGGAGTGCCAGTTAGCTTGAAAGTGACTGAAAGACGGGGCTGGAAACCAGCAAATCCACTTTTCAAATCCTGTCTACATGATCAGCTCATTTGATGTCTTCAGGCGAGCTGTGTTCAGTCTTAGTCTCACATTTGCAGGTAGGCGTGCTAAGACAGGACATTGTAGAGGTGACAGAAGTAGTAAACATCTTCAAAACTGTATACTGCAATGTCAAGTAAGTGATGTGGTAGTAGCAGCAGCTGTCCTTCTCTGGAGGCACCCAAGGTAGGTTTCTAGTAACTGTTTAGGGAACTCTCCCATTATGGGGTGCCCTGTTCTTGTCAAGTCGTTCGCAGAAGCTGTGTTTGAAAACGGAACTGTGGCTTTGGAGAGCGGGGCGGGCTTTATCCGAGAAAGACGCATTCCCCTGAAGCAGTGCAGTTCCACTTAGCAATGTCGTGGGATTATTTCTACAACGGTGCCATTTTTGTGCAGGTGGTGGCACTGGCCTTCAATGGCAACTGCACTTTGTTGGCGTCTGTGCAGGTGGGGCAACTGAGCATGATGCGCCTCTGGGACTTTCCGGCAGGGAAGTTCCTCTGCATGTTTAAAGCAGGCATGCATTCGGTCTCTTGCCTCAGGTAAGTGCCGCACAATGTGGGAAAATGGGGCCTTCTCGCAGGGTGGAAAAGGAAGCGTGGGTAAATTGGGGAAGGTTGGGTTACCCTTGAAGCCTGGATCCCCAGTTTGGTGCCCTGAAGCATCCCATGCTGGGCTAAGCTTCCCCACTCGCCAGGCAGGGCATGGATCACGTGGCCACAAGCATTGCCTTAGCGCTTGTGATCTCAGGCTCTTTCACGTGAGGCAGCCTGTCCATCCCTTTTGCCCAGGACAGAGCGCTCCTTTCAGTTCGTTCTTCTGAGTGTCTGATTTAACTTGATTATCCCTCCATAGCTGACACTTTTCCTTGAAAAACAAATATTTTGAAGCTGCTTTTATACCTGGTCAGGCTGCCTATCAAGCCAGGCATTGTTCTTCTGTAACTGGCAATGGTGTTCAGGGTCTCAGGCAGAAAGAATTAATTTTCCCTCTTCTGCTGCTGAAGAATCTGGGTATTGAACCTGGGACTGCTTGCATGTAGAGCAGGTATTCTGCCACTCAGCTAAGGCCCCTCATGTCTTGCAGCTTTTCCTACAGTGGGAGTGTCTTGTGCGGCACTGGGAAAGACAGTCATGGGAAAACGGTGAGTAAACCAGCATTTCTTCCTTTGCGGAGGACGCCAAAGGGTTTCATACATGCACAGTTTTTCTGCATCTATTTACCATAGGTCAAGGCGTCCTATTGTGAGCTGCGTGGTTTTGCTGATTTGTAACTTGTCTGGATTTAGGAGAATGCCTTTTTAAATGGGTGTACTGTGTTTGAGATTGTGCGCCCTGTCTGCCTACTAGCGAGCTGCTCATCTATAGCTAGCAGGAAGCTAGTGAAACCCTTTTCTGACTACTTATTCATGCAGCCATTGTGCCCTCTTTACACATCCAGCTCCAAATGGAATAGCATGTCTCGGGGTCACCACCTGGAGTGGGCTCAAACCACTGTCTTCTGGCAGCTGGGCCGGAGTCCTGCTGCCTAAGTCATTGTGAGTGCAAGCCAGTGTTGGATGCTCAGCACCCCCTAGACTTGGAGAACTGGTAGCATCCTGTGCAGAGTGGGAAGAGCATGCAAGTGAGCTTCCTTTCCGTCCTAATCCTTGTTCTGTGAGGCATCTGCTGCCCAAGTGTGGTGTTTTGAAGGGGACAGGGAGGCGACTGAGGTGCCACTAACTGGCACAGTCCTTTCTGTGATGGAGGGGACAGGGAATGGAATGTGGATGCCCAGATCCCAGGTCAGAACATGTTTTCCGACCTTAGATCTGGGGATCCATAAATTCTGTGGCGCTCTCGATGCTGCCTAGCCTAGGAGCTATGATAACTCTGCCCCTCTCTTAAAGAAGCCATTGGGAACCTCATGCCTGTAGGCTGGGTCAAGTCTGCCAAGGTTCCTTCTAGCTTCCCAGTTTCTTCTGTAGGTCTTCCCTGCTCTTCGTGGCAGGGAAAAGCTTTTCTTCTCTGATCAGAGGAGAACTTTTCCTTGCCAGGGAAAGAATCTGGGGAGGAAGCTGCTCTTGGTCCTGCGTGCTTCTGAGGCCTGTCCTGTTTACAGCAGGCCTTCCACACCTTGATGGAGAAGTGTCCTGGTACTGGAGAGGCTGTGTAAAATGCTGCTGAGTGGTTTGGTCGAGCTCAGTCACGAGTAGGCCTACAGAGGCCCATGCTGCTTGATCTGGCACATGATTAGTAAGAGTCGTGTTTTGGCTCCACCTGCTTTATCTTAGGCCGTGGCCTAGGCCACCCCCAGATGGAACGTGGACCCCCAGACACTTGCTGGGTTGGAACGTTGGCCCTTTGACTTGAAAGGTCAGAGAAAGTGCATCTTGCGTTTGCATAGAACTTGCTGGTGCCTGTTTTGCGTGTGGTGTCTCTGGCATGGTCACTCACTCAGGCTGGGATCTGAGCCTGCCTCCTCCAGATCTCGTCCCCTGCCCCCGCTCAGGTGGCACCTTTTCTCGCAGGTGGTGGTGGTCTGGAGCACCCTTCAGGCACATCATGGCGGGGAGGTGGTGGCACTGGCCAAGGCGCACACGGATGTGGACATCCAGACCATGAAGATTGCTTTTTTTGATGATACCAGGTAAAAAGACATGATAGACCTCTTGTAGAAAAAATAATTATCCAGGGCCTGAAGCCAGTGATCTACCCCAGTGCCCTTTCCCTGGGTGACATCCTTCTGTCGTGATTGTTTGAACTCTGGGCTTTTGATGTGTGTTCCTTGGCCCCAATTGGCATCTCGCCTGCGTTGCCCTGTGTCGTTTTTCTGTTAGGTAGCCCTTTGCATATAGGCAGTCATTCTACATGCTCGGTCCGTGTTAGATGTAAAATTTGCATTGAAGAATTGGGGGTGTGGGTAGAGAGAGAGAGAATCACACCCATGCTGGTATGAACCTGAGCTGAGATATGGCATGATGCAAAGCTTACACCCAGAGGGCCATTGCTGGTATCAAACATCTTCCTTGGCTACCTAAGAAAGCATGTTTTGTTTCTGTCTTTGTAAAGATGCGGCAGTTTTGACTCTTGAGCCCTTCTTAGCTTCTAACTCCAGTTTCTCTTCCTGGTAGGATGGTGTCATGTGGAAGAGACAATGTGAGGCTGTGGAGGGTCCGGAGCGGAGTGCTGCGCTCCTGCCCGGTAAACTTAGGCGAATACCGTTCTCTGGAGTTCACAGACCTGGCTTTCGAGGCCGGCCATTCCTCCCAGCGCGAGCCAGAAGACAGGACTCTGTAAGAAGTGGCTTCACTTTCCTCATGGTGCTGTTCCTTGAGTTATGCTCTGGAGCGAGGCTGCAGAGCCTCTTCTGGCCCAACAGCCAAATGCCATTTGGGAGAAGCTTTTGGGGGTGTCTTCCAGGAGTGGCTGGGGACAAAGCAAAAAGCGCGTGGCCAAACCTTGCAGCCTGTTCCAGCCTAAAGCAGTTGGTGCCAGTAGCTGAGCCTTAGGAGAAGCATTTCAGCCGTTTCGAAACTGGGCAGCAGGGGCAGAAATAGCCATGATCTGAGAAACCGCCAAATTGTAGGTGACTGTGGGAAAGGGGTTGGGACGAGGGAAAGGGATGTGGCTACCTGGAAGTTGCAAAGGGCTGGATTTGGCCGTGGTGCTGAGGTTTCACATTCCTGTGTGAGGGAAATGCATTTGCAAGATAGCCACCTGCGCTTCTCTAATCTCTTCAGTAGAAGACTAGTAAACAATGCTGTGATGATGGTGAAGTCTGTGGGAGGAAGGACTATTGTGCAGGTGCTGGATCATCTTTGATGGGATTCAGTTTGCCTGCCTTTTCCGCAAAAAGAAACTTGACTCTGGGATAATGAAGATGGGAATGGATGGCAATAAGTAACAAGTTGTGTGCAGTGACTGTATTTGTATCTCACCTTCCCCTCATGAGCTCACAGAATGCAATACAAATTTGGCAAGGTAGGTTAGCCTAAGATGCGGCGTTATGCCCAGTGAGCTCCACTGCAGTTTGGAGGCTTCAGTTTAAAGTTTGCTAATCTGCAGTGTTCTTTCATATTATATCCATGTGGTTCAAGGTAATAAAATAAACCAGAGCGCCCATAACCACCAGACTTCCCATCCGTTCGACTGCCATGGGTGTAGGGTGTGATCCTATGTATATTCAGGCAGAAGAAGGCCCTGGATCAGTCCATGTCGGCAGGAGTGATAGGAGTTGTTGGACACTGCTCTGTCTAAACATACCAAGGATTGTTTGCTCCATTAATTTTGGAAAATTGACCTGATGTATAGCTTGCAGCCTTGAACATTCCCTAATTACTTGGGGTCATATTGAGACGTCGTTGAGGGGCATTATTATTATTATTATTATTATTATTATTATTATTATTATTATTATTATTTTAGGTTTGTTTGCAGCCGGAGTGGGCATGTTTTGGAAATAGACTACAAAAACATCACTGTCAAAAATGCCCGACGCCTCCTACCATCCGAGGTGAAGCACTCTCACCAGCAAGAAAAGCAAACGTTTAACTCAGGTGTGGCTTCCAAGGTGGAGCTGAGCGAGGCCTCTCTGTAGCTGCCTAGTTGCTTCCTTCTGGGAAAGGTTCCAGGCAATTGTTCTATAGCAGCAGTTGCCACATTTTCTTGGCCTGCAGCTGCTGTCAGATTGGTGCTGGAAGTCACCTTCTGATGAGACCAGTTATGGTGTCTTTAAGGATGGTGGAAGGGGAGAGAGATTTCCCCCTCCAAAATATTCTCCTGTACCAGCTCTGCTGGAATGAATGAATGCTGCTTCTGGCTGACGGCTGGAGGTGGTGTTTGAGGCCCTTCGTTGTGTGGAAGGACCCTGGATCTTTTGGGACTATCCCACAATGGATGGACAAGATGGTTGTCTGGACAAGCTCCAGCTTGTCTTGTCCTGATGGCAGCTGGTAGAAGTAGTGCTGCCTTCATAGAGGACACAAAATTTGCTGTCCACCAGCAGCTCTTGTGGCTCAGTGTGTGTTGGATCTCGGTTCCTTCAGGTCCTGGGATTGCACTGAACAGCATAAGCCTGTCTTCAAGTTTCTGTGCTACGGCCTCCGAAGACGGCTACGTGCGCCTCTGGCCGCTGGATTTCTCCGAAGTCTTCTTGGAAGCAGGTGCTTAGAGCTTCAGGGTTGGACTGTTGTGGCCATGTATGTGTTAGATCACACCCTCCCAGGGAAAGCCCCGTACAGCCAAGGGTGCTGTGCAGTAATTTCCCAAGCTGCTACCCCAGTGTGGCTTCTCAGCTCCATTCATTGTCTTATATCGTGTTCACTTTGTATGTCTTTTGTCACCTCCTCAGCAGTATAAACTTACAGCTAGAAAAATGCCTCTGAGATCTGTGCTTGCTTTTCTCTCACATCATATGAAGAGACATGCTGGATCAGAACAAAGGCCTGTCCCACTCATCCTTTCTGGCTGTTGTTCCGCAGCAACAGTCCTCAGGGACACGTGTCTCTGTGCCTGGGGCCACAAAAGGCCACCCTGACTGCCGGCTACTGACTACTGCAGATAGCCTGTATGTGCCATGAGCTTGTCTCTTCCCGTCTTAAGGCCACCTCAGATAAAGGGTGTCACAGTTTGGGTTGCTGAATCCCATTTGTTAACTCTGTGCAGCATAAGGAGGTGCTTTGTTTGCTTTCCTTGACTGATCAGCTTCACTGGATGACCCCGGATTCTGGTACTGAGAATGAGAAAGGCTTCTTATAAACTAGGTCACTTCGTCACGTTCAGCCTCTGTTCATGTGGTTATGCATTTGCAGTTGCAGATGCTTGTGAAATCCTCACGCCATCAGTAGGTGCACAGAAAGCAATCTACCACTGCCTGCCAGTTGCTGCTGGAGAGCAGAGCAGAGAACAGAGCTTTGGCTGTCCTGCCCTCCTGGTAGGCCGCTCAGAGGCAGCTGGTTGGCCACTGGGTGGGCAGAAGGCTGGATCAGATGGACTCTGCATTGGATCTCCATGGGTTTTCTTTGCTTCTTCCAGTACAAGAGCACAGTGGGGGGGGGGGGGAAGAACCCAGTCCCCTCTGCACCCATAATTTTAGAACCCCTCTTGGTTACATTAGGGCCATGAAAGGAACATAAGCGTGGCTCATGGATGCCAAACATGAAAGGGCTGGTCCTTTATCCAGCCAGTGAGCCAGAAATCAAACTGTGCTTTATGTTCCCTTGGAAAGGAGATCTAAGCATGTCAGAGGGAGACAGGCCAGTGAACACTGTGTGTCTCTGCAGAGCATGACTACCCAGTGAGTTCTGTTCGAATCAGCCCAGATAATCTGAAGGTTTTGTGCACAACTGCCACTGGGAATGTGGGCTGCCTGGACATCCAGTCTAGAGACTACTGCACAATTATGCGCTCCCACATGGATTCTGTTTTGGCCTTCTCTGTGGAGAGATCCCAGAAGCAACTAGCGACTGTATCTCAGGATAACACCATTCGCATCTGGAACCTGGAGTCTATGCAGCAGGTAAAGTCAGAAGCTCCTTACTCATAATGTTGGCAACACAGTCAGATCTTTGCATTAAACCTTTGCAGAGTGTTGATGCCCTGAGAGGCTCTTTGCTGGGTTCTGCAAAACAGTGTATAATTTTTGTACACGTCTGTATATGTCATGCACTCACTTCATTTTGAAGACTGAAGATTGGCGGAGCCAAATTAAAAGTTGTATTGTCCTGGAAGGCAGAAAAAGCCCTAAAGCACCCTAGCTTATCCACAAGTATTAGGTAGCGTTAGAAATGTGAAGACCTGGAAAAATCGGGGGGAACTTTAGTTTTTTTTCTGGTTGTTTTCCAGGTTTTTCCATATCTTCGCCTTTGGGGATAGCATGTGTGGATTGGAAGGTACTTAAAAGTGAGAGTAGGGTAGCCAGGATCCAGAAAGCCCCATATGCAGGTTTCCCAAAACTAAGGAAAGTAGACTGCTGGTTATAACACATGCAAATCTTTGTTGACCTTTCTAAGCCATGTTTTGTGTGTTTGGGCCACTCTGAATTGAGAATTCTTCGTGATAATTGAGCGGTGCATGCATGATTCAAAGAAATACATTTCCAGTGCAGAGTTTAGTTTACTGGCTTCAGAACGTGGATTTCATGCAGTGCTCTGGACTTTAGCAGCAACCAGCAAGTGCTACACAGACTCACTCTCTCTTCTCCCTCCTGCACACAGTTTTGCTACATTTCTATCCTGCTCTTCCAACAAGAAGCTCAGAGCAGAGTGTGTGCCCTTTGTTTTGTCCTTGCAACAGTCCTGTAAAGCTGTCAACCTTTCCACAGCTGGGGACTGGCGAAAACAGGAATGCCACCTCAGGGACGGCTGAGCCAGAAACAAAGAGCACCATACACATAATACAGGATTCTGTGTATTAGTTTCCAAACACAACACCAAAAAAAGAAAGTTTTCAAACAACCAGAAACGGAGCAGCAAGCGCAGTGCGGCTCCCAGCCTGCTCCCACCAAGCTGTCTCTCCCCTCCCTGCCCGCCCCCACAGGCGGCATCAGCACACCCCCCACAAACGTGATGCCAGGCGAGGAAGACGGGGCGGGACACAGCCAGCCCTGCTCTGGTCCACGAACTTGTGCTTGAAAACCACTGCTGTAAAGTCAGGTCGGTTGGGAGAAATGCATGCCAAGCAACTTGGATTTCCTCAGCCTGATATGGGTAGAAAGTAGACAGAAGGCCTCTGCCTCGTGGAGCGCAAGCAGTGTGGTTCTCCCCACTGTCACTGCTTTAGAAAACCAAAACAAAATGGTCTCTTTTTCCTGGACCTCTGAATTTCAGTGGCATAGGAGAAGAAGTGCCTGCTTTTAGCAAGCACTGATACTGTCTTCTGACAGCTTCTAGTTGCTTGTGTTTGCAGCTGTTTTTGGTAGCTGATTTTTTAATTTAATTTTATAACTGTATAGTAGTTTTTACAAAAGAAAGGAAGGGACTAAATTAAAAAGAGATTTAAATGTTTGCGACAGCTTTGGATTAATTCATAGGGTCAGTGTTAATGAGCTGTGTTGTGAGTTTGGATTAGGCTTACTGGTTTTTCTAAAAGTGCTTTGATTTGGTATGATTACTGTAAATCATGCACTGAAATATAGGTTTTCTCCCAACTATGGATAGCAAGCATTGTTGATTAAAATTTACATTTCTGCTTAGGCGCCTTTGAGGCTTTAATAAAATAAAGATATATTCAAATGTCCCTGATTTTGTTCACAGGCAGATGATTAACTAAAAAGTTTTTATCTGTTGACAGTACTCATGTCAATCTTTACTTTCTCTTAGTTAAGTCCTTTCTTACCAGCTGGTGCTTCCACTGCATGAAAGCAATGATTTCCCATTTCTTAATGTAGTACACAAGCTACAGAACTTGTTGGCTTGTCAAGTGAGGTAGAAGGTTAACTCTTGGGCAGCTTGCTTCTGCCCGTCTGCCGTCTTGTCTGATGAGAGATGCACCTTTACCCCTTACAGCTGTATGAATTCACTGCCTCTGATGAGACCCCATGTGCCGTGGCATTTCATCCCTCCCAACACATTTTCGCCTGTGGTTTCGGTTCTGGTGTGGTGAGGACCATCAGCTTGGCTGCCTCAGCACTGCTTGAGGAACACAAGTATGTTTCTGTCTATTTTCAGAGTTACATTCTGAATATTTTCTTGTGTTGACAGTGAGACAGTTGATTGAAATGGGCTTTTTCTTCAAAAAAAAGTGTGAAATGAACATTAGTTTAGTAGCAATATACAAAGAAGCATGTTGTTTAATTATTTAGAATGACTCCTTCTATTAGCAGTGAGTGCTGATCCTTATGTAGACCTAACTACGCAATTCACATGCATGAGGAATATATAAGGATATCAGAATGAGAGTAAGATTTGCTGAAGTGCAAATATACATGGGTGGGAGGGTTGGGGGGGGGAGTCCCAAACAGACACCCCCACCCTCTGGTTCTGGCAAATAAGAGGGTAATTTCTGTGTGGGCTATGCTACTTCAAGGTACAGATAGGGAAATCACATGATAGAATGCTCCTCTATGAGAACAGTAAATCCACATGAGAGATTGGTACACTGGGGAGAAGGCTCGACTGGTTACTTGGTTTGAATGTTGTTAATTGTGGGGCAGTTCCTAAGAGATGCAGATACACTGGGAAGGTGGGGGCATAAGTTGTCTAAAATGAAGGGGTCGGGTGCTGTTTTTCCAGTGGAGGCCCATGCCATGATGTGATCTTGCTCCCTCTGCCCGAGACCTGCTGCATTTCACAGCATCATAGCACAGCAGAATTGGAAGGAGCTAGAGGGCCATCAGATCCATCCCCCTGGCCACTGTTGTTTGCTGAGTCAGCCCCCACTCCCATTTTAAGACCCATTGCATGGACTGGTTTGTTGGACTCAGCCTTAATTTCAGCTTTCTCATTTTTCACGGGGGTTATTTTGCAGGCAGCATCGTGGCTCAATCACTGGTTTGACCTTCTCCCCAGATGGCAATTTTATGTACAGCTCCTGCACTCATGGAACCCTGGCTCTTTATAACTGTGCCATCCAGAAAAGCCACACTGTCAGAGTTCTGGGTAAGCCTTCTTTCCGCCTTTCAGAACCTCTGGATGGAGCTCTCTGCTGTCTTGCTTTAAGGCAGGGAAGGGAAACCCTTTTTAGTGCAAGTGCCAAAGGGTTTGGCCCCCCGGGGGCCACTCATGACATGCACCCTCAGTGTGCTTGTCCAGACCCCATTCTTATTTGCACCTGCAACTGTGCATGTGTGCATGTATGCGCGCGCACACACATGCATTTAAAAGGTGACAGTGGCTGCTTTTTAAAAAATTATTTGTGTGGAGGGGTCGCAAGTTTGGGGAAGGGTGCGTTAACTCTCTCCTCCCTAGCAGCACCTCCTTCCAGAATCCTCCCCTCTCCCAGCTGCATTAATTAATTAGTTTATTTTATCCCACCTTTTTTCCTTCAAGGAACTCAAGGTGGCTCACATAATCCTCCTCCTCTCAATCTTATTCTCACAATGATCCTGGGTGATAGGTCAAGTCCGAGAGTCATGCAGTCGATTTTGGGGCCAAGCGAGGACTCGAACCTGGACTTTCCAGATGCCAGTCCAACAGTCTGATTACTGTGCTGCGTGGGCTCTCATTTTTATGATTATTAATAATTCTCCCAAAAAATCTCTACTGATGACATTAGAGAATTTTGAAAGCTGTTCTCATGGGTTGAGAGGCAGGAGGAAAAATTCCTTCTCTCCAGACGTGGTTGTTTGTGTTTGTGGGGGGGGGCTCTCTCTTTCCTGCCCCCCCTTTCATGTTGCTTCTCCCCCATTTAACCACTCTCTGCCTTGTTCCCAGCTAACGTGGTGTCCCAAGATGCTGACCATGCACCTGATGCCCTGTCTGTCAGCTGCGATGGGCGCCTCCTGGCCTTTGTGGGACCCTCCAAATACATTGTGACGCTCATGGACGCCCCGACACTCGATGAGGTAAGCGTGGCATATTCGCCTCCCATCTTTCTGTAGAGAATATTGAGGTGGCGGGAATGGGGCTTTCCTGGGCAGTCGCTAAAGTGCCTGCCCTTCATGTGGTCTAGCCCAAAATACTGGCCGTCTCATGCCTACTGACCTACAACTCAGAAATAGGAGAGAGTTCTGGAAAGGGTTTCAGCTGCTGAAGGGATGGCGCCGCAACAGGCTTGATTCTGTTGAGATGCTGAATCAGTGTCTGGAAGGCATCTCTCAGGGTGCAGCTCACCTGGCCGAATGCGTATATGGAGCCAGCGAGGCCTAGTGGGTAGTGCATGGGACTATGCTCAGGAGGTCCAGGTTCTAGCCCTACCTGAACCATGAAAGTCACTGGGTGGCTTTCTGCCAGTTCTGGACTCTCAGCTGAACCTGCCTCGCGAGGCTGGTGTGAGGGTAAGATGGAGAGGAGGAGAACCTTGTAAGCTGCCTTGGTTCCTTGCAAAAGGAAGAGAGGCCGGGTATAAGTGCACTGGTACAGCAACGGTGATGATGGAGATTATCGTTTCCTTCGTGCTGAAAGGTCGGTGTTCTAACCTGTCGCCTCACTGACATACATACTTCAAAGTGCAAAAAGACTAATTTTCTATGTTTATAGATGGGTATGAAGTTGTACTGCCCAGATATGCATTTCACTACCTTGTGATACAATCTTGTGCACATTTACACAAAACAAAGGACCTGCAACTTCCTTCCTGTCTCAGCCAGCGCAGCTGTCTGGGAATTGTAGGACGTTGTTCTCTCTGAACAAGCACAGAATGGTATCCTTAGTCGCACTGAAAGAATTGTTCCTCTTCTTTCCAGGATGGAAAGTGGAGACCCACAATGCATTGCTAGCAGACTTAATGTATCCTACCACCTCATTCTGCTGCATCTGTAGAGGAAACCTGGCATTCCCCTCAGACATGCTCTGCACATGCAGCAGATTTTTAAAAAAATTCATTTCTATACCACCCAGTAGCCAAGGCTCGCTGGCCAGTTAACAAAAATTAAAATTAAGCAAGACACAGACACAGAAATTAAAAGAACAAAACCATAATTGCTATAACAAAAGTGTAGCAATATTTATTTTATTTTATACAGAAATAAAATAAAATCTTCCTGCAAATGGAAAATTAGCATTGAAACTTTCTCCATGATGTGCTAATTTTTGACTTTCAGGATTGGTTTGTTTTTTTACATAGGAGTGCAGTGAAAAATGGTGCCTTTTAAACGAGTGTTACCCCTTTGTTCTGGGGCACACGCCCTCAGGTGTGTAGATCCAGCTTTTAATTGCCCTCTTCCAAGTATCCTTGTCCTCTCCCTTTTCAAGCAGAGAGATTTGCTTCAAGTTCATGGGTCTTAATAGCTTCTGTTCTGTCCTTTTCCTGTTTGGCAGCTACTGAGAATAGACGTGAGCATACTGGACCTGGACAGTACTGCCCTGGATGTAGCTGAGAGGGTCTGCTTTGCTCCTTTTCCTCTTGGCCACTGTTTGGTAACAACCTCCTCACAAAAGATTCTTGTGCTGGATGCCAAGTCTGGGCGCTTGATCCGGATGGTAAGGGACTCTCAGTGTTGCTTCTTTCTGTCCTGAAGTGGGCTGCCTCACAATTCCCAGGTTTTCCTGTACCTTGGCTTTCACAGGCTCTCAAACTACCTTGGGATCACAGGGTTCTAAAAGGATTCATTGTAATAGTGCAATAATTGGACGTTGCATGAAGAAATACATTCTTCTTTTCTGTCTTGCATCTGCAATTGATTTGTCCTTGTTATGATTTTGGTCAGTAACTATTTCCTGGAGGTCCACCTTGAGAAGCAGGCAAGCTGGTGGTTGGCAGCACGTCATCCCCAGCCACAGCGGCTGGTTTGTGCTGCCCTTATTTGTGTGACCCTCTGAGGAAGTAAAATGCGTAGGTGTGGATGCTTTTAAGGCCATATGGAAACATCACAGCGATGGTGCATCTTTTATTAATTTTAGCGTATACTATATATTGCATCTGGTGCACTATATATATTAAATTTCAAAAGTATCCAGAGAGATGATGCTAACTACCCATAACTCTGCCCTTGTTTATTGATTTATCGTCAGATTGATAGTCCCTTGCTGACTTATTGGTCACAGGGTCTGGATTACAGATGGCAGCCTTTGTATACCTCTCCTTCGGGAGTCATAGCTTCATTAATTGGGTTATTTGCCGTATCTTTCAGAGAAATTCCTCTCTGCGTCTCAGGTTTTACAGTCGTTTCGGGGAAGCGCGCAGTTCTCACCTCAGTTGTGCTTCCGTCCAACTGCAGGTCTCGCATGTGCACAAACAGTCTTGCTCTTCATTGGCCTTGAGCCCAGATGCTCGTTACCTCCTGACCGCTGGTGACAGGGTGATCAAGGTGTGGGATTATGAGATGAGATTCGACATCAGCTCCCAGGTAGTGTGCTAGCGGCAAAACCAGGGCAGTCCCGAACTCCCCGCCTCCCTGGCCTCATCCCCTGCTCACCACTCTATCGCTAGTATCGGGGCCGGTTTGTATATTGAGCAGGGAACTGAGGCAGCAGCTGCCAACAGAAATGGAGCAAGTGAGAAACGAGGATGTGCTGGAGCTGCTAGCTTGCTCGGGGGAGATCTCTTGCCAGGTGGGCAAAACTTTCCGAAGCAGCCCACAGAGGGCTGAGCAGGCTCTGTGCAAGTGGAATATTGAATGCCAGTTGGGGGGAAATGGGGAACTGGGAAGACGGGAAGGCCTGCTGGAGGGGGCACGGCCGCCTGGCTGGACACCTGAAAGGAGCGCTTCCTGTCGGGGAGGAGGATACGTGGGCACATTTTGCTGCACATCCTGCTTACGAATCGGCAGGTGAAGCTTTTCCCGGGCTGGATGCATGTTGCATGGGCGAATGCATCCCACTCCTTATCCGTGCACGTATGCTTCCACCCTGCGCTTGGACTCCGGGCCAAGAGGTGCGGCTTGCAGCTTCCCAGTTAGGGTGCTCCCGTGCGGTGTGAAGCAGAGCCATCTTCGTGCTTTTGCTCTTCTTTCTCCCAGGTGTTCATTGGCCATTCGGAGCCAGTGCAGCAGGTGCGGTTCACTCCTGACCAAAAGCAAGTGATCAGTGTGGGAGATGCCATCTTTCTGTGGGATTTCCTAGGTGTGTTTGCAGAAGAGTCCTCCAAGGATGAGTAAGAGTTTAATGCTTCTCCAGTAAAACCGTTCGCTTTGGCAGTGCCTTTTCATAGGTGCCTGTCCATTTAGGCCATGTGCTTGCATTGCCCGTCCTCCTAATTCTGAGCTTATTGCCATTCCAGAATCGATTCTGCTGAGTCCTTGAATTCTCCCAAAGCTGGTAAGGTTGCACTGTTCTTGAGTTATGCTGCTTCGTAAGGTCTGACGTCCCTCCATAGCTGTCTAAAAACACAGCAGCTCCCAAGAGTCATGCATGCTGAGCCTGGCTTCTTTCATTCCGCACTTGGGCAGCAAGAAGGTCCACAGTCCTGGTGGGGGTGGTAGGTAGTGGAATTAAAGGTGGAATTGGGAAGCTAACCTCCCTGTTACCAAAAGCTTGGAGATCGATGTGGGATGGAAAGAATGGGAACAGCCTCCACGAGCTACTGAGAATTGGGCGGGAAGAGGATGCTGTCTCAGGGCGATACTATGTCCCAGTGGGAATGACAACACCCGCAGCCTAATGGTCCATTTTAAAGCTCTCCTGGGATCCTTCTACATGGAAAAATAAGCCCAGGGTACCCAGCAACCTTCAAGGCTGCTCACAGGCTTAAACTTAGGGCCTCCCTGGCCTAGTCCGGCACCCTGGCTGCCGCACTGCACTGGCTTTCGTTCTGCTTTTCATCCCTGCTTTATTCACAGAGGCCATTCTGCAAGAGTTGCACAATTTGACCCCCGGCGCCAATGATGCTCCCCGCCAGCTGGTCCCTGTGCCTTCCGTCGTGTCTCCACCATGTCTGGACCTCAGCTCCATCCCACGAATGGCAGATGAGGGTAGGCAAAGAGAACTTATTGTTGGAGTGGAATAACCTTCCTTGGCAGCACCTCAGATCCGCCAGAGAATCCTGATCACTGATGTCTGTCAGTCCCTGCTCTGGTTCCCTTCTGGGGCCAGCCAGCTCTGCCCTGTTGCCGTCTACAGCCCTCGCAGGCAGGCGAACCCTTCCATTTCAGTTTGATGAGCACACTGAAGCAACACACTGCCCCATAGAAGAGAACCTGAACAGTCGCCCCTTTCTTCCCATGAACCACCGTCTGAACCCTGCCGGCCGAAAGGCCGAAGCAATCCAATGTCTTCTCTGATCAGACGGAGCGGCCATGGGGACTCTCCAGCCGCGGGTCAGATGGGGCTCCACCGTTTGGCCCAACAGCTTCTCTCCCATGCCTGTCCCCTCCCCTTCGGCCATTTTTCAGGCCCCAGAAGGGGAAAGCTCTTCTGGCTGGCTGGGAGAGCCGGCAGGGCTGGAGATGAGGTGGCTGAGTGATCCAGCCCTGCTCGCTTCTGAGTAAACATGCTGCTCATGGTTAGGTTTACTAATGAGTAGAAAGGGTTGGTAATTGGGGTGCTGTGGAGCGATTCATTCCTGCTTGCTCCCAAGTACATTCATTCATTCATTCATTCATTCATTCATTCATTCATTCATTAGGATATTTTTATCCTGTCCATTATGGTTCATCTCTGAACAGCTTACAGTATAAAACACCTAATAAATACATCAATCAACAACAAAAGAACACACGACTGAGGATATCAGTAAAATCATAATTAAAATATTTAAACTTTAAAATGCAGGTGCCTGTCCAGCACAGGCTTAAAGTAAACAAGAACAGCTTCATCACCTTGCCCTCTCTGACTTTGGCCAGGCCTGTGGATGGAATGCAGCTACTGCAACCTTTGGATTCGAATTCAGCTTCTGGATTAGAAAAAAATTCCTTCACCTTGAGAAAAGCGGCTGCTCATTTCTTTCTGGCAGTTTAAAGCTAAATTCACTCTGTATTTCTGGGGCCACTGGATGACCTTGGGAGTCACCAGATGGGATTTTGGTTTGATTTCAGTTCAGGTGTGACTTGCAGAGGGCTCCCAAGTGAATTCAGGTGACTTGTGTCTGTAGAGTTGCCAGTGCTCTGATATATCTACAGCAAAATCTTGACAGAGGAAAATGTTGCATGTGAAGGTGGGGGGTGGGGAGAATAATTTCCCTTCCTCATGGGAGCAGCCAGTGCCCCCCACGGAGTTTTACTTCAGTTGGAGTATATAAACCAGACAGCTGCTGTCGCTACTCTGTTGCTCCAAATGCAGAGGCTGCAGTGACGGCCACTGCCCGCTCCCAGTCCCATCCCTCCATTTGCGCACTCTCCCTCAGATATTTTTTCTGAATCTGAAGAAGAGAAGGAATCGTCTCCGAAAGGCTGCAGTGGAGAGGTTGCTAATGGGGATAAAGGCTGCTCTTTGAAGGAAGTCCACGGTGAAGAGCTTCCGGTCCAGAGGCCTAAAGCCATTCAGCCTTCATCAAGATCCTGTAGCCACGCAGGGAATGGTAGGTTGAAGGCTAACGTTTGAATTTTTTAGGACAGGAAATAGGGCGTAGGCACATCAGTGAAAGGAATTGCAGGAAAGCCTTTTTTTGTGTCTGGCTGAGTATGTGGGGCAGAGTGATCCTCTTGGTCAGAACGCTGGTCCAGAGCCTCTCATAGCCTTACCAGGAGACTGTGAAGACGGAGCCCTTTCCCAGGGAGAAGGGTCCTTCTGCTCAGTCCCTGGTGCCTCTTCATGAGGCCTGAGGAGCGGGCCACCGGACCAGGAAGCCTGTAATACGGCTTGCACCCAGGGCACGGTCTTCCTGCAGGTGCCAATCCTTTACCTTTTATTCAGGTGGGAGGCAGCTCTTGAGAGATGCTGCGATGGCTCGTTGGCAGGGTGGATTTCCTATCTTCCTCCTTTCTGCCTCCACGGTTCTGTGGCAGTAGTGCGTGCCAGGTGTGCCACAGCCAGGTGCCCACAGCCCTAGGTACATGTGGGTGAGGCATTCATCTATCCTCTCGTGACTAAAACAGGCAAACAAGCTCCGGTGTCTTTCTCCAGCTCTTTTCCACCCTTTACCTTCTCTTTACCTGCACAAAGTGACCTTGTTGGGGCCAGTTCTCCACTATGAAAAAAGGATGGCCAGGTTGCAGTTTGGCCAGCACATGTGAGCTCGAACTAAAAGTTAAGGTTTTGTGCTGGGGGTTGGGACCCACATGCTCCAGGCTCGGTCTCTCACCCCTCCAGGGAGCGTGCTGGGCTGCGTGAATGGTCCCCAGTAAGGTGAAGCGAGCTGGGAATGCCCCCTGGGACTGTTTCAGCAGCGGAAGGGTGGGAAGCAGCACTGGCTATTTCTGCTTTCCCTTTTCTTCTAGAACACAGGAAGGAGACCCAGAGTTCCCAGCCGCAGGACCTTATCCGCCCAGACTGCTACCGACACTTTACCCCTCGTTTCAAAACTTCTGCACCCCACAAGGTAAGAACTAGCTTGCTGGAATGTGAAGGGATAGATACGCGAGAAAGTGACTCATGGCTCCCATTCGCTTTTCTGGCCGGGCATATGAAAATTCCGTCCACCGTGCTTGTGCATTGCACTGCATTTGAGTATGGACAAGAGGCAGCCTGAGCTGGAGGCAGGTGTGCAGGAGGGGGCGTGTGGAGGGGATATGCTTCAGGGCTTCAGTTCTGAATAGCGCCCAGCAAGTTCAGCAGCCCAGAGCCATCCAAGAGGCTTTCCATGTAGTCCCAGCACATGCCCTGCAATATTTCCCCACATAGCCTGCCGCAGGGTGGGCAAGTTTTTGTTTGATCTCTCTGTATGTCCAAACTAGTTCCTGAGCTGCTGTGTAAACACTGGCCTGGGGAGGGGGGTGCAGAGAGGAGGGTGAAGCTGTACAGTTACAGAATGGCAGAATCCAGAGTTTTCTGGGATGTGTAACTTGGGGCACAGTGGAAATGTGTGCCTTGTCAGCGGCCCTTGCTTTTCTGGTGATGAATTCTTCACAAGCATCAGTTGAGGAGAGAATTGGTGGAATACTTGAGACTAATTGGAGAGCTGCAGATTAATTTAACAAGTCAGTGCTTTTGAGAAACGCTTCTCACATACAGATATTGTTTCTTGGGGTGTGAGAAAATGTGTCTGGAATCTCTTCGCAGTTTATACTAAAGCTCTGTGTTTGTCTTCTAGGCATTCTGCTCTCCGCTAGCTGCTAATGAGAACCTGAAACTAAAAACGGTCATTGGCTATAATGGAAATGGGAGGGGGAATATGGTCTGGAATCCAGATACAGGTATGGTCTGTTCTTGTGAAATAAGATGCACAAATTTTGCAAATTTTTCATTCCCATATCCTCAAGTGGACAATCAGACTTGTTAGGATCTTTTTCCTGAATACATTCCAGGAAAGCAAATCCTGTTGAAGTTGAACAGGGTATTCAGGATTGGAGTGTCCGATGATGATCTAATTGTCCTTAACTGTAATTAGGCTCCACTGAAATCAAATTGTCTTGCCTGCCTACACTCATCAAAGCCGGCAGATTTTGACAGGTTAGAGTTGCCAGACATTTTTTCATTCCTGTTGCCTCATTTGGTTAATTTCCTCTAACAGAGCAAGAAGAGCAAGGAAAATTAGCCATGAGATAACAGGACAGGCATTTGGCATTCAGAGGCTGGCTTCTTTCTAGGTGACAGGGGCCTTCTCCAGGCAGCTCCTACTTCCAGCCATTTGCACAGTAGTCTTTTAAATGCACGATCCTAGACACTAAATATGACCTCCTCTTCTGGCTCACTTTGTAGGTTTCTTTGCCTACAGCTGTGGCTGTGTGCTCATAGTTGAAGACCTGCACTCTGGATCTCAGCAGCATTGGCTTGGCCATCCTGAGGAAATTTCAACACTGGCACTTAGCCATGATGCTCAGGTACAAATATTTTCTTCAGGAAAGTCTTGGTAGAATGTGCCACTTCAGCCTCCTTCCACATTTAGTCAGTGCTGTGGGTTCATCTGGAGTTGGGGGCTAGAAATGTGTCAGGAATTCTGGTTTGGGGTGGGATCTGCTTCAACATACTTCAACTTCTGCTTCAACATACATGACTTGCACGCCGTATGTACTTGAATTGGGTACTTTGTGTACTTTACACAAGGAAGCCTCTAGCATTCCTGAGTGTTTTTGGACTTAATCTCAGCTTGGCTCGCTTCCTGGCCCAGACCGAGCAGGAGAGAGAAGTCTGGGAAACAAAATAGTCAGTTTTCAGCTGTTTTCCTTGCTGGTGGGGACGACAGCAGCTAAAACGGTTCTGGATATCTTTGCCCCCTTTGTTCCCAGCTGCATGGCAGAAAAATGAAAGGAGGCAGGGCTGCATTTGCCAAGGATCTAACTTAGCCTTAGACTGTTTTAGCCTTCGGTGCACCATCAGCCTGGATCCAAGCCTAGCCACTCTTTGTTCATCTGCTTTCCAACCACAAATGCAGAGAGAGAGAAGTGGACACTTGCTTTCCCAGTCATTCCCAGAAGGGCTAGAGCCATTAGTAGAATTAGAATTCATGTAGCATGTTCATGTAGAATTAGATAAGCAATATGCAGAGGTTCCATGAGCTTACAAACAAAAATGAACCAGTGGGGAAAGACAGGAGCAGAGGAGGGGATAATGAACAAATGCAGGTAAAGGCTACTGAGCGCTGGGCAAGATGATTAAGCAGATTGGCCAAAGGCCGTGGTGGAAGAAGTGGGTTTTGAGTAAGGAACCGGAAGAAGGGTGCGAGCTAGCCCTGTGCACACGGTTGTGGAAGGAGTTACAGGGAGAAGGTGCAGCAAAGCGAAAGGGACAGACTGCTCAGGGCGCTGGAGACATTTGGCTGCCTTGGTAGAGGGAGGAGATGCAATGCAAAGGAAGAGTCAGAACAGAGTGAGGCAGAGGAGCCCCCTTTCCCATTCCCCGTTCTCAGCATGTCTCTTTTTGGGAGAGGTGGATAATTTCAACCAAACAGGAATGCTCTGCTACACCAGAATTTTTTTAAAGCTATAGGTGTGACCACACAATTTTAACAACACCGAGAACTCCTTTTGTACATGTCCAAGAGTGTTTTGCATCTCTTAGTGATACGAAGCCTGCATATCAGGCCAGTTCTGTTAGCCACACATTGTGATAGTGGGGGCAGCGCAGATGCTGGGAGATGCAGTGGACGAGAGAGAGAAGCCTGCCTAAGCCACCTGGGGAGTCGAGGACTGAAGGTAGATTTAGAAGTGCATTTCCTTTAGCCTCTCCTAAAAAAGAACAGGGCACGGTGCCAGAACAGTTTAGAAAAGTTGGTAGCAATGAAAAGGAGGGCCTGGAAGCAGCCGCACTCGCCAGCTGCAGGCGATTCCCCGCTGTGCATCTATTAAGAGAGCTTAGGGTAGAACATCTGCAGCAGACCAGTGCTCAGCTGCGTCTCAGTTTGCCTCGCTCTGCACTTGTTGAATGGCTCCCTCCTCCTCTTGTGCGGCTTCTCAAGCGGTGACCATTAAATATTCCCCCAGGGCCTTGCCTCTGCCTCTGGCCAGGGCCGTAGAGACGCACGCTGCCAAATCCGCATCTGGGACGTTCAGAGTGGGACATGTCAAAAGGTTCTGTTCCATCACGAGACCCAAGTGCAAGCCATGGCATACTCGCGAGATGACCGCTTCCTCGTTACACTAGGTGGGTGCAGTCCATCATGATGGGCGGGGGCCGTGGGAGCCCTGCTCACCTCCTTCGCTTGGCCCTTGGATTATTTTCACTGGGCTGATCTGGTGAACCTTGGCTGCAGCCCGCAGGGCCTTTGCCACCTTTGCTCCAAGGCCAGGAAATTGAGTTTTCTCCACGTCTTGGAGCTGCTCATCTCTTTCAGAAGGAGTACAAAACATACTTGTCCTGGAACACGTTCACTCACCATTTTCTCTTCAGGTTGTGGTTTTGAAAGCTTTAGGTAGCTTCCTGATTTCTATTATTAGAGTGTATGTTTTACTATGCTAAGTACCCTGAGCTTGAGAAAAGTTGGGATAGAAATGTGTTCAAATATTTAACATGTCAAAGGACTGGAATATTTCTTTGTGGTATGCAGGGGATTATGTTGACAGAATCATTGCTCTGTGGAGTGCCCACACATACGACCTGATGTCCTCTACCCGGCTCTCTGAGCCAGTCCACGAAGTTGCCTTCAGCCCACTTTCCGTGGGACACCTCACCTGCGTGGGAAAGGGAGCCGTGACCTTCTGGCTAATGGAGCAGCAGGGAGCTGACATCAGCCTCAAGGTACTTCTCCTCACTTTCCCACTTTATCGTCTGATAGTATCTGAGTGTATGTTCAGCAGCAACCTGCATTAAACCTCTGCTCAGCTCTTGAGGATCGGTCCTGCTGTCGTCTGGACCCAGTCAAATGTTTGGGCCTTCGGCCTTGGGGGAGAAACGGGGCGGCTCTGGCACAACCTTTTGCCACTGCAGTTGAAGAAGCATCTCCAGTGGGTGATGCGTCTTCTGGCATCAGGTTCACAGAGTCCCCGTTCCCGATGCTGTCGGCCCAGTGGAGCTTACGTCCCTGTGCTACAGCGCTGGCTGCCTTCTGTACATTGGGACCAGTGCGGGACAGATCTGTGCCTGGGACATGGAGGTCAGCCGCTGCTTCATGACCTGGGAAGCAACAGAGGGGGAGATCGGTGAGTTCTCGTGCAACTACCCTCTCGAGAGGAATGCTTCAGCTGCCCTGGTTTGATGTCACCAAACGTGAACGTAGACGGTGGTTGGGCTTCGGATGGTCTTGATTTGGCCTGCGTTCTTTTGAAGAAGCCAGCAGGAGGGCAAGCTGCTGCTCGCTTTTGCAACGCAGTTTGGGAGAGGCTGCAGTGGAGGCTGAGGGAGCCGCTGCCAAGGCCCTGCGCCTCGTTCCCTCAGAGCTCCAGGTGGCGGTTTTGAGTCCTCTGGAAGGGCAGCACCTGTTCTAAAAGGTTTTCAGGGCAGAGCTCTGCAACTCTGAGATAGTCACGAGAGAATCCAAGTGTTAACCAGAATACATCCCTCCCTGGCATAGGTGTGCTAAAGTGTCACACTAACCGGCTTGTCAGTGGCAGCAACACCAAGAAAATCCAGCTGTGGTCCGTGGCGGCTGTCCAGGAGTTGCGAGTAAAAGGTTCTAGTGCCAGGTAAGAAATCCTCTAAATCAGACTTTGGCAGTTGGAGAAAAAATGGTTTATTCGGGCCCAAAGCACATTTGAGAAAACTGCACACAGTGTCCATATTTTTTAAAAACAGTTGCATTATCATACAGCACAATTAAAGAAAAGGTTAACTGAATTAGTGCCCCCTCCATTGATTTTGGAGAATGAATGGCTCAGATATGGTCTGGTCAAGTGCTTTTCACATCTTTTGTATGTGTGTGCAGATTTTTTTTCCAGGACAACCACCTGCCTTTGTCTGCCGAGGTGAGGTAGTTTACTGGGCATCTCATGATCTTTCTCTTTTGTTTGCAAATGGACATTGAGTCAAATTAATAATTTGCATAGTAACGTTCAGTCGATGCACTGTGCTCCGTAAGGAGGGTTCAGGTGCTGCCTTCAGTGGGACTGGGTGCTCGCTTTGCAGTCACCCCGCATTTCCACTCCATCACGAGAAGCACACTCTTCCCTTTTAGCAGTGTGCCTTTGGCCATGTTGCCCGAGAGCATTTGCTTCCTTCCCTCTTGGCAGCTTCCAAAGGTTGGGCAACCATATTCCCTGGCCTGAGCTCCTGGAGGACCAGTGAGTTCCGGTGTGTGAAGACAAGCGAGCTCCATGCAGATGGTATTCGGGCCTTACCACTCTGGCCCCTGCTTGGAAGGACCGTGGCTCAGTGGCAGAGCACACGCTTTGCATCTCGGACGTCCCAAGCTCAGTCCCTTCTTCTTCGGAAAGGGCTGGGAAAGATGCCTGCCTGAAATCCTGAGCTCCTACGATACTACCCTTCAGCCTGGACTTGAGAGGCCAAGGAATCTCCTGGATATACAGCGTCGTCTTAGGATGCTCACGTTGGGCAGCGTGGCAGGAAAACAGTGGATAAACCTTTCTTCATCCCCGCCTTCAAAGAAGGATGCTACCCCGGCAAACCGCATGGTTCCCATTGGTCCTTTCAGTTTGCTGATGGGCAAGAAGTGTCGCTATGTGTGTTCGAAACCTCAGCCACATGGCGATGGCAAGCCCTGCAAAGGAGCATTGGCGAGGCACTGCAACTGGAGAGTGTGCTCTTTCCTTCCTAGTTCTTAGATTTTTTTCACCTCAGCCTTTATTTCTATGAATACTTATTCACATATTTATAGGCATTTGACAGCCAAGGTGAAGAGCTTTGTAAGAAACGCTCCACTTTTCTGCCCTGCCCTGCCCTGCCTTCTCTGTAGCTCCAGCTCAGTCCTCTTGGAGCAGGAAATGACCCTGGACGGGACCATAGTGAGTGCCGCCTTTGACGACTGCATGGACATGGGGATCGTTGGCACTACGGCGGGGACGCTGTGGTACATCAACTGGGTGGACAGCACCAGCATCCGGCTGATCAGCGGGCACAAGAATAAGGTACAGGCTCTCGGACAAGGAGAAGCAAGGGTAAGTGCCAGCTGATGGCTTCTTGTGGGTTCGCGGAACGCCTCGCTCCCTCTCCTTTGCTGCAGGTGCACGACGTGGCCTTCAGCCCCGGCGAGTCCCACTGTGCCACCTGTGGGGAGGACGGCAGTGTGAGGGTCTGGTCCCTGGCCAGCATGGAGCTGGTGGTGCAGTTTCAAGTGCTCAATCAGGTAATTGCTGGGGTGCTTCATGATCTTTGGCCCAGCAACGGTGGTTTCCCTGGAACCTGCTGGACCCAGGAGATGCTTTTCATCACAAATGTGCCTGGTCGGCGGTCTTGAATTTGTGGCTTGGCATGTGGAGGAGCCCACAGGTTCTTAGCGCACGCCAGCAGAGGAAACAGCCCAGTCATGCGGCTGGAAGGGGTGCCTGCTTGCCGGCTGGCTGATGGCCTTAATTTCCTCCACCCCATAATAATAATCTTAAAACTGTAAGGGAAAGTGTGGCCAGCCAATGGAATGATAATGGAGAAGGGCTTAGGCATTGCTCTCCTTTCTTCCTCTCTGCTTGTGTTCCTTGGCATTTCTAACGTGTTGCTTATTCCTCCCCCCGCCTCCCACAACGACCATAGAGCTGCATTTGCCTGGCCTGGAGCCCATCGCCCAGCTCGGTCAGCGGGGCAGAGAGCCGGCATATAGTGGCAGGATATAGCGATGGCACCATGCGTGTGTTCAGCATCTCACGGACGGAGATGGAACTGAAAATGCACCCGCACTCGGTGGCTGTGACAGCCCTCGGATATTCCGCAGATGGTAGGACTCCAGACGCTTTGCCAGCTACTGCTGATCATCCAGCCACAAAGAGCAGAGACCAGCTATAAATTGTCGGTCTCTTTCCACTTGGCTTGGTTCTCCCTCTTCCTCTTCCCTCTCCCCATCTCCCCCACATGATGACCTCCTTCCAGATTTCATACATGTCTTTTGGCAGACTTAGGCACAGTACTCAGGAACGTCTGGTACAGCCTTTCTCAATACAGTGCAGAAACAAGAAATGGAGTGGCAACGGTGATTAACAGATCTCTTGGACTGCAACTCCCCAAATCCCTGGCCATCAGCTATGCTGGATGCAGCTAGTGGAAGTTCAGGTCCAAAACATCTGGCAGTCATTAGCTTGTGGGCATCTAGTCTATACCACCTGGAGACTAGTCTCAGGGAAATTCCTGCCTGGAGATTTGAACCCAGATCTCCTGCTTTTTCTAATCTGACATTCGAACCACTTCACCAACCTAGACCCTTCAGACATTTAGAAGGCAATTCCTAACAATTTGTCATGCTCGTGGTGGCTGCTGGGAGTTGGAGGCTGCACTAGAGAGCAGACTTGATGAGAGGTAGCTGGTGGGCTATAATGAGGGGAGAGGCTGAACCAGTAGTTTTTGGTGTGGCAAATGACAGCGTACTCAAATGATATTTGCCTCACAGAAATGATGTTGTCATTAATCACATCCAAGAGCAGCGAGTCTAAGCAGGGAGCTGCCAGGAGCTGAAGAAGAGCTGCTTGCTTTGTGTACTGGAGTCCCTTTTAGCAGACTGGGCTTGTTAAGGATAGTGGTGCTTTAGAAGGGCTTTAGTGATGCCCCCACATCTCCTGTATAGAAAATACAGAATTTTCCTGATGAAAACAACGGGGGCAGTTATTCAGTGTTCTCAGAAAGACTCAAGGGTGTCAAAAACGTAAAATAAACCTCTGCCAAGAAGGCCAGAATGTGAAAAGACAACTGGGAGGCAGATGTTTTGACACCAGAAGTGTAGGTCATGATGACCACGTACAAAAGTAACTGAATGTTTTCTGCTATGTTTTTCTGTTATTAATCATTGCAAAAGGCTAAACATAAAACTGCGGTGCTTGATGGGTGGAGCGGTTGGTCCCAGCTGGACTAATGGTTGTCTGTCTGCAGGGGAGATCATCTTGTCTGGAGGGAAGGATGGACTCATGGCTGTCAGCAGTCCGCGAACAGGGATGACGGTCCGGGTCCTGGCCGACCACCGCTCCTCTCCCATCAGTGTCATCCACTGCACAAGGAAGCAGGCGAGTCACCAATTTCAGTGGTGTTAGAATAACTTTATCCATTTGTAAATGGCTGGATAACTGGCATTTGGAGTGGTCTGCGTGTTTGATCAAGTATTTTAATACATAGAAACATAGAAAACAGAGCGAGTCAGAAGGGGCCTCCTGGGCCATCTAGTCTGACCTCCGGCACCAGCTGGCTCCATTCACAACATGCCCACCATGTGGACGTCCAGCCTATCCTTGAACACCCGCACCGATGGGGCCTCAAGGACCTCCCGTGGAAGCCCATTCCACACCCTCGGGGTCCTAACTGTCAGGATGTGCTTCCTGGCATCCAAATGGAACCTGGGTTCCCTGAGCTTTGCTCCGTTGGAGCGCGTCCTGCCTTTCTCTGCAGGGGAGAACAGGTCTCTACCCACCTCCGTGTGACACCCCCTCACATACCTGTATGTCGCCAACAGATCCCCTCTGCGTTTCCTCCTCTTCAGGCTGAAGAGACCCAGTTCCCTCAGTCTCGCCTCATACGGCATCCCCTGCAAAATACAAAAGTGATGCATAAATATTTGAAGGGTGTTGAGACAGGAAAAGATCCCTTGAAATACTCAGCTGCAGTCCTTGGCATCTCCAGTTATAAATGCATCAGGTATCAGGTGATATGCAAGACCTTGCATAAGAGCCTGCAATAAGCGGACCAGGAAGGCCTTGCCTAAGGCAGCCGTCACTCCTTCCTTTCCTGCTCTTTCTCATTTTCCTCCTGCTCTGAATTTTTATACCTGTTCCCCCTACCTCTAAGTCCTTTCTCTCCTGTCTGTATCGCCCCCTCGTTTTGTTTGCTTCTTCAACCCAGCGTAAGAAAAGTGCTTCCTTTTTTCTTTCTGTGCGGGAGAAAGAAAAGGGATGGAAGGGGAGGCTGAAGAAGTGATTCAGTTCTTCCTTACCCCTGCTGATATCAGCTGTTAAGAGGCCAGTCCCTCCATCAGCACAGCATCATCCCTGATTCTGTTCCTTGGTCTCTCCAAAAGGCACCATTCCTTGGTCAGCTTTGAAGCACAGCTCTCCAGGTGGGGGTGAAGGGGGAACAGTGGCTCCCCCTTTCAGCCCCACTGTGGGACCTTGAATTGAATTTACCTCACATATTAGGCAAGCTAGCATGCATTTTTCCTTGCTGCTGATTCTCCTTTTGCTTTTGTTTCTTGTAAATTTCTTATAATTTGGGGTCCCTTCTACGGAGAAAGGCCAGTGCTATGAATGTACAGAGTGAATAAACAGACCCTTTCCCCAGCATCTAATTCATAACTGATCTTCTTTAGAATTTCATCATGTGCTGCATGTCTCTGGTTGCTTGCTTCTTATCTTAAAGATTTGGAGGAAGGGTGAATAGTCCTCAAGATACAATCGCACCCTTGATTTAAATTGAGCCATCGTTAATACATTTCCTATTTATCCACAGTACTGTATAAATTTGATGCACTATGCCCATCTTTTCAGGGACAAGTCCATATAAATGAGCACAGATGTCATTGTGGTATTATGTTCTCTAGCACACTGAACTTGGGGTTGAAGGTGGTGATCTTTGGTTGGCTGCAAGTGCTGATCGACGTGTCAGTGTCTGGGTCTCTGACTGGAGGAAGGACAAATGTGAGCTCATTGATTGGCTAAGCTTCCCAGCCCCTACGGGCCCTGAGGTGAGAGTATCTTGCTGGCTTCTAGTCTTCAGAATGAAGAATATACATTTTTCAGTGTTTGATGTGTTTAAGGTCTTTCCTGTTGGACTTTCCTGCTGCTGGAATGTTTTATAAGGAGAAGCAGAACAGGCTGAGTGTTTTCTTGGTCTTTGTCAAATGAGGATGTGTAACTTCAGAGAACTGAGAAACTGGCTGCAACAATAGAAATTGAGAATTTGCCACAATATTTTGAGCATTCAAGTTCTTACTTTGACTAGGGCTAAGTTTGCCTTGGTTAAATTTCTAGTTTATCTATCTGTGTGCTTGCTTTGCTGATAATTGCTTGCTGATGATGGTCTGGGTTTCCAGTATATGTTCAGGAACTTATATTTATTACATTCATATCCCACTTTTTGTCCTGCAAAGAACCCAAGGTGGCTTACTTAATCCTCCACTTCTATTTTATCTGCACAGCAACCTACTTGTGAAGTAGGTTAGATTGAGCTTCATGGCCAAGTGCAGATTAAAACTCAGACTGGTATGTCCCAGGCCAGTGCTGTTACTACAACTGGCTCTCAGCTAGAAGGAGCAATAGATGAAAGTTCCAGTTCTGGAGGGCAAGTGTTCCACCCATCGAAGAAAGAATTACTCAGATTCTGCATAGCTTATACCAATTGATCTTATTTTGGACTTTGCTATTTCTGAATTGTAGCTTGCTTAGCTCCAGATTATGCCCATCTGGTTTGTAACAGTTGCTTCTATATTTATTGTCCAGGTGTCCGGCCCTTTACCTCCTAGCCTGGCAGCATTTTGCCCTTGGAACAAAAACATGATTGTTTATGTGGGCTTTGGATTACAGAAGGAGATCCTCTTCTACAGCCTGCAGCAGAAACAGGTGTCTAAAACTTAGCTTGCTTGAAACCTTGTGGACTCCACCAGCAGAAGCATTGGAGCCGGATCCAGTCCACCAGTCACTGGGTTCACACAACCCACATTCAAGGGTTGAGTGTAGGTTTGTCATTGAACCTGAGTTGCTGTGCTGGCTGAACCCAATCATAACAATAAGCCGTTGTCTGTTAACCACAAGCAGCCCGCAGCTCAGAACCCAGGAACAGGTTTTCTTCATGGTGGGCACGCGGTTAAGAAACCATGACTTGTTATCACAGCTGGGTTCAGGCAACATGGCAGTGGCATTCCAACAACCACCTGCACTGAACACCACCTCAGCCCTTGAGCGTGAATTACCGCGGTTTGTGAAAATAGTCATGTATGTCATCGGCTCAGTCTTGGTAATGTTCTTTTAGCGGCTTGGTTTGCACCTAACTCTGAGCTATGGCTTGAGTTGTTGAGTTCTGAGTTGTTGCGATGAGTGAATCTAGAGGGCAAGTTGTTTTGGCAGGCTGTAGAGGTGGCAGGAGTGGCTTCGTTTTCAAAAGCTGGCTGCTCCACACGCCAGTGCCACAGTGGCACTTGGGATATAGGGAGGGAGTGGGCAGAGGAGACCACTCCCAGAGATTAAGAACACAAACCACAGTTGGATTGTCTGCCAAACAAGCCCTGGGTGGCAACAATCCATGGGTTAAATGAGCGATGGTTTTGTATTACGTGTGAACAAGGGAACAGCATCTCTCCCCAAACCTTAGTTTCCAGTCAAGGTGAATAGTTGACACAGAGGTGAAGGGAAAGCTGGACATGGCAGGACTCTTGCTGGATGGTAACAATTCAGATTGCAGGTGATTGTTGAATGTTTGTCTCATTTGAGATGAGATGTGCATTCCCCCAAGATGCCAGTGACAGGTAAGCACAGTGGGAGCACAGCATTTAAACTTCTGCTTCCCTGTGTACATCCGTAAAAGGAGCCATTGAGCGGCAGAAGCCTCTCCTGGGGCTCCTCACTGAAGAGCAGAAGACGGTTGATACAGGGGCCTTCAGTACTGCAGCCGAGCAGGTGCTCCGGCTGCTCTCTTGTTTCCAGGCTTTTTATCCCGGACTTGAGCAGGTCTAGTTGAACTGAAGAAGGATGTGGATTGACTGGTACAGTAGGTAACTCTATTGCACGTGGGAATAATTGCTGGCCTATTATGGCCTTTTGAGGCATGCCTTCTCTCAGATCCCTGCAGATGCGGCAGCACCTTGGATTTTGCAGAATTAGCTCGCCCACAGCACTGGGCTGCACTCCCACTGCCAGCTCACACGTCTGTTACTCTTCTGTGGCGTCTTGGGACGCTCCAGACATGAGGATCCATTTCTGAGCGTGCCAGTCCACACGCATGGATGCCTTCATATTGTTAATTTGGGCCCACAGAGATGACTCTGATCCGGATGCTTTTGTGGAGGAGATGCCCCCTTCTCCTCCCCTTTGTGTAAATAGGCAGGTTGCGACGGGCACACTTTCTGTATACATACATTATGAACGCTCGGAGTCCCTATTTCTGAGGATTCTAACATCGGGTGGCTCTTCCACAGGTCGTTGAGAAGATCCCGTTGCCTTACTTTGCCAGCTCCTTGAGCTTGTCTCCTGCTGCCTGCGCCATAGCGGTGGGCTTCAGCGGTGAGTCTCTGGGCGACCCAGGCGGGCAGGGGCCGGGCCTCCCTCACCCTGGCTGCACTTCCGTGCAAGCAGGCCAGGGACATGGACGGTCCTCTTCCCGTGTTCAGCAGAGGATGCTGGGCTGGGCAGCCTGTCAGAGAGATGGGGATGAACTTGGAGGGGTCTTCGCTGGTACTGCATTTCATTCCCAACCCACCCCATTAGTCATATGGCTCCCTGGATCGGTTATGGCACCAAATACAAAATGGAATAAAATACAGATTAAAATATAATATAAAACAATTACAAAAAACATTAAAACCAATATAAGATGCACAATGCTAATCACATACCTCACTTAAAATGCTACTTAAAACAAATTAACAATGAAAATGCCATCAAAATAAAAAAGGGTTTTGCCTAGCGCCTAAGAGATGTAAGTGCCAGGCGGAACTCTCTGGGGAGCTCGTTCCGGAGTCGGGGTGCCTCTGCAGAAAAGGCCCTTCTCCAAGTTACCACCCTCCTCATTTCCTGTGCGGGGAGGGGTCCTTCAGAAGGGCCTCAGAGGCGGAACTAAGGTGCTGGGTAGGCTCATATGGGAAGAGGTGTGCCTTTAGATACCCTGGCCCCAAGCCAATTAAGGCTTTAAACACCGGTGTTAACCCCTTGAATTGGGAGCCAGTGAAGTTGGTCAAGAACTGGCTTCTCATGAGCGTTATCTGCCAGCCCTCATTAACCATCAGGCCGCCCTATTCTGGACCAATTGAAGTTTCTGGACTGTCTTCAAGGGAAGCCCCATGTAGAGTGCTTTGCAATAGTCCAGACAAGAAGTTACCAGTGCGTGGATAACTGGTATTAACTTCACACTCCCAAGCATCTGTTCACAGCCACAAGGGCTAGACTCTTGAGGTCATTCTCAGCTAAGTTTGGGCAGTTGCCTGGATAAGAATTTGTCTTTGGCATGTTGGTCAGCTTGCTTGTGAGTCATCCAGTCCAGGCAGAGGACTCCCGGGTGATCTTTGATTGTGTCTGCACAGCCTCCAGCTCTTGTTGGTGAAAGGGAACCGTGGATGATCTTGTCTTGGGAAGCTCCCCAATCCCTTTGGCCACCAATATGAATGTTTGCATTTGCTCTGGACTGGTGCAAAATCTCAGAACCAGTTAGGCCAAGGGCTTTCTAAGACCGGAACGTTGTTTTTCCCTGCAGAGCGGGTCTTGAGGCTGATCGACCACGCAGTAAAGACTGGCCAGGACTATGTGGGGCACGACGACGCGGTTTGCCTCTGCAGGTTCACCCCCTCTGGGAAGCGCCTCTTCACAGCTTCATACAATGAGATCTTTGTGTGGGAGGTCCAGAACAGATGAACAGAGCGCGCCATCGCCGGCTACCCCGGCTTGGAGCCCAGCAGAACCACTCACACAGTTGCTGCCTCTGAGCACTGAAAACTACTCCCGTTGCTATGCACCAGCTCCAACTTCCAGTTCTGAGCTTAGCGGCCAACCTTTCAGATCCGTGGTAGTCTCCAGTGCAGGGGTCCATGTGGGAACAGTTTTGCCGGCAAGCTGAACTGCCCCACAATTTTAAAGACACTCGTATCAGAAGAAGGCGGTGCTGTGGCAATCAGCCAGCATGTAGGGATTGGGCACAAACCTTTCGTATATGCAAGTTGCTGCCCTTTCTTGCGTGTGTGTGCATGTGGGCACAGTGAGGAATTCTTTTGATCCCCCGTCTGTTCCCAGCAGCTCTGGCCAGTCTTCTCTCTTTCCCAGTTCAATGAGCAGGCTCCCTTGATAGCGCCTCCTGAAGTTTGAGATGGAGAAGACATTTGGAGTATTGGCAAGTGGTGGGCATTACCTAGATTTTATGGGAAGGATTTGTAACTCTTTGAATATGTGTCCCAGACGATCAGCAGACTCAGAGTGCTCAGCACAGTGCTCCCTTCCGACACGCAAGGCGCAAATGGTGCATCCCTTGGCTAATTTTCCTGCGCATGGAGGCGACCGCAGTGGCTGAGCAAGCTGCTCGGACAACCAAGGCTCCCTGGCCTGCCCCTTGTGGGCCAAAGCAGCAGCACTGGGCGATACTGTGGACCTTCCCACCGAACGCCCCAGCCCCTGCTGAGGAGGGCCGTCTGTGGCCGGCAGCGGAAGCGCAGCTCTGCAGTGCCGCTCGTGAGGTGGCAGAGAGAGCAAGGTGATGTTCTGGTTATCTTTGGTTATGTATGTTACTTGGGTTCTCTCGCTCCGTGCGTGTGTAAAATTTTATTTTTCTACGCCTTAAAATGGAACCTCTGCTTTGGTTGTTCATCCTTTTCCGTACTAAATTTTGGGTTTATGTTTGTGCCTTAGCTATATTTTCTATCAATGGGAGGTGAACAAGAAGAAATTTCAGTAAAGGGGGAAGGGATCACCAATTTACTGAATTTGCTCAGCACAAGCTCATGTAAAAAAACAATCCTAAATATTATTAAACATGCTCAGAAGCTTGGAAGTGGGGGGAGTGGCAACCACTGAGTACATTTTGTGAGTATAAATTTGACTTTTTAGACAATATTTTTAAAGGAATGTTATTAGGAAGATTCTAGAGTTTTATATTTAATTTGTGCAAGTTTGTGTGTTTGCTTTGGTTTCAGACTGAATAGATTATCGGGTACAAGTTTCCTTTTTAGGTACAGACCTACCTAGAAGGAAACCTGGACCCCAGGTAACAGTGAAATAACTAGTATTCCCACTCATTCATTGTAGTCCTGTAATAGCACAGAATCACATCGCTACCATTAAGGAAGAAGTAGGAGAAAGGGAATTTTCTTGTGTTCAGTTTTTAATTCCAAATAAATGAAGTTTTTTGCCTATGAATCCTCCTTTGGTAAGCTTTTGGGAATCCATCGTTGCGCAGGGTGGAGGCAGGGTGTTCCTCCTCAATCCAGTTTCTCCCCTGCGGTCATGGAAGGCCCTTCTAAAGTTACAGGAGCAAGAATACTTCTGGAGGCCTTTTTCTCGGTAGAAGTTGCTTTGGACAAACTGCTGGGATGAGGCAGGTGGTTGAGCTGGTGTGCTGTCTCTCCCTATCCCAGGCTTCTGTGCATGAGCTGCGGGTACAGGTCCACTCTGGCCCTGCAGGGACTGCCAGACAGCTGTCACCCCTTCCCCACACAGGCACACTCTTGGATTAGCTGGTCGCTTTCTGGCTTTGGCAGTTTTCCCAAGACTGATTTGCTGGCTGCAAGAGTTGTAAGATGATACATGCTTGTCCCCGAGGTCCAGCTTTTTGCACTGGGCTTGCAGCCCCCAAGAGCCTTCCGGAAAACGAGGTCAGCCTTCCTGATCAAAGGGGCTCTGCGCTCCTTGCTGGATGAAGGATGCTGTGGGCAAACTCGTACTTGATCTGTCCTTGGAGGGCCCTTTGTGCCAACCCAGAACCTGGCCTATGGCAGAGAGGATCACCCAGATGGCTACAACAGGCCACACGGGGTAAGCAGCCTTTGCCGTGATGAAATTGCCCAGAGGACCTGGACTGAGTCTGCTTATGGCTGTAAATGCACTCAGGAGCTCAAGGACAAGTAAATAAATTCTTAAAGTCACCCTCAGTTTAAAGCAGAATCTGGCTCCAGAAATCCCAACAGTACTTTTGGAAGGTATTTTTAGCCCTGCGACCCTTTCAGCCTCATCACTGATTATGTTTCTGAAAGCCATTCTTAGGCTCCTTCCTAGGAGAGCTGGGGCTAGCCAAAAAAGCAATTTAGGATACGTTTTTACAGGTGATAGTTAGGATCCAATAAGGGAAACAGAGGGCATGAATTACCTATTCTGCCTGTCCCTTGAATTTTAGCAGGGAAGTTTTCCCACCCTTCGCCAACTGAGTCACAAGTAATCAAAAGTTTATAACACAAGAGGAATTGTTTATTATATTTAAAAAGCAAACTTCCACTTATCTTGAATGCCAGTTTTCTTCAAGTCCTTCATTAACTTCTAGAGGTAACAAAATAGATTATTTAAACACACACACACTTTTCAAATGTGGCACAACAATCCACAGTGACTTCCAGTGGTCTTTGGCAATCAGTACAAAAAGAAACAAAAGTGCCCCAAAAGAAGTCTAAGAGTTCTGGCTTGGCCAGTTTAAAATTTTACTTTAAAGTTGGACCACCCACACCCTGAAGTAAATATACCTCTTTAAAAACATGACTGGAAAACTGTCATGAGAACATGTCCTAGACCTAGGCCATTGTAATTAAGGCCTTAAAAAGTATTCTCTCCTAGCTTTTTTCTGAAAAGTTGGAAGATTAATATATTAAAGCCCTTTCATTCTTTCATTATTTTCTTCCCTCTGAAGAGCTCAGTCACCCTTCTCGTCTTCACAGCAATGGGGTAAGGTCAGCTGGGAGAGGGAACGGCCCAAGAGCGCAGCGGAAGCTTCAGGGCTGAGCAGGGATCTGCTCCCTCCTCTGTGCCAAGCACTCCTTGCAGCGAAGGTGCACACTCCCACAACTGCCTTGTGGAGAAGCTGTGGCTCTTGTTGCTTGGCACTCTCTGGGCAGCCTGATTTCACTTGGCAGCAAAAATAAAAGTCCATGGAGAGAAACTCTCCCTTTATTGTGTAAACATTACTGCATAGACAGTATGCTCCCATTCTAAGTTTAAAATTGCCAGTATATGTGAAGCCCCTGAGCTAAATCGGTGATTCAGGCTGGAGTAGATCACAGGCAAGGGTTCTCCTTTGCTGCAGAACCAGATTCCAACCCACCCCCCATTATAAATGGCACTTAAGGACTGCAAGCTTTAATTGCACAATCAAAATGACTCAGGGCGGGGAAATTCCTGCACTGAATCAGGTCCTGCTAAAGGCCTCCGTGGCCCAGACCCCTTTTCCAATAGCAAACCATCAAATCTGCCTAAAGTAGATTTCTCCAACCTGGTCACCCCCACAGGGACCATGGCCAATGGGAGCTATCGCTTGGCACAGCTCTAGAAGCTCCATGCTTGGTCTGCTTAGCGTAGCATCTGGTACGCTTCTGATCCTGGATGCTCCATTCAGTAATCATGATTAGTAACTTTTGCAAGACTTAAGACCCTACAGGTTGATCTAATTCTTTAAAGAAGGTATCTGAGCTAATGGCCATCCATTCCACAAGTTAATTGCACATCTGCCATCACTTTAAGCCAGAAGTCTTGTTTTATAAAGCCACAATGAAAGTTTGTTTGTTGTTCTTAGTCACGAAGTCGTGTCCGACCCATCGCGACCCCATGGACAACATTCCTCCAGGCCTTCCTGTCCTCCACCATCCCCTGGAGTCCACTTAAGCTCACACCAACTGCTTCAGTGACTCCATCTAGCCACCTCATCCTCTGCTGTCCCCTTCTTCTTTTGCCATCTATTGTTCCCAGCATTAGACTCTTCCCCAGGAGTCCTTCCTTCTCATTAGGTGACCAAAGTATTTGAGTTTCATCTTCAGTATTTGGCCTTCTAAAGAGCAGTCAGGGTTGATCTCCTCTAGGACTGACCGGTTTGATCGCCTTGCGGTCCAAGGGACTCGCAGGAGTCTCCTCCAGCACCACAATTCAAAGGCCTCAATCCTTTGGCGCTCAGCCTTATGGTCCAGCTTTCACAGCCACACATTGCAACTGGGAAAACCATAGCCTTGACTATACGCACTTTTGTTGGCAGGGTGATGTCTCTGCTTTTTAGTATGCTGTCTAGATTTGCCATAGCTTTCCTCCCCAGGAACAAGCGTCTTTTCTTGGCTGCAGTCCCCGTCTGCGGTGATCTTGGAGCCCAGGAAAATAAAATCTGTCACTACCTCCATTTCTTCCCCATCTATTTGCCAGGAAGTGAGAGGACCAGATGCCATGATCTTAGTTTTCTTAATGTCGAGTTTCAAGCCAACTTTTGCACTCTCCTCCTTCACCTGCATCAAGAGGCTCTTTAGTTCCTCTTCACTTTCTGCCATTACAGTGGTATCATCTGCATATCTGTGGTTGTTGGTATTTCTCCCAGCAATCTTAATTCCAACTGGTGATTCATCCAGCCCCGCCTTTCTCATGATGTGCTCTGCATATAAGTTAAATAGGCAGGGTGACAGTATTCAGCCTTGTTGAACTCCTTTCTCAATTTTGAACCAATCAGTGGTTCTATGTCCAGTTCTCACTATTGCTTCTTGACCCGCATATAGGTTTCTCAAGAGACAGATAAGATGGTCTGGGGCTCCCATTTCTTTAAGAACTTGCCACAGTTTGTTGTGATCCACACAATCAAAGGCTTTAGCATAGTCAATGAAGCAGATGTTTTTCTGGAACTCCCTAGCTTTCTCCATGATCCAGCGTATGTTGGCAATTTGATCTCTAGTTTGTCTCTCTCTTCAAAATCCTTTCACTGCTTTTTCTCAACCTCTGATTAAACGATTTTTGAGAGGATTGGGTAACCTCCATCCGACGATAAGGCCTTTAATGCTCACTTGGAGTCTTTCAGTGGTTTTGCAGGCACTGACCCGACCACCCTTTGAACCCATGGCGACAATCGATTTACGCCTTGTCTCATGGAAGACTGCTTTTCTAGTAGCTATTACTTCAGCCCGTAGATCATCTGAACTTTGCGCCCTTAGGGTAGACCCCCCCTTTTTTGAATTTTCATAAGGAAAAGGTAGTTCTACGGCTGGATCCGTCTTTTCTTCCTAAGATTGCTACCTGGTTTCACATGCAGCAGGAGATCGTTTTGCCAGCATTCTTCCCAACTCCTTTGAATCTGATAGAGAGATCTCTGCATATGCTGGATGTTCATTGTTGCTTAGCCTTTTATAGGTCTAGGACCGAATCTGTTCGACACTCCAATAGACTTTTTGTTAAATACTCGGAACGCGACTGGGACTATCCGGTCACTTCACAACAACTTTCCAAATGGATAGTGCAAACAATTGCGCTGTCCTACCAATTGGCTAAATTGGATTTGCCATCTACTTCAAGAGGTCATTTTACAAGGGCTGTGACTGCTTCTTTGGCTTTTGCATCGGGAGTTCCGATGGAAGATGTTTGCAGAGCTGCCACTTGGGCTACCCCATGTACCTTTGCCAGACACTACAGACTTGATGTCAGCGCCAGACAAGACTGCTCTTTTAGCAGGGCTATCCTCTCTTCTATTCTTCACTGATGACACCTCCCTCCTCCAAGTCTGGGTAAGCTTGTTATTCTACCTATATGTGTGATGCACAGAGGCCACGACAAAGAAGAGCAGGTTGCTTACCTGTAACTGATGTTCTTCGAGTGGCCATCTGTGCAGTCACACAACCTACCCTCCGACCCCGCTTGGTGTCATGGGTGGTCCGACTTCCTTCTCTTCGATGCTAGGATCTCTTTAGATATTTGTTGTACCACTGAAATTTTTGTTTTTTGCCATCATGACAATAACTTTACTAAGGGAGCGAACGTCGGTCTTTCAAAGACTGGAAAATGGCGGACACTCCGCTCCTTATATAATGCTAGGAGGGAGGGGGAGCGGAGTTCCCGCCAAAAAACCGTTAGCTGTTAATCTTCCGGCCAAAGGCACTGCGCAGGTGCAGAACCCATATGTGTGACTGCACAGATGGCCACTCGAAGAACATCAGTTACAAGTAAGCAATCTGCTCTTCTCCCTTGCCTTTCGCTTCCCTTCTTTCCTCAGCTATTTGTAATGCTTCCTCAGACAGCCATTTTGCTTTCTTGCATTTCTTTTTCTTTGGGATGGTTTTAGTTGCTGCCTCTTGTACAATGTTGCGAACCTCCAGCCATAGTTCTTCAGGCACTCTGATCTGTCTATCTGATCTATCTGTCAGATCTAATTCCTTAAATCTATTTGTCACCTCTACTGTATATTCATCAGGGATATGATTTAGGTCATACCTGAGTGGCCTAGTGCTTTTCCCTACTTTCTTCAATTTAAGCCTAATTTTTGCAACGAGAAGCTCATGATCTGAGCCACAGTCAGCTCCTAGTCTAGTTTTTACTGACTGTATAGAGCTTCTCCATCTTTGGCTGCAGAGCACATAGTCAATCTGATTTCTGGGTTGACCGTCTGGTGATGTCCATGTGTAGAGTCGACTCTTGGGTTGTTGGAAAAGAGTGTTTGCTAGGACCATCGTATTCTTTTGACAAAATTCTACCAGCCTGTGCCCCGCTTCATTTTGTACTCCAAGGCCAAACTTGCCTGTTATTCCAGTTATCTTTTGGCTCCCTACTTTAGCATTCCAATCCCCCATGATGATAAGGACATCATTTTTTGGAGTTAATTCTAGAAGGTGTTGTAGGCCTTCATAGAACCAGTCAACTTCAGCCTCTTCAGCTCCAGTGGTTGGGGCATAGACTTGGACTATTGTGATGTTGAATGGTTTGCCTTGGATTCGAACTGAGATCATTCTGTCATTTTGGAGATTGTATCCCAGTACTGCTTTTCCTACTCTTTTATTGACTATGAAGGCTACTCCATTTCTTGAGGGATTCTTGCCCGCAGTAGTATACCTGATGGTCATCTGAATTAAATTCATCCATTCCTGTCCATTTTAGTTCACTGATTCCTAAGATGTCGATGTTCAGTCTTGTCATCTCTTGTTTGACCACATCCAGCTTGCCTTGATTCATGGATCTTACATTCCAGGTTCCTATGGAGTACAGATCTTTGCAGCATCGGACTCTCCTGTCACCACCAGATACATCTGCAACTGAGTGTCCTTTCGGCTTTGACCCAGTCGCTTCATTCTTTCTGGTGCTACTAGTACTAGCTCTCTGCTCTTCCCCAGTAGCATATTGGACACCTTCCAACCTGAGGGGCTCATCTTCCGGCATCATATCTTTTTGCCTTTTGGTACTGTCGATGGGATTTTCATGGCAAAGATACTGGAGTGGGTTGCCATTTCCTATTTTAAGCAATTTTTAAGTGCACCCTTGCTCATCTTGCAAGCAGGTAAACAAGCTAGGTATTAAAGCTTAGTGTTACAGCTGAATCCATGCTTAAAATTTATCGTGTTAGCCAGCACTTTGAGCTCGCTTTAAATCAGTGTTTCTAAAATCTTGAATTCTGAATTGGAGAATTTGTAATCTTGGCTCATTCGGGCACAAGAAAGCATCCCAAGCTGGGATTCTGACAATAATCTGTACATGCTTGCTTGGCATATGCTTGCATGAGAGGAAGAATCTGCAATGGATCATGGTTTAAGTATCAATGAATCCTGGCTTAAAGTTGTGTGTGAACATGTTCAGTGATTAATTCTTGGCGCATGTACTGGAGATAATCTTTTTAAAAGCCACCTTGGCTCCTGTGTCCTCCTGCAAGAGGAAAGGACACCAGAAGAGCTAAAGATGTCCTTCTGCTTAACCATGAGCATGCATTTTTTTGTTGCGTTACACAGTAATAACCTCCTACACTTCTTCGATAAGCTCACAAAGGCACCCGTTCTGAAAACGTACGACTTAAATATACAACTTAAGCTACCTGGTTAAAAGCTAAAACAAACTGATCAACTGAAAATCGCCACTTGGTGGATGCTCATAGTTTGGAAGCACTCACAGATCTTTTAAGAGCTGAATTAACCGTGAGAGATTTCAGTTCCCATAAGCACCCACTCCCAGAAAGTTTTCTAACACAGGAATGGTGGTTGGGGGCGGGGGGGCGGGGGAGAGTTTGATTCCTAAACTACTCAGAATGGAGGAAAGAGGAAGTTGCCTTGTAATGAGTCAGCACGCGGATGCGTTCTTCTTACAACCCTCTAGGTCATTTCCAGTTCCCCAGCCACTGGGGTTAGAAGCTGGCACTTCCGCATCTCATGTGCACACTCTGTCAGTGAGTTATGAGCTTTAAATTTGTTCAGTGCGGGCCAAACAGAACACACGTCTTTGCTCCAGGTTGTTTTTCCCCTGCATGAAGTTCTCAGAAAGACAACCTGTTGAAGGTTGCAGAAGGCGGCCCCTAAACATTACAGAAAGCATACATTCTACTGAAAAGACTTGATAGGAATCAGAATAGTGCATCATTCCAGTATTCTGAGGCTTTATCCAACTGGAGAAACAGTTTGCTAAACCCAAGCAAACGCAGTTCACCTTCCCTTCTTACCAGGCAGGGATACTGAAGCTTATGCAGCTAACAGCAAACCATGGGTCGTCTGTTGGCTGATACAGGGATAAGAACACATAATCCTTGCCTATCATTTTCCTCAACAGCTTAGTAAACTTAGATCTGCTGCTTCTACAGCTAGATCCATCAGTGATTAGCATCCATCAGTTTATTCTAATGGGTATCATAATGGTTGGCACTGAACTCCACCAAGTCTTGACGAACTGGTTAAGCTGATCAGGTCATTCTGTCTGCTGTACCCATGAGCATGATAGCCATTCTGTGACTATATTTATGCCTCCATCCTGTGAGTCATATGGAGTATGCGACAAGGCAGAACATGCTGTCACCTCCCACGGTATCATTTGGAGCAGAGATGGCCTGAAGGAAGACATCCAGAGGTTTTGCCCTTCAACTCCCAGAAGTCCCTGCCTGCATGACCAAAAGCCAGCAAGCTGGAACTCTAAAACATCTGGAGATCTACTTTCTGGCCATCCAAATTTAGACTAAGAACCTGCAGCCCTTCAGATGTTGGGAATTCAAACTTCACCAGCCCTGGCCAACATGAACAGTTGCCCAGGGATAAGGGTAAGTTACACTCCCCCACCCCTGATTTAGAGAAAGGCAGAAAAAACATGTATTAGTAAATGCATTTAAGAACATAAACAGAGCTGCCCCGGATTGGATCAAAGGCCAGTCTAAGCCAGCATCCTGTTCCTACGGTGAAGAACCAGATCCCCACACACCACCTCTGCTACCAGAGGTAAGATACAGCCCTCATGGCCAGTAGCCATTGATAGCTCCTGGTGGCCATCAATTGCCTCCATTTGACTGCCTTTCAATGCATCCAAGTTTGGAAAAGAAGATTTCTGAGACAAAGGCCTTGCTGCTCCAAGACTGGAGAAGCCCTTCTCTCATGGTGCAGCAGAAGACCAGCTTCCCCGTGAAATTTAGGAGGAAAGCACAGATGCTGCTGATGAACAAAACGGCACAAGCTGGTGCTGCCTTTGTTAGCCCTTTCAGCTTCAGGATGCCGCCAGTGAGCCCTTTCAGGGTTTGTTGCCTACATTGTCAGATTGTTTTCCAAAATTTGTGTTGTTTCTAGAAGGGGCTGCTGTTTAGGATGTCCACCTTGGGAACTTGCAATATCAAGGCTGGCCCAGACTCCTTTTCCCAGAGGAGGCAGATGTAGAAGGAGATCCACAGATTTCAGAAGGGGTGGAGGCTGACGAAAGGAGTAGGCAAAGAGCACAGCGGGATCCCCGGAAGATCCTGCTCTGAAGCACCGCTGCGCTACAGCAACCGAGAGCGTCCTCTGCCCACTCTCACGAAAGGAACACGTCCCTTTCAGTCTGATTTGGGTCCCAGGCCTCCTCCGTGTGGTCCTCTTTTGCAGGCAGACAGCGGTCGGTGGTGTCCCCATTGATTTCTTCCAGGGGGTGATAGGCGTACCTGCTACGCCCATGTCGGCCAAAGGAGCCCCTGCAAAGTCTGATGTTCACCAGGACGCTGACCAGAAGCAGCTGCAACAAGACACATATGACAATCCAGGCCTTCCTATGAAAGCAAAATCATCATAAAATATGAGTCAAATAAAGTAATATTAGGAAATACTAATACTAATGAGGGAGGCCCTGAACCTGTCCTTGGGAGCAAGACGGTCAGTTGTGGATGGCTGCACCACCTAATTTTTGGGTGCTCCACTCTGCGCCCGGCACTTTGCCCCATTCATGAGAGTCTGTGACATTTTCTGGGGCCACCATAGGAAGCACCTCCGATCAATTTAACTCAAACCCTGTGGATTGCATGTGCACCGACTTCCCAGAGGGCTTGGGAATGTCATGCACCTAGTGCATTTCCGTCGCTTCACTACTTGAACTCTATGGAACTCGTGAAGTCGAAAGGCGAATGCGCGCGTGCAGCTTACCATGAGAACAGCGACTCCTCCTGCTGGGCCTTCAGCAGACACTGCGCGGCTGATGGAAGACACAGAAAGGAGACTGGGGTGAGGCGTGATGTGTGGCTGCCAGCACGCAGGAAAGAGGGCCGTTTTCTGAGATGGCACAGTCCTGACTTCTGAGCCACGGAGGCCTGAAAGTCACAGGAGCCTCGGGAGTTGCCAAGTACTGGTTGGACCTGCGGTCCCTGCAGCCGAGTGCTGTCAAGGTGGGCGGGCAGTTGCTCGCCAGGGTTTCGGTCCGGAGCAGGGGACTGAATGGGGAGCTTCGGCAGGCCGAGCGAGCACTCTGAGCTGTGCCCCTGCCTGCAGACCAGGCTGTTTGTGCACACAGCTGGGGCCCTTGTGCCACAGCCCTCCTCTCGACTGGGGCCCCGAGCACATACCTCCGGCTGAGCCACTCGTCCCGGGCAACTCCCAAGTCGAGTTGCAGCTGCCCGTCCTGGGGTCGCAAGGACACTGGTTTGGGCACTGGCAGGCGTGCTGGCAGTTTTTTCCGTACTGTCCAGGGGGACATGCTGTGAAAGGGATTGTATGATGTGGGTTACAACAGGACAACGACAAACAGCTGGTGGACGTGGGCTGGATCCAGCTTTACTAAGATTAGACCCATTGGGAAAGGGGGACTTCAGCTAGCTGTGAGTGACTGGTTTCAGCTCTGGAGAACCAGTGTGGTGCCGGGGAACCTCCTCAGCCATGGAGCCCACTGGGTGACTTTGGGCCAGTCACAGACTCACAGCCTAACCTCCCTCACAGGGTTGTTGTTGTGGGGATATGACTGATAACTGGAGGAGAATGATGTCGGCTGCCCTGAGTTCCTTGGAAGGAAAAAAAAGGCAGGATGGAAATAATATAATACATAAAATAAATAAGACTAAAATTGGATCCAGGCCTATGCTACCAGCCCGATGAAGTGTAATGCACCCTTGGAGCACAGTAGCTTGGGCTCTGGGCTGCTTCTGGGGAGTGCACCTTGCAAATTCTTGTTGAGCCATCGAACCCACAGGGTGTTCGTGACAATACGCAGGACAGGAAGTCTACTGCTCCAAGATCCTTGTAGAGAAGTAGGGATTACAAAAGGTACAATAAACACACAAAAATCATCTCCAGCTTTTGTTAGATCAACTAGCTTGTGCTATGAAGTCTGTTCCAACATTGCACTGGGCAGACGGCTGAGCAAGAGGCCTCACAGGCACCCGGACTTCGCCAGAGCGAGGGAAAGCTCTCTTACCGTCGTCACAGAGGGTTCCTCGGAAGCCCTCTGCACACCCGCAGGATCCGTTCATGGGATTGCATGTCCCTCCATTGCGACAGAGGCACTTCTGCGCACAGCCATCGCCGTAGGTGCCCAGGGTGCACGCTGTGGTGGGGAAGAGAGGAGGAGGTGGCACTGGGTGCTGCAGCAAAGAGGCGGGTTGGGTGGAGAGGCTCCCACGTTGCCCCGCGCAGGGGAGAGGTGGCTTGCACGCCTATACTACAATCTAGAGTGTCAGCAGACAACGCCACTTCCGCTGGAGGAGTGAGGGTTGGACCGGGATGCGGGAGATGTGCTTGTAATCACCACTCAGCCATGACCCTCAGCAGCGGACTCTGGCCCAAGCCACTGTTTCTCAGCCTGATCCCCATCACAGGGCCGTTGTGAAGATAAGGGGAGGGGAGGGGAGGGGATCTTGTGAACTACCCTGGGATCCTTGCAGAGGGGAAAGGTGGGCTCTAGGTTCGATCAGCAACACTCTACGCTCTGGTTTAAAAAAGCTTCCCTGCCCTCCTAATACCCTTGTGATGAGACGTGCAGTTTCAGCCTAGCATTGATCAGAACTTTGTGTGCAGTTGAGATTTCTCTCTGGAAGGCTGCCCTGGGACTCTCTGCTGGTCATTTTCTGTTCTACTCTGTATTTCATTGTGGTTTGCCATCTTGAGCACCACTGGGAAGGGCGGCCAGATAGACCTTAACAAAGAAATTTAAAACAACACACAAAAACAAGGCAGGAAAAGGAATATATCCAGTAGATAAAAGCAGCAACTGGTTGAATTAATTGCAGCATTTTTATAATGCCCTCTCGGCTATTTCACACTGCTATCCTATGCATCCTCACCTGGGAGTAAGCCCACTGAATTCAGTGGAAATGCACTTCTGTGTAGGCATGTATAGGACTCCACCAATATGGATACATACCCTGCAAAATTCCCAGGGGTGAGCTATTTGATTAAGGACGCAGCCCCGTGCAGGCTTGGCCCTTTTTCCTAAAAGTGCATGGGTAAGTACCCATCAGAAGCAAACTCTGGAGGCTCCTCGCATCCCACCAACATCCCGAAAGCTGGTTACCTTCACTGCAATTGGCGCCCATCCACCCGGCGTCGCAGAGGCATCCCACTGCAGTAAAGGGAAAGAAGAAGAGGGATCATGGACCAGGAGGTGCGTTTTGCCTGGACGAGGGCAAAAGCCCCAGGGCGGATGGCAGAGCTGGGGACTTGGGGCACAGGGCGAGGGCAGACAGAACCGGGACTGCCACGGCGAGCATCGCTCTGCCTCCGTCTCTGCTGACCTTCCACGCCTGGAAGCGAGAAAGATGAAGCGCTGGATAGGGAAGCGGGAGAGCTTCAGTTCGGTTCACAGCTCGCCTAAAAACACTCTCCACAATCCTGAATGTGAACCAGACCGCACATCCTCAAATGTTCATGGTTTCCCCAGCTGACGTTTGCAAAATCTGCACTTAAAAATGCGCAACTTTTTCCATTTAAATGAACCATGAAAGGGTTGCAAAGGAGAATGGAAGTAAATTTTGGAGAATTTCCGCAAGCTAGTTTGTAGAAAGATTTGTAGGTACACCTGCCCTTCCCTGCAGCAAACAGGGTCGCTCTGGATGAGATGGCTAGTGCTGGTGATGCTGATTCTGCAGCTCTGTTCCCATCGGGTTTCAGTTCTCATTAAAGGAGGAGAACAGCCTGGTCCCCGGGGAAGGAGTGAGGGGAGCACAGCCCTGCCGGCGCTTCTGGGCCTCCCAGTGCAATCACAGTGTTCTTCTGCTTCACTTGGCCGGGCTGGGATTGGGAAGAATGGATACAAAGTGGTTCCACCCATGGCTGCGCCGCAATTTCCCAACCTGGAGACTCATCAAGATTCCCGTGATGTGCAGCTCTCTCCCTCACTTTCATCAACACATCCCAGGGAAGCTGCTGAGCTGAGCCAGGGCCTGAAGGGTGTTTCGGGGCAGACATAAGTAACAAGTGGAAACCCAATCCAGACAAGATGGCAGCACCATAGTTTTGGAAGCTGGAGTGCTGATAGGCCTTTTTCATTCCGGGGCTGTAACCCCTGCCTGGAAGCCAGGGGTGTTCCGCTCCCACCAGCAAGGTCCTTCTAAAAAGCCCCGTCTTTTCGTTGTGCCGATTTGCTACTAACTGCACGCTCTTTTTAACACCAGGGCTCCACCCCTGCCTGTCTGCTCCACGCACGATCGTGGTCTTACTCTCTGTGCACATCCCGTGCAGGGTGCAGTTGGAAGGGCCACAGTCCAAGACGTCACAGGCTGGTCCGCTCCAGAAACCCCCGCTGCACTGGCACTGCCCGAGCACACAGCGCCCATGCCCACTGCAGTCTGGGGGCCAGCATACAGGCTCATGGATGCAGATGGCAGTGGAAATCTTCCGTGGGCAGCGCCACATGGGGTTAGACGCGCTGGAAGAAGGGAGCAGAGAAACACCAGTGGGACCGGAGGACGCTCCGGAACCTCGACGCCTCGCTCTGGGAGGAAACCACGAGGTACGAAGACCAGGGCTGCCCTTCCAAGAGGAGCCCCACCCCGCCCCGCCCCGCTCTGTGCCCCTTTCCCAGGGGCACTGCCCCATTTCCCCTGCCTCCATTGCCCTTTCTCCCACAGCATCCAGGGCACCTGCTCTCCTCCGATTCGGTGCGGCTGTCTCTTCCGCTCTGCCTCAGACTGCCTACGGCCCGAGTGGCCGGGGGGGACCCGAGGACCCCGGCTGACTCGGCACCAAAGCTTAGCCAGGGTCTTGTGTCCCCCCAAGCCCAAAAACTCTGCCAGCACCTTCCCCTGCCCTGCAGCAAACCTTGAGTCATCATCCTGCGGCCCTTGTCTTGTACAGTCTGACAGCGGCGCCCCACGTGAGGCGTCCCTGGCAGGGCTGAGCAGCTCCCCAGGAGGAAAGGAGACAGCACCAAGGCCTGTCACCCGGAGAAAAGGGGCAGGGAAGGGAGGCAGCCCTCTCCCTTTCTTGGAATGCTACATGCTCAAGGGTTGGCCCCATGAAGTTGGTTGGTGGGAGATTTGAGACAGAAAAGGAAAAGGAAAGCACGCTTTGCACAACACCCGGTTACCCATGGCGCTTGCTTCTGCCAGAACCAGGTGGCCTGAAAAGGGGACTGGGCAAATTCCTGGAGGAGAAGGGCCCCAGAGGCCACAGGCCTTAGTGTGCCAACTGCTCTTGCCCCGTGTGCTCCTGGGGGCAGCAGGCTGGTCGCTGTGTGAGCAGAACACCTGGCCAGAGGGGCCCTTGCGCTGGTCCAGCACTGCTCCTGGGTTCCTACAGCCGTGATGGCCGGCCACCATCTCAGCTCCTGCATGCCAGAGCTGTAGGCCCTTTCTGCGTCTGGGGACCCTCAGACTGAACTGCAGTCCTGCACCTGGGCACATCCTCCTCGTGACGTTCCCTGAGAGCTGCCCACAGAGACAAGAAAGCCAGGGGCTGCCCGCACCCCTTCTCAAGCTGAATCATTCCTCAGGCCCCAGAAGACTACGCAAACACAGCTTCGCCCACTCCAGAACTGGCATATGGCTATTCTAACCCAGTTGCAGTGGCCTGTTCAAAGGTTGATGGAAGCTCTTGGAGTTCCATCCGCTAAGCTGCAGCAATCGCCCCTCCTGTTCGTGCAAGCCCCCAGACGAGAAAGAACACCAAGCAGCATCACTGCACTGCAACTGGACGCTCAGTGGCAAGGATGTGTCAATGTGGACAGGACGGAGCCGCCCCCCAGGGCACCTACCAGTGATCTGACGGGTAACTTGCAAGCGTTCCGTTCAAGACCAAGGTTGCGGATCCGCCGCCATCCAGGTTGATCGCGTTGACAACCCCGTGCTGTTGCAGGAAGTCGGCCATTTCCCAGAGGCTGAGGCTATGCAATGGCAGGGGAGATGTGCAAGGCAGGCAGTGCTGCGTTCGACCTCCAAGCCGGCTGTGGCCAGCCACCAACTTGCAAGGAGGCTGGAGCAGGAGCAGGAGCAGTCGCGAGCCCCTGGGTTGCAGGGGCTTGCCCACTTAATGCTAGGAAGCAAGGTTCTTTGATCCCCCTGGAGCTCTCGAGTCAAAAGAGGAGGGCTCTACCACATTCATCAATGCAGCAATAAGGACGAACTCCAGCTCCCCCACCCCACTTCCGAAGAGAGCTCAATTTGAGTCACAGGTCGCCAGGACCACCACACGAGTGCCCGCGTTGGAAAAGCTGCATGGCTCACCCTCTCGCGTCCGTCTGCCCGTCAACGTGCAGCAGCACCAGCCGCCCTTGCCTGTCGTGCCCCACAGCTGTCCTGGCGGACACAGTATTGATGAATCTGTCGAAGGTCCCTGACCGGAGGGAGGGAAGGAAGGAACGCGTTGCGAGCAGCTGGGAAGCCACCCGTCTACCGCATTTTTCTTTTCTTTTTCTCTTTTTATGGAGAGCTGTTCCCCAAGTCAGAACAAGCTCTTCTGGACATCAGTTCTACCAGGTGGACAAGGAAGCAGCTCTCCCACCCAACAAGGCCACACCGAATAATGACTGTGCGTCCGTGGCTTGCTTTTTCGGAATAGGAAGAGGCTGGTGTTTTTCTGGCAGATGCGAACTGCTACGCTTGCATGGAATTCCTGGAGCCCTGGGGTGGCACCCACCACCTGCTTGCATCCAGCAGGGCTGAATGGCACATGGATACAGGGACACCAGGAGGCTTGGCTGTCTGTCTTCCAGAAAGGCCACAAGAGGACACACTAGTCCAGAGGGCCGCACTTCAGCTGGGGGGCAGCTTGAGGCCCTTACCTGTTTTCTGGGTCTCGTCGCATTCCACTGCGCGACTCTGGTTGATATACACCTCCCCGTCTCGCAAGAGCCAAACCACGCCGCTCACGAGCTGCACGAAGGGGTTCTCTTTGGCCAGCACCTCCTCCTTGGAGAGGTAGCTGAAAGAGACAGCAAAGGAATCACCTTGGGGGGGGGAGGGGGCAAGATGTTTGGAAAATGCAGGCATGAAGGTTCAGGTCCACACAGAGTCAGATCCCTGAACTAGATGGTTGGCGCTTGGAGGGGAAAGCACCTGGGACCGCATGTAGCCACCCTGAGTTTCACAATGGGGGAAAGGTGGGATAGAAATATGACAAGCAAAAACTCAAACGTGCCTTCCTTTTCTTTGCCTGCACTTCTATGTTCTCTCTGCATTTTAACCATAGAGCCAATCTGGGGTCCACTACAAGTCGGCACTTGGGGCTGGGTTGTGGCCCAATGGCAAACGCTGGAGATCCGTCTGATTCTGCTCACCACCTTGGAGGAGCCTGGGAAGGACTCTACAGGGAGCCTCCAGGAAGCCGCCCCATGTTCAGCTCGTCCCAGGGGTGATAACCTCGGCTGCATCATCACGCAGACTGCAAGCAAAAGGCAGATTTTGCACAGCATCTGCTGCCCACTAATGTTCAGTTGACACCTATTTGAGGCCTGAATTCTCAAGGTTCAAGACCTTGTGCCGTAACACAGGGTGACCCCAAGTTCTGATTAATTCTCTGCCTTTCTTTAACCCAGTTAGAAATTGAGCTTCCAGCCCTAACCAATGTTCCCTTTAGAAGCCCCAGGGGTCTCAAAACTCTGTTACAGTATTTGAGCCTGCATGGCTGGAGCATTGGATGAGGACTGCTGGGACCCCGGTTCAAATTCCCACTCAGCCATGAAGCGCACTGGGTGACCTGGACCTCAACTGACTTACAGGGTTGTAGTATGGATAAAATGGGGGCAGAGAAGCTTTGGATATGCATGGAGCTCTTTGCAGATGTAATAGACAAACATGCATCAAAGAAAAATAACCAACTGGGAGCCAAAAATGGAGGAGGAACAAAATCATAGAAACAAAGAAACAGAGTGCATCAGAAGGGGCTTCCCGGGCCATCTAGTCTGACCCCAGCACCAGCCGGCTCCACTCACAACATGCCCACCATGTGGACGTCCAGCCTATCCTTGAACACCCGCACCGATGGGGCCTCAATGACCTCTCGTGGAAGCCCATTCCACACCTTCGGGGTCCTCACTGTCAGGAAGGGCTTCCTGGCATCCAAATGGAACCTTGGCTCCCTGAGCTTTGCTCCATTGGAGCACATCCTGCCTTCCTCTGCAGAGAGAACAGATCTCTACCCATCTCCATGTGACATCCCCTCACATACCTGTATGTTGCCAACATACCTCCTCTGAGTCTCCTCTTCTCCAGGCTGAAGAGACCCAATTCCCTCAGTCTCGCCTCATACGGCATCCCCTGCAAACCGGTCACCAACCTTGTGGCCCTACGCTGCACTGACTCTAATCTGGCTATATCCTTTCTGTAATGAGGGGCCCAAAACTGAACACAATACTCCAGTAGCGGGTGCACCAGAGTCGTACAGAGTGGTAGTAATACCTTTCTCAATCTAGAAGCCACACTTCTGGCTATGCAACCAAGGGTGGTGTTCGCCCTCTTGACCACCGCATCACACTGCTGACTCATGTTTAGCCTGCAGTCAACCAGCACCCCCAGGTCCCTTTCACAAGTGCTGCTCTCCAGCCACTTGCCACCTAACATGTACTTATGACAGCTATTCCTGTGCCCCAAGTGCAAG